ATCAAATTTTGAAACTCAAATTTCACTCACTTCCCGACTAGCTATCAAGCTGAAACTTTCAGGATAGCCTAGAAACTGATGACAATGCAATCTTATGTGAAAAAATTAATTTTAAGAATATTTTTTAAAAAGAATAAAATAATTATAGTAGATTTCTATAATAAAACTTTGAGCAGGTTTTCCTTGGCCCCAAGAAAAAAACCCATGGTGAACTGAATTGGTCGCAGAGGTCCGAGTTCAATCCCACCCCCTGGAACATTTTTTTTTCTAATTAATTAACATGTTTTTATTAACTCACTTTCTTGTCTGTTTGTTTGTCCGGATCAAATTTTGAAACTCAAATTTCACTCACTTCCCGACTAGCTATCAAGCTGAAACTTTCAGGATAGCCTAGAAACTGATGACAATGCAATCTTTTGTGAAAAAATTAATTTTAAGAATATTTTTTAAAAAGAATAAAATAATTATAGTAGATTAAAAAATTAATCTAAAAAACCATGTTTTCAAAAAGCAAAAAATAACCTTAAACGTGGTGCGCATGGAGATTGTTGGGAAGAAGTGAAATACAAATGAAATAGATGCGCACCAGGTTTAAGGTTATTTTTTGCTTTTTGAAAACGTGGTTTTTTTAGATTAATTTTTTAATCTACTATAATTATTTCTATTTGTTGCCAATCAGAGGCCAGATAATATTCAAGTATGTTCTGGAATTTTCTGGTCAAATCACCTGACCCAAGAAATTCCAAAAATATTATATAAGCTCAAAATTATTTTAATTCAAGAGTCAGTCTGTCCTGAACTCTAGGAAAATCATCTTCTTTCCTTTTAATTGATAGGTGTGCACAAATCTGTGTTTTCCCTGGGTGTTATTGAATTGTGTTATTCAAATTTGTTGTGTGCATTGCTTGTGTTCATTCTTTGGAATTTTTGAATCTATTCAACTCTGCTGAAACTGTTGATAAAAATGATTGAAAAACTAGGAACATATATTCAAGGAAACCCCTTGAATATGTATATATTCATATGTTTACTGTATATGTATATATTGCATATATTCAAGGAAAACCCTCGAATATGTGTTCTTGGCCTTCAAAAGGATGATGGCCTGTATTTTTACTTATGTTTTTTCTGATTGTTGATCACAAGAGTTACCCAATTATTCAAACTTCTGTGTCCCTTCTCTACATATACCCATAGTCAATTTTTGCCAAGTTTGTTTACCAAGGTGTGCTGATGGCAATCACACAATCAAATTGGTAAGAAATAGTACCCAAATTACACCAAATTATTGTTTAAATTCTTACGTTTCAAAAGGTTAACGTGATCAATTGATGGCATCCAAGCACTTTTTCTGTCTAAAAAATTTTGTTGAGCAAAAAAATCCATCATGTGAGTATTTTTTTTTCTTGCCATTTAAAAATATTGCAACGCCAATTGAGCCGTTAAGCGAGACATTCATTATAAAGGGAATCTCTGCAAATAACACAAGTATGGTAAATCAAAGCAAAGTTTGTGCGTCATTGCCCTATTTTTCTGTAAATTGTTCTAAATCATGTTTTATTTTTCAGGAAAATTGCAACCAAATAACTGTATATACGGCAACAGCAAAACTGAACTCTCTCTCTACAACGAAATTCCAGGGACCACACAAATTATTTGCAGAGAGTCTTTTGTTGTAGAGAACCTCTTCTATAGGATTTGGAGGAAACCCACCAATGAGGCACCAAAAAAATCGTTAAACAGATTTTTTTAAATCTTTGTAGAAAAAAAAGGTTCTATAGAGGGAGTCTGCATGTAATGATAAGTTTTTTGGACAATTCACATATACATATATATAGATATATATATATATATATATATATATATATACATGCAGTGAGACCCCCACATGCAGACAACTCAACCTGTGGACAATTCAACATAGGGACACTTACTTTCTAATAAAAAATTAATAAGAAAGGCACAACATCAGGACACTGACTTGAAATAGGGACATTTTGTGATAAAATTGCAATAACGTTTCAGGCCAAATTACAAGAAACAGATATTTCCAACCCTAAAATTGATGTAAGCAAAGTTCTTGTGCATATCTCTCACCAATTTACCATCCATTTAGCTAATTTAAAAAAATTACCTCCAGCAGAGAGGGACTTCCTTCTCTCTTTTTCACTTGAATGTTTTTTTTTTTACAGAGAATGCCAACATTTCTGTGTACTCTACAGATGTATCAGAATTCAATTCCCCAAATATTCATATTGTGTTGAAATACATTGATTGGAATCAGTTTAAATTGGGAGACAATTTTTATTTTCATGGAATTATGGTGAGTATTTTGTACATAAAACACCAATTAAAATCTATATAATGTAAATCTAAGGGAAAATGAGACCTGACTTAGGGACATTTCAACTTAAGGACACTCTTGATGCACCAATTGCGTCCGCATCTCGGGGTCTCACTTGTATAATATATATATATTTTTTCCTGCGGGTCACATTCCTTGCAAACTATGTAGAATTTATTGCACCTTTTTTCGTCTTCTGCCATGAAGGTTACCCGTGAAGAATAAATACTGCATGAACAACATGCAAACCTTACCTGGCAGGGATTCGTCGAAAGTCGGGTCCTCCCGCATGTCCAGCTCGTTCATGACCATTTCCCACACGGCGTGGCTGCGGGTGGGACAGTTTTGCAGGTTGCCGTAGCAGGCGTGAGGCATGCGGAAGTAGAGCGTGTAGGGCCACAATGGCGGGTTCGTCAGCGGCGCCGTCACCGTCGAGTCGTACAGGAACGCTTGTTCCTCCATCATCGTAAACTAAATATTAGTCGCCACCGCCGCCACCATTAGCACCGAGAAAAACGAGAACAACAGATCGCGTAGGAAAAAAAAAGAAGAAAACAACCGAATTAATCGCTTTCTTTGAGAAAAAGTGGATCGGATATGTATGTATGTATGTATGTCTAAAGGGTATCCAGTTTTAGCAAAGTTTGCAACTGAAATTCAAACCACTTTCGAATGTCCAATCTAGCTGAAATTTTCCACACTTGCCAAAAATCAAAGACAATGCAATGTTTCAAAATTTCAGAATTTTTGAATGGCTGAAAATCTGTAAAACTTAAAAAACACAAATTACCATAAAACACACTTTTAACCCCTTTAAAACTGTTCAAATTGATTTAAATTTTGGGGTTGTATTTATCAAGCATTGCTTCAAACATTGTGAGAGTTTCATAATTTTTGAGCGAAAAATGAATTTTATATTTGAAAAGAAAGAACTTTTGAATTTTTTCCATTAGACCACTATCCCAAGACATTTTTGGAAAAGGTTTATTTTCCCATAAAGTATATTTTTATGTTTAAAAAAAATATACTTAATTTACTTATATATTCTCATCACTTTCTCATCAAACATGGCGTCAGAGAACAACAATTTTCAGACTATTAGTTTGACATTTTTAATTACAGTAAGTCAGAATTTAATAATCCGGGAATTTGCTTTAAGGTGCGCACATTTTCGACGAGCTTTTATGCAAGATTTCGCTTAGTTTTTTTTTACACGCGCTGTTTTAATCGCGTGATATTTATGATCAAAACTTGATTGCTTCGGAAATTAAAATGTTCTTTACCTGATTATTGCCGCCGACTCGCAGATACGGTGCTCTCAGGCCAACGACCGAGTTGTCAGTGATATTGGCGAATTTTTCAATGATGATCCGAGACCCGGCCATTTCTCGGGCCCAGTCGTCGATGGATGCTTTCGACCAAAAGGTTTCGTTGTTCGTGTGTCTGGGGAAAGAAGTGTGAGCGTTAAATAATAATCCGCAAATTATGGACTGCATAGTATGGAACCGGAAGCGACGATGCAATAGCGACAAAAAAAAATGAAACGTGAAAGCGAGTTCCGGAGGAAACCTTTTTCTTCAACCCAACAGCCGCACTCACTTCCCTCGATTGAAATGTGAGAGAAAGTGTGCTACGAGAAATTATTTAAAGACGTGCGACGATGTCAATTTAAAATACAGGCTTTTTATTCTTGTTGAATTTTTTTTTTAAACGTGATAATGAGCTCTTTCTCGGTTATACAGCACTCGCAATTTCTGCGGCGTCATCTACATTTTTCGGTTCGAGCAAAGGATACGTGCTGGTGGTGAATTTTAAATCGAATTTCTCCTAAAAACCAATGAAATGAAATTAGGTTGAGAAAATGAATGAGCTGTTGAACCTTCATAATTAATTTAATTTAATAATTAATTAATTTACGATCATCATTTTACGATGTTGCACATAATTTTAATGATAGTCTATAATGAGGAGCTGTCAGCAAGAATTTTGAGAAAATAATCGTGAATCGTGATAAAAATGACAGATGGGTTTTTTTTTCTAACAAAATAATATTTATGAGCGATTTTATTTTTGTTATACTTGGAAGGATTTCATCTTAAAATAATGAATAAATAATGTACTGTAGTTTGTTGCCTTTGTTTCTATTCTCACAGGCAAAAATAATATTTTCACCATAGACTACTTTTCATTTGTTTTTACTTTATTTCAACAGAATTTGCGTCCGTAACAAGAATATTAAACAACCGTTTTTATTTTTTTAATGCTGCGCTAAAAAAAATTCACCACGCGCTAATTTTAAATAGACCTGATACAGCTTAAACCTTAAAATACGTTTATACCGGATTTAAATTTGGCTTGGCTACGAAATTTAATGAGTTTGATTCCTCCTTGAATATTATCGTACCATATCTTTTAATACAGTACTGTATTGTATTTCAAAAACACACGAACATTTGTATCTCCACTGGTTGATCGAAAAAAATAATAATACAGCAGCACTTGTATTTAGATTATTTTAAACGATATTCCAGGAAACTTAATTTCAGAAATAGGTCGGATATGTTTAGACAAAGGAATAAGACATTTATAAGTTGCCATTTTTCCTCGGAACACACGATGAAAGCACGCATGGAATTCAGCAGCAAAAGAACCTGGAAATGTCCCGTAAATCATGCTGCTTGAAGACGAGTTGAAAAAGAAATGGAAAAAGAGTTCGAAGCACCGAAAACGTTTTCAACCAAGAAACACAAAATGTTTCATCATTAGTGCTGACGCACATGAAAACCGGGGAACTTCTCTTAATGACACTTGAAAACAATTTGCTATATTTGAATGAATTTGCTATTTTTTTCTTCCATTTTTTTTAAATCCCAGAGATTCAGATCACGTTTTAAACTAGTTTTAGGCGGGAGGAAAAACGTTATTCTTGTCAGTATTCGCCCAATTCAAGGATTTTATTTTTCCTCTTTAAGATTCATTCTTGCTGGGAAATTTATGTCAAGCCATATGTTTTTTTCGGTGAGATTTCATCCTTGAGAAAAACAAATTCACTTCTTATACAGGTCTTGGCCTCAATTGTCACAATGCTTACTTGGATTTCTTTATAACAATTTTTTTTAAATAATATGAAGCGTTATTCCTCATCCTAATCTTTTTGTTGCAAAAATATATTACAGCAGCATGAAGAAAGCTGCAAACATTTTTTATCATTGAAAATTAGTTTCAAGCAGGATCTGTGATTCAGAAAATCATAGAAGAATTGAGTACAGTGGTGCCTCAAACTACTGCAATGTGTAAACTATACTAAAAAAAAAAAAAGAAACGGACACACAATAAAAAAACCGGAAATTTTCAAATACTGTAGTTGAATAAAAATTGAAACCAGCAAAATGTCTAAAGGTAGAATCGCACAAAAACAAACCTTCATGGACCCTTGGAAAATTCAATTTAACCGGAAATTGTGATCATTAAATTGATCTTGAATTTCATTTTGAGTGAGATTTTTTAAACAACTGTGGGCAAGCGAGTATGGATCGAGAAATGCTTCCTTCGGAAAGCCAAGAAAAGTAGGTAATAATTTAATTTTAATAACTCCTGAAAATCACAAAAGACAAGCAAGCTCACAAATAAAACTTGCATTGTAATAAATCTTGATATTTTGTTATACTGTAGTAAGATTTTCGAAGCATTTTCTCCAGAATGTTTCTACCAGGACATTGGAATAAGTTTGTTAGCACGAATTTTTATTTAATGAAACATTTTCTTAATCCTCACGGAATTTCACACGTAGATTTCATAGGGAAATTTTGCGTTTGAAAAGCAGGTGAAAAGTATCAACACCCATAAAGCCCTTCTGCTACATAAAATTAAAATATATATATATATTGTTTGAGGCACCACTGGCACTAAAAATGTAGTTCTTTTGGAACCAAATTTTCCGATAATCTTCGGAATATTTGAGTGAAATAAAAATATTTAAAAAAAGCGAATTGAAGCAGGCTCATGTAAAATCTTGATTCACCAAGAATAATAATTTCATATTGCAGCCCTCACTTGAACAACTCATTGCTCACCAAATAATTGATGTTGTAGGGCAACCTTCGCAGGCTCAGCATCACTAACACAAAAATTTTCTGGATCAGAACCTTGTTTGCGTTATTGAACATGATTGTAACATCATAAAACTAAATTATAAAACTACGAAATAAATTTTTATTTTTTCGGAATTTGCTTGAAATATTTCATATTGCACTTGGACCACCTGCAAACTCGTGACATGCAAGCGTGGCAAGGCGAACCAAATTACCTCACAGTGCCGGGGGGCAACTCTGTGTCATCTGTCCATTTCAACCTATACAAGGGTGGGCAAAAAAAATTGGAACGGTCGTCAAGAAATTATACAATACTATTGCTGTGTATAAACTAATTTCATCTCCGATGAATAAAAAAAATCTCGACAATATCAAACCATCATAATACAATATTAAACTTCTCTGAACTCCCAAGGTAAAAACTTTAAAATTTTAAAATTTAATTTAAAGGTAAAAAATTTTCGTTAAACTTGAAAATGGTGCAAAAAGCCACACTTCGGCTTTTTGAAACTGCACTTTGTAAACGCTTTTTGCATAATCATCAAAAAGGGGATTTCAAACACGGCCATTTAAATGAAAAGCGTTGGTTTAATCCACAAAAAGTTTAAAGAAAAAACTCTGTAATGTTAAAGCAGGATGAGCCGTTTAAAATAAAATGAAAATTACAGAAAAAATACTAAAAAAAATTGTGTTACTTTAAAATGAGCGAAATCTATTTAGAATTGTTAAAATTAGATTTCATTTTGCCAAGAGCATCCATGAAAAAAAAGCCTTAAATTCCTAAAAATGCTCAGTCCAAAACCTCTCAAAAGGATTAAATATGATATAAATTCAAAAACGATGCTTGACGGGAATGTATTTCTTTCAACAAAATGAACTCTAAAATTGTTATTTATTTTCTTTTCCGCTTTAAGCACACGGTGCTTTTTAGTTACACTGCGGTACAGAATTTACAAATTTAATATCTGTCAAATGTCTCATTTTTTGGCTTTTCAAGATTCATCCTTTCATTCGATTCCAGCATAAATCTTGCTGATAGCAAGAAATCTGCTCAAGGACATGTTCACAGCTGTGGAAGAAAAAACACGATGAGCTAAAGAAAAATACGCCAAAAAAAAAAAAGAAAAAACCTTGTGCAATTCGTGAATTTCTGCACGTCCATTCCCTCCGCATCCATTCATTCATCTCGGGTTCATTAAGTGAACTTATATTGTCCGAATTTCAAAGTTGATTCCAATTAAATAAACTACAGTATATTTAAAATTTCGGTGAGAATCTTTATTCAGAAATACAGTAATACAAAAAGATTGGCTTGCAGCAGGAAAAAAGGCTGATGAGATTTCATGTACGTAAATTCTACGCAAAATCCAACTCGGTTATTATTTTGGGATTCCAGCCTTCGGCCTGTTCAAATTCAATGGCGCAATTATTTTTATGGCATGCCAGACTCGCATGTATAGTATTGTCTTATTCGGACCAACACGAATTCTTGAAGCTCATACTGTACTGTAATATTACCACGTTCAGTTTCTTTATGGCAAAAAAAAATCCACAGTCCAAAGCCAGATATAACTCAAAAAAATTATACAGTGATACCCCCACATGCGGACGCCTTGACATGGGGACAATTTGACATATGGACATTTATTTTTCAATGAAAAAATCATGAGAAGGCCCTACATATGGACACTGACTTGACATGCGGACATTGCATGATAAAATGGCATAAAAAATGTCAGCAAAATTGACTTTTATTAGGCTTAATTGCAAGAACCAGATATTTCCAACCCTAAGTGCTATGCAATAAAAATTCTTTGGTATTTTTCCCATCCATCCAGCTAATTAAAAAAATTATCTATAGCACAGAGAGACTTTGTCCTTCCGTCTTTGTAACTTGAATGTTATTTTTACCGATGCCAACATTTCAATTTACAGTACAGAGATACACTATTCAATACTCCACATGTTCTTATTGGATTGAAAAGATATTCACGGACTAAAATGGGCAGAAAAATTTTTTCCATGGAATTCTGAAGAATATTTCTTCCATAAAACACCCATTAAAAATTATACTGTATGAAGTAAGTCTATGGGAGAACAAAACTTGACTTAGGGACACTACTGATGCACCAATTACGTCTGCAACTCGGGGTCTCACTGTACTTGCTGTCTGTTAAACGAGGCACCATCATCATCATCATGGCGCTATATGTATTGCAGTTTTTATTTTTATTTTTTCCTTTTCCCCGATATGAAAGCCATCAAGACATTTTTTTTTTCGCCCCGTATTTAAACGGGGCGTATAAATATATATACACTATATATATATATATTTATATATACAGCAGTATATTTATATTCTCGACAAAATATAAATAAATAAATAAAAGAAAATTTTACTCTGCTACCTCCTTTCCTCCTTTTCTCTTTTACTCCAGTCTTCTGGATGCACTACCTCACGCTCCGCTAGAGCACTGGGGCAGACACGTACAGAACGTGCCGTCTCATCAACCACATGAACTGGGACACGAAAAACGTGCCCCGGATCCCGCATCCGTTCGGGTTCACCCGCTGCCCGTTGAAGATCTCGTTGTAGAGCTCGATGTTGGCCACGTTGATGGCGTCGTCGAACGTCACCGTGACCATTTGCGGGATCCGCTGTGGGTCCAGGTTCCCGGGCACGGCCGTGCCGTCCAGCGAGCAGAAGCACTCGGGGATCGTGCAGATCTCCGGGTTGCACACCGGGGCTCGGTTCGGGTCGTTGTTGATGTCTATATATACCGTGTATAAAAAATAACACCGGCCATGTGCGGAACGATGAGGCACAAACAACAACAACAACCACCAAATATTCGATGTATGAAACACACCAGCACATCCCCGTGGTTGTGCATTAATTTGAATGGAAAAAATTATATTCAAAATTATTTTGACAATAGAATTCAAAAATTGGAATGCTGAATTTGAATTAAAATGGCTTAAATTGAGTTACATATATATATTCTAGGCTCGTCTGTCTTTATTGCGAATTAACCCATAAAATTGCTCTAATTCTCTCTTATAGGCATCAAGAAAAACAAGAACAGCAAAATCATTTGAAAACATTTAGAATAATCTTGAAAGAACTCAAGAAGACAATAGAAATGATGCATCCATCAAAATACTCAATATAAAACACACCAGCATCGTTATGTGTATTAAATTGAATTTAAAGTGTTAATTTAAAATTATTTTGACACCATAGAATTAAAAATTGGAATTGCAATGATTTTTAAAATTTGAATTAAAATGGTTTTCACATTTTAATTCAAATTTTAAAAATCATGATTTTAAAAATCATGCAATGATTTTTAAAATTTGAATTAAAATGGTTTTCACATTTTAATTCAAATTTTAAAAATCATTGTTGAAATAGCTTTTAAATTTGAATTGAGATTATGTTGAAATTTGAATTGAAATTATTTTGGAATTTGAATCGAAATGGTTATGAAAGTTTAAATGAAAGGATTTTCAAATTTATTTTGAAATATCAATTTACATGATTTTGAAAGTCGCAGTGAAGTGATTTTTGAAAATTAAATTTTGAATCGAAGGATTTGAAATACAGTAGAGTACTTGTACGCGGTACTTCTCTTCCAGAATCGCGTGACCTCAGCTAAGTGGGTTAATTTTGACCAGACTGTTATTGTCTCGATAAATATGAGCCCTCAAAAAATGCAGCGACCATATTTATTCAAGTACCAAGCACCCTGGATTTTTAAACCCACGATTTTGTTTAGAAAAAAAAAAACCTATCCTTGACTATAAGACACTCATGAACGTGGCGCACCCCATTTTTAGTAAGTGGACATTTTAAATATAAAAGCCGCCTTCACAGCCGCCACATTAGCGGTTGTTAATGCCACGTTGATTTCAAGAATTCTGAGGGGAAAGCTGGGCTACAGCAAAACAAAATCTGCAGGAAGGGCGCCTAATATTTTGAGTGTAGAGCAAAACTCTCTGCCAGGGTGAATTTTGCAAAACATTCCAAAAAAAATTCGTCAAACAGGGCTGATTTTAATTTTTGCGTGCCAAATAATATGCTTTCCATAAAAAATAATTTTTCTTTCAGCTCGATTATAAGCCATTTTAATTTCTAATCCCAGAACTTTCGTTAGACCCCTCGTATATATGTACTGTATATACTGACACATCGCATGACCCGATGAGGAACACTTACCGCATGAGGCTTCGTCCGAGCCGTCGGAACACTGTTCGGTACCATCACAGAATTGCTTTCTCGGAATGCAAGTCGAGTCCCCGCAAGCCAAAAAGTCCTCCTGCAAAAAATAAAAATAAACAAAATAAAAAATGCATTCCCCCGATTGGGATTTGAACTATTTCCGCATTCACGCAATCGCACAGCGGGGCCGCTAGAATTATTTACCCAGTGCTTTTCGGGGAATAAAGCATCACGCGTACGCGTATAAGACCTAATAAAAATGGGCGAGTTGAAGAAATAAGTGCATAATTGGAAATACTCGCCAATTTTCCAGGGGAAAACAAAAAAATCCTGATCGCTTCTGTAAATTCAGATAATCTCTAGCATTATTACCTGTGTATATTTGAAACAGCGATGCGGCCGATTGTGAGAATTTTATGGACCAAAAAGTCCTTCTATATCGAAAGTAAATGCGGTTTCCCTATATTTATGCTCTATTGAATAAATAAAACTCGAATAATTTTTCTAGCGATTTTCAGGGAAAACATTCCATACAGGCCACACACGAAAAAAAAATTAAAACGTGAGAAATGAGGGCCAATGCATAATGGCAAGCCTACCAACTTTCACCACAAACACACAAAAAAGGTACTTTCCTGTTACTTGTACTTATTTCAGTACCCGTTTTTCTTTGTCTTGTGAATTCAGTATTTGTTAGGTTAGGTTAGGTTAGGTCAGGTTCTGTTAATTGAAAGATATTTGTAACTAACATAACCTGACCTAACCTAACTTCACCTAACCGCCTCCCAAAATCAGTTTCAGCAGAATGCGGAAAAATAAAATTCACAGTTTCTGGTAGGTGCACGGAAAGTAGGTACTGAGATAACAGGAAAGTACCCAAAAAGTATTCAGAAAATCTCGAGTGTATTGGCCGCATAATCCAGACTGAGCTGATGGGGCCTATATTTGTCTGAATAGTCGATACCCCTCGCAAATTTTTTTCAGAATTTCATGAAAAGAAGTGTTCTCGATAATAGCGTAAAAATTAAGGTATTTATCGCTCTGTAATTTTATGCAACCGTATATATTCAATAACCCATTATCAAGGCTTTGCATGACTATGTAGACCGCACCAGGATTTTGAGGAGCTATTTCAAAAGGAAAAAAGTATGCAAAACACAAGAAAGGGGGAAAAGGGAAATGATGTGGTACTGCACATCCATAAACCAATATAAATAATTGTGGTTGCAATTTTATTATGTGACCTACTCCGCAATTTTTCACGCTCAGAAAAATCGCCGTATCTTGCTTCGGATGTCTGTGGAAACTTGCAATAAAAAAAAGATTACTTTTTTCAATTTTTCTTCAATTTCATCGAACATTTCAGGAATCCCATGAGGGAGTCATCAATAAAAGAAAAATACGGCCATACACAGCCATAAAAAATGGCAAATGGTGCTGATTATATTTTTTAAATATGAAATTCAGTAATTTATATTTTTTAAATATTAAATTCAGTAATTTATATTTTTTAAATATTAAATTCACTAATTCAAATAAGTGAAGTCCGAAAGAATCTGTCAGAGGTGAGGTATGAGAATTATTTAAAATTCACTGGGATACACGACCATTATAAAGTAGAGCACTGTACTTGACTACAGTACTGCATCTCTGAGCAATGCTGCAATCCAGTTTTTCAGTGCAACTTCCGTTGAAAAAAAGGCGGCCCAAATTAATCGAGGAAATACTTCAAAAAAATTACCCTGTGTGACATTAATTTGCTGTTGATTATCAGGGAGTTGGTGGGAAAATTTGTCTAGTCTGGAACCGGCCTCGAATTATTCAAGACAGAAAAACAGGAGGCTTGTCGTTCTTGGTGCTGAAGGAATCATAAAAAAAATGTGACGTGAGAAAAAATTGCGCTCGGACAATTTTTGCTTTACAAATTAATTAAAATTATGTTTTAAGGGAATTTTTGTTGCAACAAAAAGCTTCAAAAAGGTGCTTATGGAAACACTAATGTGTACAGTTTACGCAGCATAAACAATGTAGTTATGACACACTTCAAAGATTAATTAGTTACAAAAAATCAATGGTTTTTCCAGTTTTTCCTCAAAACAGCACAATGCATGAAATGCTATCCTCTTTGAAAAAATATCCAAATCCTTACTCACCGTTTAAGCATTTAAAAAAAGAGACTAAAAAAAATTCAAATATAGTATCGCTTTTTAAATAATAATAAAAAATCGGGATTAAATCATTTTCTCTCTAGGGAAATTCTACTTTCCCTGTCTCGAAAAGACACAGCTCCAAATTTTTAGTGAAGTACAGTATAAAAAAAAAATACTTGCCATGCCTGAATAATTCTTTTGAACTAAAGTAATTCTGTTGCATGACTGCCATCAGACAGCGCCAGCGAAAAACCCAGCGTCAATTTATGTATCCAGTAATTCAGAATAATAGTTTGCCAGCTCAGATACGCTTCAAGGTTTCCTTAACGCTCCGATTGCATTGCATAATCTCACACACTGAGCTATTGTACTATAAATTCCCTGCGGTTGGCAACAGCAACTTTACGCCATATACAGTGTACTGTACGTCACTTTTTTGCCACAAACAAAAAAGGGGGTTCACGAATTTCGCAAAATTTCAGTATTTTTGCAAATTTTGACTGCCTTGAAACGCTGGAAAAAATTGTTGCAAGCTTGTATTGAATTCTTTCAACAGCAAAAAGAATTCAAAAATCTAGCCAATTCTTGAAGCAACTGAAAAAAGGTTATTCACATACTGGAGTAACGTACAGTGATACCCCAAGATGCAGACGTAATTGGTGCATCAAGAGTGTCCCTAAGTTGAGTCTTGTTTTACCTTGAACTTACATTATATAATTTTTAACTGGTGTTCTATGGACAAAATACTCACCATAATTCCATGAAAATAAAAATTGTCTCACAATTTAAACTGATTCAATCAATATATTTCAACACAATATGGACATTTTGAGAATTGAATACTGATACCTCTGAACAGTACTTGGAAATGTTGGCTCTGTAAAAATAACATTCAAGTGAAAAAGAGAGAAGGAAGTCACTCTTATGCTGGAGATACTTTTTTAAATTAGCTAAATGGATGGTAAANAAATAACATTCAAGTGAAAAAGAGAGAAGGAAGTCACTCTATGCTGGAGGTAATTTTTTAAATTAGCTAAATGGATGGTAAATTGGTGAGAGAAATGCGCAATAACTTTTCTCACATCAATTTTAGGGTTGGAAATAACTGTTTCTTGTAATTTGGCCTGAAATGTATTTTAAATTTTATCACAAAACGACCCTATGTTGAGTCAGTGTCCTCACGTTCGGCCTTTCTCATTAATTTTTTATGGGAAATTAAGTGTCCCTATGTTGAATTATCCGCTGGTTGAGGTGTCCGCATGTGTGGTCTCACTGTAATTTATAGGTGAATATTTCTTCTGGTAATATATTGAGCAATAAATACATGTTTCGAAACGGTTCACGTCGGGTCACTTGTATCTACTGATTCAGATGTTCCTTAACTTTCAATTTCACAAAGAAATAAAAAAGAATGTTTTTAAAGCAGCTGCTGATCCGTCATGAAACACCTCCCAGTGGATAATATAGTCAAGCTAACTTACCGGGTGAATAATTAGTGTAATACTGTTCTATAATCAAATCTCATGTCCAAAAATTAAAATTAAATGAAATACAGTAATAAATAAGGTACCTGAGTTTATAACCACGGAATTCGCGACACTCGGGATGAATTTCTCGAGTGAAAATGCGAAAAACAAAACTGACCTGACACAAGGGCTCGTCGGTCGCCAACAACGGCTTGGCCTTCCTGTCCTTGTTCTTTTTATTGCAGTTGCTGACCTGGTCTTTCCAGTTGCAGGTCTGAGCTTCGATGTCGAAGTACAGACCCGGAGGACAACGGATGGCTTGCAAACCCTGCGAAGAAACGAAAGCATTCGTGAATCAACGAACAAACGTTTAAAACCCCGGATCTTTCAAAGTTTTCGTAAGCATCTCGGGCATAAAAAAGATTGCACACTTCTTTTTTTTCTTGAGAAAAACAAGGTGTACAAAAATGATGGCATAAAAACGCGATATGAATAACAGTAGTGTCAAGAAGATTTATTTGATGTGAGCTTTTCGTTCCATTGGATTTGTTGGTCTGGTGATTCCCTCATAAAATGTTTGTCATTATTTACAAGAAGTGTGTTTTTTTATATAATTTCCGGGCTGAAGTTTCAAATTTGGCCAGGAACAAACATCTCCCAAACTTCAATTGTAGCGCTTTCGGTTTGGAATTTAAAGAAAGAAAAAAAAAGTCCACACAAATGTGATTTACATGCAACCCCATGATTTTATGGGAATCACAGACATTAAAAACCCAAAACGCTTTAAAGTTTGAACGAAGTTCTTAGAAACAATGTCCAACATTGAAAAGCATTTTCCTGTGAAAAATATTCTCACCCTTACAATGTACAAGGGAAAAATTGCGATCGGAGATCGAAGTGCTACAATCAAAAATGCAGACGTATTATTGATTCAACAGCATTTCAAAATTTTAAAACGTTCTAACAAAAACAATGAAAGAAACTTTCAATCTAATTTTTTTTTCGAATAATCTCGAACTGTGCTCTACTTTTTGAAAATCACTGCAGCACTCGATTTAGCAAAATGTAATTAGCTTTCTAAAAAAAAGCACTGTATGCATCAATTTCCAGACACTGTATACAAAAAGGAATAAAACAGATTTTCCTATTGTGTCTTTGCAATTTTTGAAGCGTAATTAAAAAGGACCGCAATACAGTGTATTCTGAACAGATTCACTTGCGTTTTTAGCCCTAAAAACTATAATCACCTCATGCGTAAAACAAATTCGATAAATGGAGAAGAGAAATTTGAGTTGTGGTCAATATGAATAAAATAATTTCCAGCATTATACTCTACAATATTTCAAGCGAGCAGATTTTTTTTTTTTAGCACAACACATACTCTGGCTTAATATGCCTGCTGGAAATTGACGTCCTATTATTTTTTGCCTCGCATTTTTTCTGTAAAAAAAAGTTTCTATACGAATTTAGTCTTTCGCAAAAATTGAGACATTTCAATAGCAACCATATGGAACGAACAACACATGCGCATTCCCATCAAATCACAAACATCATCATCATATTACCTTCTCAGTATAAAAATAATAATTTTTTTGAGTGAAAGATACGCGTCCTTTCTCATTTTATTTTTACTTTTCTTGTTGCACCGAACTGCCAGCAGTGAAAGAGAAGAGCATCAGATGAGCGCACTTTCACAAGCTAGAGAGAAAGAGAGACAGAGAGAAAGCAAGGAAGGAAGGGTTTCAGACAGGGATGCCCGAACCTTCCAAGAGCCAGCCAGCCCCGATGAGAAATGCGGCTTGGCAATACTGTGCTGTATTCCATATCCAGCGAATCCCGTTCCCCGCCTGGAATTTTGTTTGCTTGTTTGTTCGTTGCTCGAACCACACATACTGCAGTGTATAAACTGTACTAATAATTACGGAGTTCCAAGTGAAAACTCATCCGAGCTTCACTTATTATTTTTTGGAGAGTTCGGCAGGAAATCGATCTTGAAACCTGACACGAAAAACCCTATACTGTATATTGATCCTTATTATACGATTTCGGGCTCATCCACCGCCTTTCTCTATACAGTACTGCATACAGTTACTGTACTGTACTTTTCCCTGAGTGCCACACTGCCGAAAAAGATGGCAACCCAACCCCGGACCACTTCCAGCTGAATGATATCATCTGTAGTTCAGATAACTGGAAATTGACGAGATACATGTAACACGTTCCTAGCTATTTTCAATACGGTAAGAAGTGCCGTACATTCTAATGATCCCAACTAATGACCATGTGCAAAAGTCGAGCACAGATGAACGAATTACCAAAATTGCATCAGCATGAACGAATGATCATTAAATAAGGAATTCAAGAGTCTTCATTTTGATTGAATTTAGTGCAATACTATATATCCAAGCCAATCACAGGAACATAGAGAAGATCAAACAATTTTTTAAAATTCCGACATAAGCTACTTATTTTTTTTCCTCGACAGATAAGAATTTGCACACTATTGATCAAATAATCCGCAATTCATTGAAACCTGTATATTCAGTGTAACGCAAGCCTATGGAATATATGCTTACAATCGAATACAATAACTAAAATAACCCCGAACAACCAACCGATCAAGTCTAAAAGTTGATTGTTCCAACCTAATTTAACTTCACACAATTCTATCCTGACCTAATCAAGTGAAAGTCAGTAGAAATCAACATGAACTTAGAAAATGCAGGGGTTCACAAAAAAATATTTAGTGAGACGTATGCACTATAGAAACTTGTTCATGATAGATGATGAAAGAATCCGATGTTTTTCCGTCCAGGTCTTTTCATTTTGTTCTTCATGTACACGAGAAAATGTCACGCGAAAATTATTGGTACATTAGCTCGTTCATGTCCCTATACTGTCCTGCGTGAATTCTGCAAACGGGAATATACCGGCAATATAAACTCTCGTCGGAACAAATGTATGCTCACAATTTGTTCTATACAGACACTACATATAAAATGACGATGTTTCTTTTCTTAACTCGCAATAAAAATAATTTTGTTTTAATACATTACTGTCCACGGAAATTTTCAGGATCCAATCGCTTCGCTGTAAAAGCACCAATTCTACTGTATACTGCACATATATCCCTCATTTTCAAAAAATTCGGCGATGTGATGTGAAATTGACTCACCGACGAAGTGCATTGTATGACGTTCCGACATTCATCCCCAGCTTGGGAGGACACGAGTCTGAACCATTCCGCAGGAGATCGATCCTTGCACAGCTCCTTCTCAAAGTTGTTCTCTTCCACGGGTACCGCTTCTTGACCGTTCACTGCTGCGAACAAAACACTGCACGGTTTTTATTGCCAATTCCTTCGTCATAATCATCATCAGAGGAGGAGGAGGAGGAACAGCATGAAGAAGAAGTATAGGAGAGGAATGACAACGGAAAGAGGAGGAGAAACACACAGAGAAGCAATAGTTGAGAGAGAGGGGGAAGGGAGGGGAAAAAGGAGAAAACCGGTTCCATGCTGGACGAGGGAACTTTCACCTTCCCGACGAAACCCAGTGGGGGCTTCAACTTTTCTCCTCCCCCTCCCCACAAAAGAAGCCCCTTCACGCCAGAACGTGAACCCAGGCGATCACAATCTTTTTGACTTTTTCAACTGCATGGACGCCTGTCTCTTTGGCACAGAGAAAGAGAGGGAAAATCCTGATGGCACAAAAAAAACTTACAATTCAACTTTCAGCCCATTATAGTTGAACTTCCACAGCAAGTCAAACATTTTTGTTTTTGGGCTTTGTCTGAATTCCCCTTATATATAAGAACAGCAGCTACACATAAAGATGACCTCCTTAACTCAAAGGCTTTCCCCATCAAACTCCATTTTTATATGCCTTTCTGCTGTTATCATTTTGGGAACAAGTGAAATGGAAGAGCAATAAAATATACTGTAATTAGATTCTTTTTTTTAAAGAAGATTTAAGCAAGTGCTTGAGCAATTGCACCCTTGTTTTTGACAAGTTCAGCATCTTGTAATCTCATTTATCCAGCAATTTGTGTCCCTACAGATCAACAAATTTTAGTTTCCTGTAATTACTTCAATTTTCATTTCAACAAAAGGCTGGGTTCTCCTAATTCAAAAAACTCCTCAAGTCAATTTTTGATGGTCCCCATGCCCTGTGACCCATTACATAATTATTGAGCAGAACTTAATTGGATACTGTACTATCATACCAAATATCACATGCTGCCAACACACCTCACACAAAGGTATTTCTTCCAATCTTTTGAACCACTGATCCTCATTTTACAAAAACGAAAGCAAAGAAAAAACGTTGTTAAGCAGAGCTCAGTGTTGAAGAACTTTGGCGAATCCATGTCTTACCCTATATGTCTTGTAAATCTAAATTACTTTATTTTTTTAAGCGACATTAATGAAGAAAACTTTCATGCGACCGTTTTACTGCAGATCACTATATATGAAAATATGTACGCTAAAATCGTCGACTATTCATTGCGATCTTGACATTTTCAAAATCAATTTTACCTGAAGTTTACAAGAGGCCACCAGCAAGAGCTCGGATGATAAAAATGTATGTTTTGAGGCAATTGAAAAATAAATTTTGCATTCAAATAGAAGACATTAGTATCATAAACCAATTTAAATTCACTTTTTGGATAGAGGGCTTATATGCAAATCAACGATTTTTTTTTGGCTGCAAAGAATGTACCTTTCAGGCAGTGGCCCTCAAACCCCATAAATGCTACACACATGACAGTGTCAATTTGGTTGTCCAGCCAGCCCCATTTTTAAATATGTTATCCTGTACATAAACTGTTGAGGAGGATCATGTTGGGCATTGATTGCCTTGTTTCTGGGAGTAAGTTTCTGAACAGCAGAAATTTGTGCTAGAATATACTTTTGGAAGGTGGTGATTCTCTCCAGAAATGTATTACTTAATCAGTAGCTTGATCCCATAAAGTCTGTCATTCAAGAATCATGCTGACTGATTGAATCATGGATTCAAGCATCCCAACAACATTCAAGAATAGTTTAGCTATTGTGAAATATTTTATAGATTTTTTATTGTGGAAAGATTGTGGAATATATTTAGGTTATTTTAGCTGTTGGCAACTTATTCGTAAATAAGTTTTTGAGGGAGGTGATGGTGGAGGATTATTGACAAATAACCTGAAAGGGTTCGACAAATCTGCTTCCCATTCAGAACAAAAATGAAATAAGAGCTTCCTAAAGTAACTCATCAAGGAAAGCCATGTTTACACGATAAAGATAATGTAATATAGCGTTTATGCACTTAATAAATAGAATAATGGCCAGATTTGCAACAGAAATTTTAATTTTTCAAAGATGATAATTTATTCAAATCAGGATATGAGAATATGCTGTCTAAAGCAAAGATCACCGGCTCTGCGCGTGTGTGTTGTGCAAAAAATTACTTGCGGAACATTTTCTATATAACCACTATATACTGTACTTTATGCTTAGTCTTACGACGATGACACATGCGAATGGTTTGTGAATGCGACAGGCAGTTTCAAGATGCAGATTTCTCGAGACAGTATTGCAGTACATAGCCACAGCAGTACAGATTAGAAACGAAAATATAGAATTCCCTTCCATTAATCCCGAGAACTTGGAGAAAAAATCAAAAATACTTAGCGTACCTCCGATTCGAAAGACTGCAACAACGCACCAGCACACCGCAGCTAAAGACCCGAAACCCATTCGCATTTCCAACACGCTTCTCACACTGAACCCAAGAACTGAAATATCCGCACCGAAACGCGGACCTTGAGAGAGTAATGAGAAAAATACAGTGCAGTATTGCTTCATGGTGTGAAGTAATGCCAACCCATTCTGTATGGGGAGCTTTTTTTTTAAATCTTTTTTACCCCCTCCCAGATCGATGGGGAACAAATTCATGTGTTCCCGTTCCGATAATGGCGAAAGCTGTTCCATACGTAGTCTCTGATCTGCGAGACCCATTTCTACTGTCGTACTTGAATTTTCTCAGCACAGCATGATCGCGTTATAGAACAGAAAGTACTTCGAATTACACAAATCGGGGAGAATAAATTACTATGCCATTATACACGCCTTTCATGCAGGAAAATGACTGAAGTTTGGCTTCAAGAATTCCTGACACTTCCTTCTTACTTCGGGACAGTTCCTCAGCATTTATACTGTAGTCAGCAATCTTTGTGGAGTTTACGTTTAAGGTACAATATTGTGCATAATGGTTCGGGAAACCTCGAGTTCGTTTCATTCCGAAGCACCACTGCAACAGCGACGACAACAGTTAAGCGAAAGCCATCCGAAGTGGACGAGGCCCCCTAACAACGAAGTGCAGGACGAGCACGGGTCTCATCGCGCCTGCGCAACGTGATTCACCTCCACACTCTTCGGGGGCTGTTCGCACACTGATGTCAGTAGGTCAGTCCCTGCGCGGGCGCCCGAACGCACCTCCGCCCCTCCCCGCGCACTGTCTTACTCTGGAGAGCGCGCGGCTGTGACCATGGTTTCGGATATTCAGACACAATAACCTGCCACCTTTCCGTAAGTCATCATGCAACCTCAAAAATGAGGGGGGGACCGTGACTCAGATTTCTCATCATGAGCCTCACCTGTTTGCGAAACGGAGCCACGCAAGAAGTTCCGTCCATATATATGTTGCACCCATCGCGCGGATACACTGTGGCGTACTGTACTGTACTCATTTCTGATGGGGTTATGGATGGCCAACATGATGGATTTTTTTGCAACATGGACTCTGCTGAATATGCTCCCCAACCCGCGCGGTTTCTATATCGTGGGTTGTGTATCATGCTTTGTACTGTGCAGTATTGTACTGTGCGATTCCGGCACACTGTCCTTAATTCTTAAAGATTCGCTGCCCATTTGCTGCATGGGAATGCGAAACTACCAGCAGTACACTATCATTATTCAGAGGAAAAGCGTTTCTTATTACAGTATCTTAATTTTGTTGTACATGGTTTTCTCATGTTTCTGTTTTTGTTGTAATTTAATGATATTTCCATCTGTTAATGCTTTGTCTACAATATCATTCAGGAAATTCTTCAAGAATTCTTGAAAGAAATTACTGAAGAATTTGGAATGTGTATAGCAGGTAGTCTATCTTTCTGCAAGAATTTCCTCTGCTCCACAACAGATATTTTTCTTGGCCCCAGATTGTTCTCTACCCATGTTATAATCTCTATATACAGTGACATTTTCTACTAAAATGTTTTTTTCTGGTCCCTATAAAATTTTTCTGTCAAGAAAGTCCACCTGTACCCATTCCATTGGCCTGCAATACTCATAATAATATTAGGTGGAATGGGTTTTATATAGGGATATGAACTAATAAGTAATTATTTTTGGATCACCGAGTTCACACTTGCTGATGGACTTGAAACTGATTTTTCATACTTCTAAGCCCCTCCCACTCCAAATTCAAGACACTCGTCCAGTTCAATAAAATACTGTACCACAAAACATGTGAGCCACGCACTGTAATGAAATTTTGTACAGTTCTGGCGTCGGCTTGTCACACTTCCATAATCGTCCTTCCTTCCCACATGCCTTCTGATTTTCTTTCGCAGTTCATTTTCTACCATGCGAATATTTTTCAAGGATCCTAAATAAAACAATTGCAATCAATCATGGTTATTTATTCATACAGAAAGGAAAAGAAAATAAGCTTTATTATTCAAAACGATTATGCCATTATCATGCTCGTCTTGGTAGGCTTCCTATGCGAAATGAATGACTTGCAGTTACTCTTTGAAAGATAAAGTAAAGAACTTTCATAATTATAGTTGTACATATATACAAGGTGCGCAGCATCATATATAATTATAATTATGAGAAAGACAAATGTCGCAGAACAAAATCCGCCCTGAAAAAAAAAAATCAGGCGCTCTCTTAAATTGGTCTAATAAGTTCCGAATACTTACGGTACAGTAAGTTTTATAATCAGCCAGCCAAGAAGCGCTATTTCCCACATGTCCTTGGTACATTTCTTCTAACTATTCAAATACTGAAGTACAGTATATGGGAGATGCAGAGAATTCCAGTTTAGAAGCAGAATGCAGTTTTCATGTCCCATTTATTTATTTATTCATTTTATTCTACCCTTACAGTAATAATGTATACATGGTGTTTATCATACTGAGTATCAGCCTGAACTTCCAGCATAATCAATGAAATCAGAAAATGTCAGAAATGATTTTTACCAAGTGTGTGTATAGAACTTGAATTAGTACCGTACTTCAAAACATGTGAACCCTCAATTTGTTTTTGTTTAAGAATTAAAGCAATTTTGAGAATCACATTGGGATGCTTGTTCAACAATAAAAAGGTCCAGGTAAATTATACAGGTGGCCTCTCTCGCATCTGCAACAAAATTTAAGAGACCAGAGAAAATTTTGTTTTGGAATTGATGCAGCATATAATACAGTATTTGTATGTATATATTAGATTAACAGTGGGAGAGAATCCTATAAATGCGACCAAATAAATTATTATAAGGAGAAAATCATTGTAGTAGACACAGTTTTTGTAGTCTACTTGCGCGGTCCATATACTAGCTGAAGTATACATCTACAGCAGTTCAAACTCAAACAATATGCAAACAATAAATGTACTTCTATAGCAGTAATTTTTTATTGCATGCAGTGGCTGATTGAATTTTTTTATTTATGATTTCACAGAAGAATTGCCTTTCTCCAATTGTATAAAAGGTCTTGGATGTGCTTTATTTTGGGAGCTATGTATAATTGTCTAATAATTTGAAAAATCAGACCTATTGATGACAAAGGGCCCTTCTATGACTTCTTCCTTCACAATCAAAATTAGTGTCAGGATTGCTTAATTATTGTTTCCTTTTCTATATAGTACGTGTATGCAGCATATATATATATACAGTACTGTATATATATACATACAGTATATATACAGTACTGTATATATACTGTATACTGTACTTGCGGATATACCGTAAATATAAAAATTTACTTTTGTTCGTTTTCATTGATGATCTCAAGGTAAAAACTGCTGCTGTACCCTATTAAACCATCTCAGTCCCCAACATATATCAACAACAATACCCACCAATAACCTGTCGATCTCCTAGGTCCTAAGAACAGCACTTTCCAGCACTTTGATGGAGAAATGATATTCAGTACTGTATGCGAGTGGCCTTACATATACATGCTCCGTTTTCACCTCGGATCCCTGAACAGTATACTGCATATATCAGCGTGTTTGCCATAGTTAATAAATTATGAATGAAATAAAAGAAAGCTCTGATGCGCTTTTATGAGTGACTCTGATGCCGAACTTCAGCAGAAACATTTGATGAACAATCAACAAAGCCGCAATAAAAACCGCAATACAGACATAGCGAGAAGGAGAGAAACAGAAAGCATGAGCAGCGGAAGGGAGGGGAACCGGTTCCGACAAGGAACTTTCACCTTTTCCGGATGAAACCCACGGGGGACATCAACTTTTCTCCCCCACGGCTGTCCCTTCACGCCAGAATAATGTGAATAAGAGATCTGAATCTTTGGCCTTTCCGATGACCGGGCAGGTGCCCCAGTATGCTGGATACATGCAGCTTCCAAGACTTTTATTTCATGTGCGTCGCTCATACAGAAATTAGATGATGTTTATAGCTACAGTATTCGATCTGCTTCGTTTTACGGTCCGCTATGTCGAATCTCTATAGTTCGTGATGAACCGTCCATCATCCACAGCTGATGCTGAAATTCCTATACATGAATTGAGAGTCCCGATTTTGATGTTGCTGGCATGCTGCTGTTAGCCAGTTATTAACGCTCAGCAGCAGATATATGTCTGCCTTAAAAGGTTCAATTTATTTCATTAGGATACCAGTGGGGAATTGATTTTAAAATTTCACATTGAGATGAAGGAAAAGGGTCAAGCAAATCTCTATTATTTCAACGATTTTCGACGTGAACAGCAGCATGAGGCCCACAGGAGCAAAGTGACATCTGTGTACCAAAAATATATATCTTCTGATAGATCAAATACGTAAGTTCATTTGGCCCACGCAGCATTTTCCTGATGGGTGTCGAAGGGTTTACGGAAATATTACGGCAAATCGGCATTCGAAACTGGACTGCACGAAATTCCGGTGAGCGGACAACTTAGCGGTTGGATGTGAAATAGTTTTTTGACCTTCACAATTTGAGTTGTAGGCGTTGCGCCGGAAAATTTTTTGGAAGTGTATGTGTATGTGTTTTTGAGATATATTTCGAATATCTGAACGAACGATGACGCCTGTATGATGACATTTGTGATCAGGAATCTCACTTCTGAGAAGCTTGTGAATATGCATAGTGACGCCGTTGAGGAAATCGAAACACTGAAAGCAATATATTTTGATGAATTGAAAGTTTCGTTTGACGGGTGAGTCTATGAAAGAAGGAATGATGGCAGTTGTTGATTCAGTTCATTCGTCTTTAGAACCAATCAAATCGGCGATGAAGACCTCACCGATGCGGAACAGGTTACGCTCACCATCGATCTTTTCCCATCCACTGGTGACGTCAAGGAAAAGCAGCTGATTACGATTACTTTGTCCATTGAATTGAATGCCTCGTATCCTCTTGGGAAGCCGAATTTTTCTCTGAGAAACTCTCGTGGACTGAGTGACGAATCTGTTCTTGAAATACGAAATCAGTGCGATTCTTTTATTGCTCTGCGTGACGGAGAACCACTTCTGTATGATCTCATTCAGGTATGTTTTGACTCACGAGCTGAAGGTACGCATTGCACGTTTCAATCGGTGAATTGTTTTCATGTTTCAATAGGTTGTTACGGAGTGTCTAACTGACCGAAACGTTCCCAGTGGCTCATGTTGCATATGTCTCGAGGGCTTCGATTCATTCAGCAAGGACTACGCTGGCAGATGCACCCCTGTTGTGAGAACGAATTGTTTTCATCACCTCCACAGTCCATGCCTCGTACGCTACGTTTCTGCTACTTTGAAGAATATTCGTGAAGAAGAAGAAGAATGGGCGCTTTTGAATCCATATCAGCATAAAGTTCGACCGAAAGCAGTGGTATGTTGATGATGAAAAGAGAGAAACTCGTTTCTTGTTCAACTCGTGGTGGACTTTTCATGGCTCATCCATTTGTTTTCTTGATGCAGTGCGGTGTATTTCATTCATTTTTTCTCAACTAAAGGACAATTTTTATCAATTGCATTCGGTGAATTTCAGGCAATTTAACTCCAAATTTTTTCGAAACGAGGATTTCAACCAAATTTTTAATTATTCGAGAAAATCACTGCTCACGTCAGTCGAACATTTAAGAACACATTCAAGTGTTGAAGTTATAATTTACGTCGTCAGCTTTTTACGGATCTTCTGATTTTTCGTACATTAGTTTATCGAAATGATGGGGCTAGTGTGTGATTTGTGGGGTGAAATCTCGGTCTCAAGGTGTCGTGTATCAAAGTTTTCTACGGATATGTTTCAGCTTTGTTGTCCCGTGTGCCGTGAAAAGTTACCAGATGATTGCCAAAACATAACCGGAGCCGAAGCATTCTCCGAATCCGATGATGATGTTAAATACGTTCCTGACCAAGGAACTCAGAAGTTCTGGGAAGGAATGCGTCGCCTCTACGAAAAACAGCTCGCTCAAGGAGGCATCATTGATACTGAAGCCGACGAGCGTAACCGACTCGTCACTGTGACTAATTCAACGCGCTCCATTGAAGTTAGGAAAAGCCTCTCTGATGCTGATCCCCGCAACGTGATGTCCAGGCCGAAAGGCAACCCGCGGAAAATGTTTTCCAAAAAACCCTGACATTGGCAGGGTCGTGTTGAGCCTCATTCCTCTTTGACATTTTTCCGGCGTATAACTTTTTTTTCCGGCTGTGTTGAGGCATTTAGTGTGTTCAGTGGATTTGTGTTGCGCGTTCGGGATCGTTTGTTCGTGGGAAACTTCTTTTGGGTATTGGTGATACGTTCCTGTGTTTATCGTTATAAGATTGTTTGTATCCATCATGACCCGAGTCGTTTCCTTACGTGAAATTTTCAAAAGTCTTTCAAGTGTGAGACGCCATGAAATTGTATGTGCCCTGTGATTTTTCTGTGTAAATGAAACTTCAACGCGATTTCCCTTGGATTTGATGTCAGAAATATGAAAATACTGTACAGTATCACCGATTTCTTGAAGCTATGTATTGTAAAAATTCCGATGACGAACGACACTTGAAAGCTCGTTTCTTTCTTCCTTTCGAAGTAATATGCAGTAACTTCGAAATCGATATCATGTCTGAAGTGTTTATCCGAAAAAAAAAATTTTCTTCAACATATATGCGGTCGGTTTCTCGTATCTAAATATGACATTTTTAGTTTTCTTTACAGTATTTGTTCAAGATGATGCTAATGATATTTTCGTAACTGGACGATTCAATGAAACGATACATTTTTAAATGATTGTATATTTTGTCAAACTGTATACTGCTTGCAAATCTGGGGCAGCCTTAATCCAAGACATACTAATTGATGTGAGTCGAAATTTGGGGTAAATGGCGTCTTATATTTGTTTAAATACGGCATGAAGTCATGTTGGGCCAATTGTGTGTTAGCTGTAACTGTCGATTTTTTTTTTTCAGAAACTGATGAGTTCCAGCGGGAAGAGTGCACTATGAAATGTCGGAGTCAAGTGCGTCGCATGCACGTTCTTCCGACAATCTGCTGGCTGTGCTGAAATCTTTGGAGGAAGAGCTTGTTGCTTCCAAGAAAAGTTACGAGGAGATGTGCCAAACATTCTCGTGTACATTGGACTTCAAAAACAGCGAGCTTGCTGAACTGCGCAACCAGCTGGAATCCGCGAAGAACGCGTTACGCGAGGAGAAACTGCAAGACGTATTTTCGCATCATCCTGTTCCTGCAGCTTCGATAGCCTGTACTGAAGATGAAGAATCAAGGTCTTTTCAACCTGCTTTGATCGAACTCGAAAGTCAGAATCGCCTTCTGAAACAAGCCTTATCCTTGAAAGAAGAACAGTTGATCGTCTTGGAGACAGACAAGCGACGAATTGCTTTCGAAATAATTCATCAGAAGCTGAAATTCAGCGAAGTGAGCGTAAAATACGAAAAGTTGCTTAAATCACTGCGGGAACAAGAAGAGGAATACGTGCTTTTAAAAGATCGTTTCCGATGTGCCGACGCCATCCGGAATTCCCTGGAATACGAAGTTCTGACATTGAAAGAACAGCGAAATGCCGCATACGATGAAGTGGAAGCGTTCGCGGAAATGATTTCCGAGTCCTGCCACGTGAACCTTTGTTCGATAGATCTCAAACGATTGGATCCAGAGCTTCTGGACTCTCTATCCCGCAATGCCAAATGTGAAACATGCAGCGCTGGTTTGCGGTTATTGCTCAAAGCTGGGCAAAATACCAAACGCGTGACATTCGCCACCGGTTGTGATTCTCCGATAATAAATGAATCTCGGAAATCGTGTGAAACGTCTGACGGCCGAAGTCGTGTGGGGAAGAAATTCAACGAGCTCAGTGAATCGCTTATGGGTCTTCGGAATGAAATCGCTTTTCTCAAGTTTTCCATGCATCGTGTGCCAATATGAGTTTCATGTTCCCCTGATTGGTGTTCCGCAGGGTGTAATTTTGTGATTCGTGTTTGCGTGGTGTTTTTGTACAGTATTTCTGCCCGAAGATGAGTATTATTGATCTCGGTTTCGATCGGTTCCCTTGTGATCTTGGTGATTTGTAGTAACTTGTGTTCCATTGTGTTCTTACGGCGAAGATACGGAATTTGTGCCAAATATGTGAATGAAGGAAATATGTCGAATGTTGTTTTTTCTTCGGTGACCTTTTAGAAAATGACTTCGACTGACGCATTCACGGGTCATTTCACGCTCCCACAGTATTATTTCAACAATGATGTATTGAAAAATTATTCATGGAAAGGTACGGGATCTTAATTTTTCTGCTTCACACATCCTACATCACATTTTGTTTTTCCCGCTTTCAAGTGTCAAATATTGCTTTTGGAAATCAATCTTTTTAATTATTTCTTCCCGTTGCCCATACCCTGGTTCAGAAATGATTTCGAAGTCCGGAATGGAAGTCACGTTCTAAAACAAATCCGTTCTGTTCTGCGTGTCTTCTGAGTTATTGGCCTATTATCTGTGTCTGATTGCTCATTTTTTCGTATTTTTCGAATAATCCCAGGTTCTGTTCGCGTCGCGCGATTGTGCCACAATGATGGATATACCTGGTGGGCCGATGCCGCCGCCAGAGCCTGAGCTGCGCACAATTATTGAAAAATTGGCGCCGTTTGTGGCGAGGAATGGGCCAGCATTCGAATCCATCACGAAAGAAAAGCAGAAAGACAATCCGAAATTTTCGTTTCTCTTTGGCGGAGAGTGGTTCGATTACTACAAGCATCGCGTTCGACTGGAGGAAATGCAGCTGAACGCTGGGAAACCTCCGATGTCAAGTGAGAATGGTTCATTTAAAATCCGTTATCAATTTTATCCCTTACAATCTCGCGATCCTGTTCGGGTTTTACGAGGGGCAGTCCATAAGCTTTGACGCATCATAACCAAATGTCAACAACAGAATTCAGGTACAGTGCAATACAGTAATACTTTACTTGACAGAATTCAGAAGAAAATCACGGAGTCGGGGATTCATGTGGAGATGTACCGAAATGTGGATTAAATTTCTCATGACAGGGATGAAAACCCATTTCAAAAGCAGTTTTGAAATTTATTCGGTTAGACAGTATATATTTAAATGGCGAACAAATGTATTGATAAAATATTTCAGAAATATCCTTTTGAAATCACTTTTCATTTCCTCCGATTTCTCTGATTTTGTCTCCTCTTCGTGATTGATCAATCACCATTACTCGAGCTAATTTTCGAAAATATTGTTCGTATGCCAGATGCGTATCCGCCGTCGCATTATGGTGGACACGGAATGCCACCTCACGGACCACCTCATGGTCCTCCGCTAGGCCAAGGAGGAATGGCACCTCATGGTCCCCCAGGAGGACCACCGCACGGTCCCCCAGGAGGACCACCGCATGGTCAAGGAGGAATGGCACCTCATGGACCCCCAGGAGGTCCACCGCACGGTCAAGGAGGAATGGCACCACACGGTCCCCCTGGAGGACCACCACATGGCCCACCTGGGCCACAGCATTATCCGCCCATGGGACCACCGATGCGGGTGATACCACCCCCGGGTGTGCCGCCACCGGTGATGTTGCCGCCTCCTCCTCCGATCCCACGCGAGGAAATCCGTTCTCAGATCACCACTCTGCAAGTGAGTCCGATTGTTTCATGTGTAAAGCTTATCGTGAGGAATTTTCGGCAGTTTCATGTCTTGAACCTGCTTGGCCATGGAGACTCATTAACTTTTTCTGCAAAATTAGCCAATAATAACTGGATTATAACTTGACCAAACCAAGCACCAAACTTGAATAGGAAGTAACGAAGCGTAATGAAAGTCAGGCAACAAGCATGAAGTACTGCATATATTGAAATTAAGGACTCGGAACATGTGGGGTAAATTTAAGTATTTCGAGAAAAGAAGCTTTTTAAAAACAGGTCGTTTCGTTGTACAGTACTGTACTTGGCTTTATGCAAAAGTGCACAGGCATCGAGGCAATAGGAAAAATCTATCATGAAAATTTTGTTCTCTGAGGCATCGCCTTCACTAACACTTTTTCTTTCTCTAAATTTCGCCACGATTGACTGAGAATTGAATGTGGAATAAAGGCTTCGAATTCAACTTGTTTGCTTTGCAAGAAAACTGCGATCGCGAACTTTTATCTGACCTCTCGTCTCACACATTATAATGATAGCAGTACAATATACGGTACACGCGAAGAACGGAGAACGTGTATTACGCGTAGTAAGCCTCAACTACTGCTGATGAGGGGTTTCCTGGGAAAACGTTTTTGACGATTCCCAGTTAAACTGTGGAAAATTGACAGTGAAGAATAAATAGTGGTGATCCATCTTTTTGAAGTCGTCATTATCTGGCATTCATTTGATGCGACTTCTGCCATCGCTGTTCCTTGAGCGCATGAATTTCTTCCTCTCCATCTCTCTCGAAACGAATACCTAACTCTACAATGCTCGAAAAGGGAAGAGTCCCAAGATTGATAATGGTTTTCCACTTCTTCTTTGACGAGGCTTGATGTTTTCAGTTGGTAGATGTCGCTGGTAGGTAAGACAGCGTTATGCAGTACTGTTCAGTATTTTTACTTCAAGTTATCCCTACTTCCATCAGATAAATGCTAGTGACAATTTCTACGTTTAGCATGCAGGGGTTGATCGAATCCTGCGGGGATTTTTCGGAAGGCCTTTTTCTTGCTAAAAAATATTGTGCAGTACTGTACTGTACTTTGTTATCTCATATTTCGTACCGCGAATTTTGATAAATTTCTGCGCCCTTTTCAAACATGATTTTTCTTGGCAATGAATGCTTTGGAAGATGCAATTCAACATCGTATTTTCCAGTTGCAATGTTCAAGAATAACATATGCATACAGTATTTTGTTTTGTTGGCGGATAAGTGGTATTCTTTTGAAACATTTTCACGTGTATTTTTGCCTGTAGAGATTATTTATCTCACAAAATCGCGTTCAGCTTGTTGAGAATTCTTGTTTCGTTGATCGATGGTTTTCGAAATGTATCCGTTGCTTTCGACGGTGATGCGGGGTTTTCTTGAAGATCAAAAAGATGAACAGCCGAACCCTTTCATTTGATGTTGTAACATTTTTTTTTTCTTTCCAGGGCCAAATACGGGAAAGTGAAGCGAATCTCGCCGCCCAACAAGAGCTGATAGAAAAGCAGCAACAGCAGCAAATCGACGAGACGGTGGTGAAAGCGGAAGAGCTGCGTCTCAAGTCGTTATCCGAGTCCTCAGGAACGTCTGTTCTCGAGTTCGACTCCGTCCTGCACCCCATAATCCAGTCTTGCACCAAGGACGCCATTTCCACCGGCAAAACGTGGATGATGGCGCGTGCGGATCGGCCGGACGCCTGCGAGTTCATGGCTCTTCGTCTGCTCCAGAAAACGACTGACCCGCGTTCCCAGTTCACGACCAAGCTCCACTTGATTTACTTGCTCAACGACGTGATCCATCATTGCATCCGCAAGAACGCTGACGGGTTGCGTGAAAGCTTGCAGCACGTGATCGTGCCCATGTTCTGCAACGCCTGGCAAAACAGCGCCGAAAAGGAGCGACTCGAGAAATTATTGGTCTTGTGGGAATCCAAGTTGCAGTTCAACGAAGAGGTACTTTCCTTTTTCTTGTTAAACTTCGTTTACTGGGTTCTAAAGGATGGTGGTGGTCAGGAAATTACTTGTACCCGGGGTCAATCCAACACGACATGGTGGTACAGGTACGAGGATAGGAGGAACGTTTTTGCGTTTTTTTTTGGGGGGATCGTCTGTTGGACAGATGGAGGTCAGGAAATGGCGTGTAAGTTGGTCAGGCAACTGGTCCATTTCGTGAAGGGGTGTATTTAGGACAAAGCACTCTTTGTTCTTTGAAAAATTCTTGTTTTTCTCTGTCTGGATGTGGAATAATCATCAGCTACAGAATCTCTGCGAGGGGTTGTTCCTTTCCCGCGCGTCGGTAGGAATTCTGATATTGTAGAAAATCGTGAAAAATTTTATTTCGCCATGACGTTTTAAGCAATTTCCATATTTTCAAATTGTTCAAACATTTTTATCAAGACGTAATGAAAAATTAAAAATTTCTAGTTTTGGCCAAAGCTTCCCAATCATTTCACAGCATGATGAAACATTTTCTCAAGAGTTTGACAATGTAAATTTTGCTATTGTGTAGATTCTGTAGAATTTTATGGTGTGTTTCTCATATCTGGTGAAAATTATAGACTTTTGGAAGACTTTTACAGTGTTATCTTAATAGAAATAGAGATTGTGAAACAGTTTTGGGTGTGGCAAGGTGTTGATGTGAAATTTTTCCAATTTTTCTCACGATCCTGTGCCAAGGATACTTTTTGAGCATTAAAATTACTGTACCTTCTTCATTATGCCTTGAAAAGTATGAAAAAAAATTATCTCGGAAAGTATGAATTTGCCTATAATATCAAGTGGAAATTTTCATTTTTTTCGATTTTCAATGTCAGAATTTTCAAAGACGAGCTTCAGTGGGAAAACCTGTTTACCTTCTTTTCTTGACAAGAAAAAAAATTTAATGGGCGAAACATGAAATCCTCTGTTTCTAGAGCTCGGCAGCATTCGCGGGGTGAAGTGAAATGCTGTAGTGAAAAATTCTGTATCACCGTGTCCGTAGATTCTTCTGCAGCTAGTACGTGATATTGAAGTAAAGTACTTTTATGTTCCTTTCCTTGAAACTACTGTATTTCCAAACTCCAAAATTCAAAATGCGTATAAGTTTTTAGCTGCGAGTGACTGGAGGCGTCACCATTGGGGTGGAGACGATAACAGTTTTGCCGGGGCCCATAACGCCAGGCGGAACCGAGCCAACTCGCAAGTCCCGTAGGAACGCCATGCACTCTTCTTATAAATACCCCACCTCGCACATTCCCTTATGCCCGCCCCGCAGCGTGGCACCGGGGTATAGCGCTTGCCCCGGAGTGTTCTGTCCCGGGTTCGATTCCCGGCTCTGGCCGTATTTCGGCATGTTCAGTACGCCGTCAACGGCGATAGTCGCCCCGCGAGGGGTATTAACGTCAAATCTGCGGGGCGGGCACCTTCAGCCATTCCTTGGCACGTAATTGGCTTCTCCCCAATTGGGGCTTGTAGATTGTACGCGCCCTATCTGGGCAAAGCCATCTGTTGGCGTTTGATCAGTTTCATCCCCACAGGGGAATTACGCAACGGAATTACCCTTCGAGGGTGCAGCTATCTACTGGCACGAAATTTAACTCTCCCTGACTGGGGAATTTGTGAGGCCCTCATCGGGCAAAGCTGAACGAACTCGTAACTTAGAGTAGCCCTACCAGGGCACGGATGAGGTGGCATATGATATTTCCCAAATGGGATTTAAAAACGTAAAGGCCCTAAAGGGCAAAGCTGCCAAAATCCTTCAAAAGGGCGACCCTACGAGGGTCACCCTTTTGCTAGTTTTCCCTCAGTACGTTCCAGAGACCATTTTTGTTGATGAAAGGTTTTCTTCAGTCAGGAAGTGACTAGTCCTGTGCATGACTAGTTTTTGGCTTGATCACACAATGTTGATAAAAATACTTCCTTCTTGAATTGTGTGTGAGAATTCATTCACCTGAATAATTATCGCCTGACTTACAAGGACGAAGGTTTGTCCTCACAAGCTTCACTTCCCACGTTATTACTTGTCAGATCGATGTACTCACAGTGTACAGTACATGGAGAGTAACAAAATTGTGAAATACTGTACATTACTGTATTCTATCACTTCCTGATTGAATTGAAACCAAGACAGAGACGAGATCGCATGACCTCATTCTCAGCAAGGAATAATATTTCACTGTCATTTTGTGAATTTTCAGGGGTTCTAAAGTGTGATAGAAAAAGGATTTTGAAGCAACGTTTCAATGAAAACAAATTCTAAGCAAATCAATTTTCGTGTGACCATGAGTGATGCTGAATGTGGACGTTCCCCAGACATGTTACTTTATGAGCAATCTTTTGTCCTAGGTCCGTTTGAACGATAGATACTGTAGATCTATCGGGTCGGACTGCACTGAGTCGACATCTTTCCTGTTTGATCCCTTACTGTAGAAAAGTTGTATTGTTTGGACACTTGAAATGATATCCATATTATCCGATTTCCTTCCACTTGACAGGGGTGAACAGTTGGCCAACGAGAAAAAACCTTATAATCGATCACATGTGTGAGGGGATGTGTTCAGAACGAAGCACCCTTTGTTCCCGAAGAAATTGTTGATTTTTCACTCTGGATACGGAGTAACAATTAGCTGTGTAGAATCTGTATATTATTTTCTTGGCGTGAATTCTTTTTCCAGCGGCCCAATATAAAATACAAGATTCCTTTGCCATGAGAGCTGAGCTTTCCTTTCTGAGCCCTCCTGACACCGCCGGATATGGGTCAAATTTGTATTTAAAATTTTTTGGGGTGATTAGGCTCGATATGAATTTGACAGCATTCAAGGTGAAATTGAATTGTAAAAATTTCTAATCGTGCCCGTCGAATCGTCAGCAGCTATCGTACTGTAGTTAATTTTTTGGCGAGTGCCTTGAGAATTCACGAATGCATCGAAATCTGTGGAGCCCGTTGAGAAATGGTTGGTGGGATCCATGCAGGCGGAAAGTATCTTCTGGACCCTCACACCTCCTGAGAGGGCAGCTCTCTGGAGGTGTGACCCAAAAATGAATTGGTTCTGCAGAGAAAATCGGCCTACAGAGAAAATCGGCCCAGTCAACATTGCTGTAGAACCCAGTCATATATAATTTCAAGTGTCACACCTCCTGAGAGGGCAGCTCTCTGGAGGTGTGAGGGTGGGGCGTAAAGATGCCACCGGGGGAATCCAAACAAACCCGGTAACTGCGATCACGTGGCCTGCAGAGAGGTACCTGATGAATACCCCTCCTCCCTGGCATTCGGACATAGTGCTTGTCTACGGAATTTCCGTCTCGAGTTCGATCCCCGAGTCAGGGCAGGTTTGCGGCGAGATCCGCTGGGCCCCCTCGTGTCTGGGTTGTCTCCCCAGCCTGAAAAGGTTCCACCCTCTCAGGGCAACCTTTTTTCATATTCGTAGGCTTTTTTTTATTTTCCCAAAGAATTCAATTTATTTTCTGGAAAGTACTGTACACTTTCAGGAAAGTAGGGTCCGCGTGGAATGTGGGTACAGGTGGTCTGTCTCTACAGCAATGTTGACTAGGCCGATTTTCTCTGTAGAACAAATTTTTTTTGGGTCCCACATGCGCATATGGTTCACTTTCCTCGTTTAATGCCCAACAGGGGGTTCTCTGCTACAGAGGTTTTTTTTCTGGTACCTTCCTTGAATTTAATTGTAGAGAGAGATTTCTCCAGTATAAATGTTTCAGTAAAGAAATAAGGAAAGAATATTGGTGTATGTCAGACGTTAGTCTTGGTTGTAAAAATAGATGGGAAATGTTGTTTGGCACCGATCATGTTTCAATGCTTGTACAGTATGTTCTTTCATTTAATCCTAAGAATGTTCAATTGAACATTATCATTTTGTAAAAAAAAAGGTTTTAAGCGAACAAAAACTGAGGTACGGGGATATGTTTTTTGGAAAATTTTGCACCAAAAAATCAACATGCAAGTCATACTTGAGGGCGTGTGTGACTACTGTACCATAAATGTGGTATTCTTTAGTCACTTGGAAGCGATTGAAAACGTTTTGTTCGAATAAGAATGTCAGGTGTGCGAATGCATTGAAACGAACAGGTCCATAAATGAATATGTAAGGTTTCGGAAGGCTTTTTTTTTCAAGAATAAAAATAAATAGGTCGGAGTTTTTCAGAGGAGACAGTTGGGCGTTTATGAATATGATTTCAACGCGATCTTCCTGCATTTCTCTCAGAAATTGGCTAAACATTGAAGTTAATTTACGAGGATATCCGATGGAGTGTTGGAAATAATTGTTGACCGTCGAATTTTTTTCCACGAATTTCATAAATGTTTTAAACTACTATGCATCATTGTAAATTTGTAATACAGTTCCGTACTTCAGACAATCCCTTAGAAACTTAGATTTCGGTAACCGCTCAACAGCATCTTATTTTTTTTTAGTTCTCCTGCGAACTCAAAACTAACAAATCTCCGTTTTACTGTACAGTACTACGTGGCCATGGCCCGCGTAAGGGTGTCATGCGCCGGTGTGCAAAAAATAATTTGGCGCCCCCCCCCCCCCAAAAGTTGCTTTCTTGATTATTTTTGTAGAATGTCAAGAATATTTGCTGGACGAAAAAATCGATATATTCTGACTTTTGCAATACAGTACATTTAAAATAATTCAAGCTGTTGCATGAATCTGCATACGTAAATGTATGCTCCGGAACTCCTTTTTAGAAAATCACTAACTTTGTCACTCCATATTCATTGGTACAGTAAGCATGAGTATTTGTTAGGAGGTGAAGAAAACATTTTTTGTATTTTTCCCAATGGTTGTATTGAAATGTGTGTTATAATTTTCTTAGCTGACAAAATAACCTGCAAGTACTCAGCAATTGAAAATTTCAAACAATAATTCCCCTCAGTTTCACTCATTCTTGATATTGAATTCTAAAAAATGAAAGAAAGAACTCAAGAACTGTATGCACAACCATGTGCGGTGAAACCACTGCACCCGCCTTACGCGGGGCCTCTACGTGGCCATGAATGGCCGCCCATGCGTATTTTCGTCAAAATTATGCTACAGTTTAGTTTCTTTTATATATTTATACGAAAGGTGCTGAAGGCGCTGCGGAATCCGGATGCGTCATGGGCGGATTACCAGGCCTCGTTGATCACAAACAACGCCCACGTGATATCGCCGATTACGCGGGCGAATCTCGAGACATACGGTGGATACCAAAGTCAGCACATGGCGTTTGTTGCGCATGTGAATGGGCAGATTCAAGCCTTGGAGGCGATGGAGCGACAATGGGATGAATACGAGAAGACCGTGCTTCCGAATGGTCCTATGTTTGATTTGTCCCGTCCGCCGCCAAACATGCAGGTACAGAAATATGAATTCAAGTTTCAGCGACCCATTTGAGCTGGGCTTGGGGGGAAAAGAAGATTTTTCTTATTTTAATATCGAAGACTAGTTTCGATTGGATTCTCCATAAAACAACTGCAATTTTGACGTGCAAATCGCTTGATGTTTTTTTTTTTACGCCATTGAGTCCAGTTGGCCCTTAATTTTGCTTCGTACAGTGGACTCTATTTCGGGCAATAGACCGCCCAAAAAATTTGTGGTCCTTGATGAAAGTATTGTATTCTGTAAAATGTGGCTGCCAGCCCAATTTTTCAATTGTATTGCATTCCTTCTTTCCCGAATTTCTTTGCTGCTATTTTTTGTTGGACGTTTCTAGATTGAGTATTTAATTTGATAATTTATGAGGAAAATTTCCAAGAAATGTACGACTTATTTCCTATTCCACGTAACTTCAAATTATTAAGTACAAGTGAGACCCCCCCCCCCCCATGCGGATATAATTGGTGCATCCGTAGTGTCCCTAAGTCAAGTCTTTTTTTCCCATAGACTTACATTATATAATTTTTAATTGTTGTTTTATGGAAGATATATTCTTTAGAATTCTATGAAAAAAAATTGTTTGCCGCTTGAATTTGATTTAGTGAATATCTTTTCAACTCAATAAGAACATTTGGAGCATGAACCTCTTTACAGTACATTGAAATGTTGGCATCTATAAAAATAATATTCAAGTCACAAAGAGAAAAGGGAAGTCCCTCTATGCTAATTTTTTTAATTAGCTGAATGGATTGTAAAATGATTAGAGAAATACCAACTAATTTTTCTTGCATAGATCTTTGTAGTGTAAATATCTGGTTCTTGCAATTAAGCCTAATGAAAGTCAATTTTCCTGAAATTTATTGGCAATTTTATTGTGCAATGTCCGCTAGTCAAGTCAGTGTCCATATGTTGGACATTGTATGGCCTTTTTTATGCCTCTTTATTGAAAAATAAATGTCCGTATGTCAAATTGTCCGCATGTGGGGGTCTCACCATAAAAAGTTGTCAGGAATTTTGAACAAGCCAGCCACATTTTATGCGGCTTCCCCTCTCTTGTTAGACGATTTTTCAGAAAATGTTCTTTCCTCCTGACATGAATCAAGTATCTCTGGCATCACTACATGTAAAAAATATATATGCGAATTATTTTAGCAGCTTCCCCCGCCGGTGGCCAACTTGCCACCTCCCAACGTCGCCCCGCCCGTGCCTCCGTCGTGCGAGTACTTCGATCTTCCTGCGGGATTGATGATCCCGCTGATTGCCCTAGAAGACGACAAGATGAAGCCCTTGGATTCGAAAGAGGTGACGTTGCCGCCACCAGCGCCTACGACGGATCGGCTGCTTGCTGCCGTGGAAGCATTCTATGCGCCGCCGTCTCACGAATCGCCTCGCGACACCGACGGCTGGGAGAAACTTGGTGATTATCCGACATTCGCCTTAGTTAATATTTTGAAAGTTAAAATTTTAAACTTGTGTTGATTTAAGTCTCGTCTTATTTTTCTTTTTTCGCTTTCACGAAGAAATACATTGTTCAGAGAGGTTTAATGATTGTCAGTGCTTCGCTGAGACGGATCGTCGTTTAATCGCGACTTCGCGCATGTTGTTCATTCCGAATCCCAGGTCTGTACGAGTACTTCAAAGACAAGAAGGACGCGATCCGTCGCAAGTACGAGGATATCGAAGCCGGTGACAGAGACGCCTCCAGGTCCCCGTCGCCCATCCGCCTCGAACGGTCTCCTCTCCGCAAAAAGATCAGTGAAGTCATGAAGCGAAAAAAGAGCCTCGTCGTTCGCCGCAACAACAAGTCCAGAAGTCGAAGTCGAAGCCCGAGTCCAGCTCGAAGCCGGAGCCGAAGTCGAAGTCGAGACCGTTCCCGATCCCGTTCCAAGTCCCGGTCACGTTCCCGATCCCGATCCCGAACCCCGCCTCGAAGGCGTTCCCCTTCCTACTCCCCGCCGGCACAGATGAGGTCTGTGGACCCGTTGCCGTCGCTGGAGCTTAGCGGCGACCCAACGGCATTTTCCAAGTTGGACGAGAGCAACAAGGGACACCAGTTGTTGAAGAAGATGGGCTGGGGAGGAGCCGGGCTCGGGGCGAAGGAGCAAGGCCGGGCTGAGCCGGTTTCTGGTGGAGACGTGCGAGACCGGACCGACATGTATAAGGGAATTGGAGTTGATCTCAATGACCCGTTTGAAAAGTTCCGGAAGAACAAGGGGAATCAATTTATCTCGAGGATGAGGGCGAAGGCGGAAGAGAAAAAGTGAAAGGGGGAAAAAGTTTTTACTGAAAGAATTGTGTTTTCTTTATTTTATTTTTTTCGAAAAGGTTTGACCGGGTTTGCCATCAATCCAAACGCACTCATTCCGGGCATAGAATGAATTCTTCAAGAATTCAGTTGTTAAAAAGATTGCTATCATAGGGTTTCTCACAATTATTTTGTCCAATTTCATGCGGACGATGAAAACAAAACAGGTTTAGGGTTTTTTTCCACGTGTTCGGACGGATTTGCTGTGAACGCACTCATTCCGAGCATAAAATGAACTCAGATTTGTTGGCAAATAGTTCGATTTTTCTCATCTGAGACAAACCAATGAAAGAGTGCGATTTTAGGTTTTTTCCACACTTGGCTTCTATAATTGACTGTTTTTCACGATATTGAATTCATTGCGAGGATGAAATTAACAGGCTTCGTCCAAGTTTCCCGTGAAATTTAAGCGCAATCATTCCATAAATCCATGAAAAATAAAGTTCGAAGAAAGGGTTTCCCTTTTTTTTCAAATTTGCAACCGCCTCACATGAAAATCTTTTAAATCAAGATTTTAAATTGTACGGTTTCCTTTCTGAAATTTGTTGGTTCTTTCGAGAAGGAGGATTCGAGCGAACCTCGTTTTCCCGTCACTTTAAATGCACTCACGCTAGATACAGATTGAGTTAGGAACAGTTAGATTTGAAAGGGGAAAAATAGAAATATGTTCTTTTTGTGGGAAAAAATTTCATGCGGAGGCTAGAGATCTTCGATTCTCCGATTGTTAAAATTGATTGGTTCAACTTTTTCAATTGCTCGAGTTTTGTTCTGGAAATTACCGCGATCTATAAAAAAAAAACCGCCATTGAAAGCATTTTTATATTTATTGCCATTGAAGGGAATTTTGAATGTCTGATGTAAGTTCGGAAATTATGATGCAATACCTGTTGTCGCTCCGCTCGAAAGTTTTGGGATTGTGTTTGGGAAATTTTTTCCCACATACAATTTTTTTTCAAATCGTCCGCAAGACGTTGAAACCTTCGTTGAACAGAATGTTCTGCAGTGTTCAAGAAGTCTGACGTGATTCCTTTTTGATTTGATTCTTTCTTGACATGGTTCAATCTTCCTGTGATGATTTTCATCCGTTAACATTTTTTATTAGGTGTACCACCGTGTATTTTTGGTGGCCAGTGAGGGTTATTTTCCTTTTGTTTTGACTAGCGGTACTCAATTTCGGATTTCATCAACGAAGGAAAAGGTGGTTTTTTTGAAGTTTTTACCGTTTTGAAGTGATGGTGAGCACGCGAAGGAAGCAGTATGAGGGCTATTCGTCCGACGATGGATCAGTTACGGAGTTGCCTCAACGGCGTACCCGCAGATCAAGTAAGATTCTAAGCTTCTCTTGTAACAGTACTGTTGAAATCGTCTAGATTAGTCCAAAACGTATGGAGAGGCACCGAAAAACTCCGACTGACAGAATTTATGATTAGTTCTGATCGGATATTATGTTATTTAATGCAATTGTGATTGACCTGCGACGAATGAATGAGATTGTTCGGTGGCTGAAAGATGCTACTGTACTTTTATTTGCATTTTTACAAGTTGAGTGTTTCAGAATTATCACGGAGCCTTCAATAGTATTTATTCATTTTGATTTTTTTAATCAGTCGACTTTTCGTGAGCTTCTGCGCGTTTTGTCATTAATGCGGAAATCCGTTTGGTCAGGTATTTTCGGAAAAGAGTTCTTAGAAAGTTCCTAGATGTGCAGTAAATTTCGCAAGAGGTTGAATTTTGGACCCTTCGCAAAATAATAACAAGGTTTCTCTTTCCCCGGAAAGGTTCATCGAGTCAACCCGACAGGCCGAGTAGTTCCTTGTCTGGAAATACCCCAAGTTCTTTGCCAAGAAGAGCCAAATCAATGAGAATTGCGGTTCAGGCCATGGAATCCATTGAAGAGAATCCTGAAGTCGCCGCAACAGCTTCCTCATTGCCCACTGCCTCTAAAAAGGGCTCTAAAGTGGTGGATGTAATCGACATCTGTGATGAGTCCGATTCGAGCAACCTTGAAAGTGCAGGTGATTCACCGCAAACTTATTTATCCAAACGTATTCCAGGTCATATGTGGAAGGCATGTTTTTTTGTATCTACGCAGGGGTGTTTCAATAATGGGACTGCAACAAATCTAACCTTTGGTTGAAAAAAATTGTCGTCGATACAGCTTTTAAAATTGAATTAATTAAATTGAAATTTTTGTCAAAATGTAATTTCTTCATGTATGAAAAGTGTTGCAGGTGAAATTGGCCACGGTTGAACTTGATGCACCTCAACTTGCTGCACCCTAACTTGCTGCTGCTGCAAGTGACTGCAGCATGAAGTAACTGTAGTAGCAAGTTGCTGCTGCAATCATTTCTCATTGCAGTCACAACTTGCAGCAGTTACAAGTTGCAGCTGTTGCAACTTGCTGTACTTGAAAATTCTGACAGTTCTGAGTACTAAGCCATCCCTCAACTGCATTATTAGTTCTTGGGATACCTTCTTTCACATGGCAGATTTATTCCAAGTCAGAATTAGAAACAAAGCTGGCTGTTGCTTGCCCCTTTTAATTTTCTTGCCAATGTACGTTTTTTCAAAATACTCATAAATAGGATCAAGGATTTTTGAATATGCATTTTCTTTTTTCAAATACTGTATTGATATGCAGCATAAACTTATTCAGGTGGTAAGAAAGACAAAATAAAGAAATATATTAATTTTCACAGAGAAAAAAAAAATATGATGACTGAGGTGAGAAAAATGTGGCAAGTGAACTCACTGCAATTCATGCAGCCAGTTGTGATAGTGGCAAGTCATTACAGCAGTGAGTTGTTGCAGTGACAACTTCTACCTGTGGTGACTTATCACAGTGTCAAGTAGTAACAGCAGCAAGTTCAACAGCTTGCGGCAAGTTGCATGTGTGGCAAATTAGAAAGTGGCAAGTTTCACTGACATGATGAAAAAGATATCCCTCTGTGAATATTAATTGCCTTTGATTCTTGAGTCAAATACTATAACCATTTAGATTTCAGAGTACTGTACATTAGTGAAGTTGAATGCTTGGAAACACAGCACAGTACTGTATGTTGAAAAAAGACCAGGTGCTGTTTGTTAGGTTTTTTTTTTACTTCATGAGCGAATATGTTCAAGGATTCTGCTAAAATAATCGGTTCATTTCGAAATTCAGGATCTCGAATCGAGCGAAGTTTTCCTCGTGCCGTTCTTTGTTTCTTCTGTGTTAGTCTCAAAATTGTCTTCAGTTGAGCCATAAATGTTCTTCATTTTTGTTGAAGCCAGCATATCTGTATAAAGTCATTCGAATGAAACGAATTTTTGAAATTTTTTCAAATTTAAGTTTGCTTAGATGTGCAGATACGTCACCACTATTCGGACATCCCTACTGGAGCAACTAAGTTGAAAGAAAATATACCAGGGTGTCCGAAATGTCGGAGAAATGAATAAGTCTATTCAAGTGGAATTTCCATAAAAAATTGTCGAGTGAAATGTTGCATGCAGTTTCTCCTGCAGCAAAGGCGGGAAATCCCCTTTTAAGCTTCGTTAGAAAATGTATCGAGTTTGGGGACATTTTTATTTCCCTGTAGAGTAGTTTTCGGATTGTTTGTCCATCGGAAAGATGACTTTTCTTGAGTGCGTTTGCGGACACCCATTGAACTCGGCATGATTAGACATTTTGTGAACATACCAGTGATTTGCGCTGCAAAATAATGGGCACTAATTTCCCCTTTTCTTTGAAGAGAAATTCGAGAAAATTGCTGAAGGGGAAGATATAATGGAGGTCACGGAAATCAATGAATCATCCTCATCACCACCGTCTACGGATGATTGCTGTATCGTGCTGACCAGATTAAAAGACACGAAAGTTCCGGGTGAGTAATGGTGATTGTGCTTTTTCATCCGCATTTCTGCATGTTTATGCGTGTATTATCCTTCAGAAGTTCCTGAAGAATTTGAATGCCGAAGTTCGGATAAGTCTTCCGTCGAAACGAAAAAACTTGAAGAGGAAGGTAAACATTGGCAATTACCGCAGATTTCACTTTTCCGCTGCAAATGTAAAATTGTCCCTTCGTTGGAATTTTTTATTCATATCCGATGATTTTTTTTAAAGATGTACTATGTCAATATTTTTTGTTTTGTTTTTGCTTTGGCTACGTTAATCTTTATTTTAAATTCACCTTTCAATGCTGTTTATCATTAGAAGAAAAGCGATAGAAAATACTTCAGTCGACCCAGCACATGATACTGTACTGGATATATTTTATACCCCCGTGCGTTTGAATCAACGATGATTTAATTCATTCATGCGTGGAAAGTGCCTCGCATTGCGCTGGTTGTAAAACCCAGGGCGATAAATTGCCCTTCGATACGAACGAAGTTGTCACGAAATTGAAGTTTCCTAAAGGAAATTGATAGTTTAAGATATGTTTCGTTTTAATTTGATTGCATGACTCTAGGGTGCCAATATAATGAGAAAGCACCGAAACGAGAGTTGTCAACATAGGAATCTACCGAAAAAGTGCCCGGTTCTTTTTTTTTTCGAGCATGATTCCTGCAATATGCTTAAATGACCTATTTCCCGTAAATGCTCTAATCGAAAAGGTTGCCTGTTTCACCAGTTGTTTTATAATAGATTGCACACCTTGATGTCTCCGAACAGATATATCTGAACCATTTACTGAAGCGGAAGAAGCCATTCCGAAACGTGATTCGAATAAGAAGGAACGAACTTCAGACCTTACGCCGCTGGAATCCAGAGAAGGTAAGGAATGTTGCGCTCCCAACGTTGATTCCGAAATTTAATGGGCCAATTCGCGGTTTTTCCTTTTTTACAGCTTCCACCGAAGGCTGTGAAACTGTGTCACACACTGACTGTGACATTATTGGAAATGACACAGTAGTGAACGCAGGTACAGTATTTTGATTTTGTCTATTCAATTAAAGCGGCCCGATTTGCAAGGTTACGTTTCTTTCATTTTTTTTTTATGTATCGCTCATCAGCGAAAGACTCCAAGATAACGACTTTGAATTCCGTCGGAGAAAGTAAGCTGAAGAAAAAGAAGAAAAAATTGGAGAAACCTGGGCGTGACGGGAATGTAGTCATTAGAGGTAGGAATATTTCGAATCGTTTCTGGAAAGAACCTGCTGGCCGCGCCTCGTCTATTATCAAAGGTGAGCAACAGTTCACACTGTGTCGTAATCAGTATAATGTTGTATTATTTTAGCTATTCTTCTCTTTCGGACGTGAGCATAGCTTCTACATTTTATCCGAGTATAACCTTCCTTGTCGGAAACGGAAGTTGCTGATCCATCTACGAAATATTACGAATTCTTTGAATGGGCACTGACTCGTGCAGTTGCAAATATAATGAGGTATCACCCCAACTCTATTATTTCCTGTTTTAAAAAATCTTTTTTTTTTTCAAAATGCGTCTTAGGCTGTGGTTTGATTCTTGAAGCCAGTTTTATGAATAATATAAATTAGTTTTTCGATTTTCACCAGCTAAGCGTCAAGCTGACTAAGTCGGCCGAAAAATTTTCCGGATGCAGTAGTGTACTGTGATATTCATCATATCTTTAAAAAAAAAATTTTATGACCATGTGCCGATGGCGTATGTTTATCTTTTAGTAATTAAATATGTTCCTTAAATTCTAACTGGTTGAAAAGAAATAGCAGACGCCAGAAATGTAATTGGAGAGTTCTTTGAAAATATGAAGGTTCGTTTTAAATGGTATCATGTGTTGATTCCCCAATGCTCCACAAACTTCCGTTGAAACTCAATTTTTAACGCTTTTTTGGCTGATGGATAGGTTTGAGAAAAGATCTACGTGTATTTGAAGTTATTTAACCATACCAGAAGAAAATTGACTTATGAAGTGTCCCGAAGGAATCTTTTCTCGGAAATTGAAGAAAGTCCCATTTCAATACAGTATTTCAAGTTACGAAAGAAATCCTTGATCGTGTGTTGATTGCATTATTCTGGTAGTTTAGGATATGTGTAAATGCACGTTTCCGTTTCTTCGATAAGTCGATTGCGAATTGCTGTTCAAGTCGGAACTCGATCGCCTATTATTCCAGTTCAATTTACTTGTATAAGTCACAGAAGCTCTTATAAGATTTTCATGACCAGTAAATATAGAAGAATTTCACACGTCCTTTCGGTACGATGTATTTATTGTAGGTGCGCACGTCCATCGTGGATGGGATAAACAGAAGCGTCTCCGCGAAGAATTAAACCGAACGAAGGAACTCACGCGTAGGCTGATTCAACAACAGAAGGAAGCCAAAGAAGCAGCCAGGCTACGAGCCGAGGAACGGAAGAAGCAAAAGGAAGAGAACAGTCGGAAAGCCGAAGTTGTGCAAGTGATCACCAACACAACGAAGCTCAAGAGGATGAAGAAGAAGCAATTGCGGTATATTCAAAAGCGCGATACGACGGATGCTATTCAGAAAAGGCGAGAAATGTAGTCGATCGTTTCCTTGCCTCGACTTCTTGCGTTTCTCTTATCTGGATTCCTAAGGAAGTAAAACGGTTCAAATGGTGCTTATCTTTGCAGGAAGTTGAAGTGCCTTATCCACTTGCCCAGCTTGTTCGAGGGCTAAAAAAGAAACTATTGACAAAGTTCTGACGGGTTCATAACCATAAGTAAGACCCGCGTATTTTCAGTTTTGTCAGGATTGAAGGTGAGTTAGTTTCGTTCATCTGTCGATTCAAACATTTGTGCTGTACAGTATTCGGATCATCAGCACATTACTGTACTGTGCATCGTCGAATATTCGAATGTTTCAAAAACGAAGGATAAGTTCGAAGCATGACGTGAAAAAGTAAAACAAAACTAATGACGCAAATTTAGAATATGAGAATGCAGTACAGTTTTAAAGAATATCGTCTTTGCTTCAAGAACAGCAGAATCCTGGTTTTCCAGTTCTAATTAAGTTCACATTCCATCAAATTTTGTCTAAATGTTCTATTCATTGGTCGGGAATCTGTAGTCTGCAGAATTCTAATTTGGGTTGTTCTAATTCCCTCTGACCAATTGATTATCTAGGACAGTAGTGCATTTGAATATTTACGTTCATATAATTTACATTTGTAAGTTCATAAAATTTAAATTGTAAATGTATTCGTTGAATTATTTAGAATCATCGTCATGCCAAGTTGTGAACGAAAAAACCGTTCCCCGTGTAATCAAGCCCTTACGGTATATGATGTGAGAGAGTCCCTGACGTTTACTATGGATTTCCTGCGAATCCTGCATAATTTTCGCCTTCACGAATAATTTGGAATTTCGGGTGCGATTTCACGGGAATTTCATTTCGCAAAATTTCGCGCGTGATCGCTATGTACGCGTTCCTGCGTAAAACCTTTAAATATTACACGGACCTCCTGCGGCGGAATAAGGGAATGAATTATTCGGAAGCAGTGGAGCAATTCAGCCATGGATTGTCTCGCAGTGGTTACGAGTTACAGTCCGTACCACCTCGTCACACCTCGCGGTAAGGTCATCTAGTCGGCTTTACGCACGTAAGCACGGGTTCACCTTCGGGTTTCCGGCGAGTTGCGGATGTGAGTTATCATTAACCGATGGGTATCGGCTGATGAAGCGGTAAGCGCTCCGTGATGCGGTGTTCTCGCTCTTCGCTCATGGTGCCCGCGGGAACCGGAACGATTACCGGCTGGCTATCAGGGGAATGGTGACGCGTAAAAAGCACCGAGCGAAAATCACTCAACCACCAATTGTTTCATGGGAAAGCGTGAAATTGTTATTTTATGAAATGCTGAACTTTTTCAGAATTGGTTTGGAACAAACCATCTTACGCACCGCGAATACTGTACTCAGTTAATCTGTATTAATGTTAATGTTTTCTGCTGCAGCAGTTTTGTCCTGGCATAGTGGCATGCTTTCGGGAGGATCCATTTTATAAATTAAAACATCGTTGTTCTTGTGCATGTTATGAAACGAATAAGTAGCCAATCATCGCGCAAAATCATGATAAATAACCGCAATACTGCGGATATAAAACGGAAGCCTTCGAAAAGGCACGGATCGAAAATCAGTACAGTATTTACTATTCATGCGAAAATATTGTACGGAGCATATTCCTGATGTGTCAAGGATTTTTTTACGCAGTCCGCTTCGAAAGTGTTCTAACGCTGAGAAAACGTAAGTTTTGAACAATTCAAATGAATGTAGATCTTCTGAAACCAAAGAAGGGTCATTGAGAGATTTTCCCAGCGTGCCTTTCGGGGTTGGTGCTTTTCTCCTACTGTTGGGAGGGGATAATACGTTTCGGGCCTTGGGAAAAGTAAGTTGGGGCGTTCAGAAACGCGCTTTTTATGATCGAAGCAATCATCGGAAAGTGGTGGCTAATGGCCGTATAGTCCATGCGGCGTTCGGCGCTGCTGGGAGAGAAAATGTTCAGTGTAGGTAATGACACTTCGCGGTTTCCGATTTGCTTTAAGGAAAAATGTGTTGGTGGAACCGGGTTTTGTTCACGTTTCCTCGCGGTATCCAGCGATCACGGTGATGCCCGTGCTCCGTACGGTCACCCACAAGCCTGTTGGGATTGCGTAATATCGGTATAATTTTTATTCGAAACTGGCTTTCCCGCGTGGAGTTTGGTATTCTGTATTACGGTATTCTGCTCTTGTTCGAGGGAAAAAAATAGCGAACGTTTTCTCATCGTTTCGCGTATGCGGAGATATGGGAACGCCTGTTTTTCGCTGACGATAGCACATTCTCAACACGTATTATCCTGCTCCAGCCTGTTGACTCAGCAGGCTGGAAAAAGCATCGCATTTTAGATGCAAGTTTTTACGAGTTATATGGGATCTTTATCTTGAATTACCCTTATTCTTTAGGAATACTCCTTTGTTTTATAAATTCTTTCTGCTGTGTGCATAAAAAATGTTTTTAATTTTTTTAATTATTCGAGAGGAGAATTTTTCTCCTCTCGAATAATTCCATGATACTACTGATGTACCGTGAAGTCGTTGCCTCTTGCCAAAATTTAATGCGTCCCGCAAAGGTACTATTGGGCCGTGCATAAGAATCGGGTCACGTTTTCCCCGCATAACCATTTTGGGGAGAATGAGTGCATTTTCCGAACGAAAACGGTTAATAAAGGGAGGATATTCTTCAAACTGCAGCAGTGAACAGCAATACTCCATATATTTTTGGGCCCACCTTCATAAAAAAAAATTCAATTTTCAAAGTTACAGGCGCATCGTGGTGATGTGTGGTTAGATGGTTGCCCAACATATGTTCTGCATGTGAGGCATGACTGTTTTGGTACAGTAACCAACAAAAGTCAAGCAGGCAGAGCAGAAATTTCTTGACCAAATTGTCAACGAGTATTTGATATATGTAATTTTCTAAATTTCAGGTGAGATGACTGGCCTGAGAAAGGAAGTTTTTTCAAAGTCTAATTTTCTCCAAAAATTGCCTAATTGTGATGAATGTGATTCAGCAATATATTTTTTCTCTTAGGGTGAATTGAATGAAAATCATGTTTTTACAGGAAAGAAACTGAAAATTTCTGCAAATTTAGATGTTTTGCTGTAGAGAGGTAATTTTATTTTTCCTACATCAAAGTAAAAATGCTGTGCCATTTATTAGAGACTATGCTTTTGAAATTATATTCTTAGAAATATATCCTTATCAACATCTAGGGTTTTTATTTCAACAAAAATCTTCTTTGTTGGGCCTATTTTTCCAGAAAGTATTTATTTTAATAGCTATAGGAACAAGTTTGTACTGCATGTATATAATGAGCAAAGAAACGAAGCAAACAGCAGTGAACACCTTTTCAACGGTCTTTCCCTTCTTGAAGTCAAATTTTCCAACTGATTATGTTTTTAAAGATTTTTCTCGTGAGTAAGTAAATTGTCTGGGCCACGACCCTGTGTCAAAAAAGCCAGTTTTAAATTCTGCGTTTTTAATTTAAAATTTAAGAAAGAAAAAAATATCGGAAGATTTTACACACACGTTACATTGATGTATTTTAATAGCTTTATATAGAATCCAGATACCCATGATGATAAATAAAATAAGCCTATCAAAAGTTTTGCAACAACTGTATGGAAGAATTAAATGTGAACCCGTATACTGTAGTTGCTAACGTTTTTTTTTAACTTTCCATTGCTACTTTCCTCTGTCAGTATATACTTCCACAAGACGAACGTAATACAGAAGATCAGCACATACAATACTGTATAGTCATCACAATTCGCTGAGTTTCAAAGAGGCGGTTGCATGTACAGTACCGCTGTTGCATGTACACGGACAGGCATTAGGCGCGGGAACCTGTCCCCGGGATGTTGTTCTCGCGGCGGGCTATTATATAATGTTCCACCGTCCTCCGGGTTATGAGTTGGTAACTCTAGGTCAGCGTGTACGTATGCTTATGGCCAGTTGCGCCACTGCCGACCTTTTATCTCGGGCGAGCGCTCTCGAAGCCGTTCAGTTGATCGTTCGGCCTGGTGGGATTTAGTTTCAGGGCTCGAGGTTAGTAAAGTGATCCGCCAGAAGGGGTGAAAGACGCACGGACTGCGAGAATGACTCGAGGTGAGTGTTTTTTTTTTGGGCGCTATGCACAGTTTCTGCGCATTTGCGTGCGAAGGGTTTGAGGAAGTCACGATCATGTTGCGTATCCTCCGGGCGTTGTAGCACGCTATAATTTACAGCTTAGTTTCCTGGTTAGATTGAGAAATGGCGTGTTGATTGTGGAAAATTTTAAGCCGGTTGCTTCGCGGGAATTGCGTGTCACAGCAATAACGGGCTGGAGGGTTGGAGCCCGCGCTTTTCGGGCGAAAATCGGGACCAGCATAACCCCTTTTTGGTAGTTTGTCCTAGAAGTTTCAAGAGATAGTTCTCTGTTGGTATTCAGCGAAGAAGGTAAAAGGTTCTTGGCGTAACTGCCGTCATTTTCATAATGTGACAAGGGAAAAGCATATCCGGCAAAAAGTTTTCCATATTTAAAAACCTTTATTTTATATGGCCATTTTATTTCCATTTTATTTGGTTTACGAAAGTCCTTCAGTTTTTCTCTTGATACTGTTCGTTTGTTAATTTGTACAGTATGATGGGGGGTTCATTCTACTTCCGAAATAATATTAAAAGTAAAAGCTAGTCCAACTCAATCAAGATATCCTCTTTGGGTTCTTTTTGCGTTTGGCGCTTTTCTCCTGTTACGGTTCATATTTAGTTCTCTATTACGAAGAAAATTTCGGCCTTGAGTTGCCACGCTTTGTCGTTAGAAGGGTTGACACCGTATCACCCGGGCGTGAAGGGTGCTTCTCCGAGCAGAAACTGTCGCTGTTCTATAGTTGATGAAGTCTTCATGAACTGCTTGAGATGCTGCTCGCGATCTGTGGCCCCTGAAGGTGCGTTCTGTCGAGTAATGCTAGTGTGCATGAGTCGCACCGTTTTCGTTTCAATAGCACCCGACGTTTTCCCCATCCGATGACAGTGACTGTGCATTCCGAATTCTTATCTCTGGTTTGTTTTTGTAGGAAATAACGTAACGAATGGCGTTGATGCGCTCACAATAGTCCGCCAGCAGTTGAGAACTGTTCGCAGCGGTGAAGACATGAATTTCGAAGGGAAAGTGCCGCATGTTGTCGGGGTCATGGGAGCGTCTGTGAGTTCAGATTGGTTATGTAGATAGTTAGTTGATTGCGGTGTCACAGGCGTTTTCATCCTGTCGTTTTCAAGGGAGACTTGGCGAAGAAGAAAATTTATCCAACACTCTGGTGGCTATTTCGAGACGGTTTATTACCGGAGGATACTGCCTTCATTGGATACGCCCGGTCAAAACTTACTGTGGCAGAGTTGCGTGCGAAGTGCGACCAATACATGAAGGTGTGATTCATCGAGCCAATTCATTTCCGCACGTGATTGTTTACTTTTCTTATGTTATTAGTAATCATTATTTATCGATCTTCGGTACTTCATCATTAGGTAGCACCGGGCGAAGAAGCGAAGTATGAAGCGTTTTGGAAGTACAACCGGTATGTCGCCGGATCTTACGATACTAGGCGAGACTTCGAACTACTTGACAAAGCATTCGCGGAATTTCATAAAGGCTCTTCTGAAGTCGGAAACAGAGTTTTCTACTTGGCATTGCCTCCGTCTGTTTTCGAGACGGTTACCGCGCATATCAAAGAAACCTGCATGGCCCCTAAGTGAGTTTTGATTGACACTGATTTTTCTTCAAATAATCTGCGCGAGAAGTTGTGATCAGAAATTGTATGGCCTCTCGCGTGACGTTTTAAAATTCGCTAGTACTAAAAAGTGGATTATCGAAGTGGATTGTCTCTTTTAACAAATTGAATCTTTGAAGTAATACAGTAGTTGAAAATTTAAATTTAGAATTTATTACATTAAGAACTGCAACTCTTTTCAGTTCAAGCCACGGAGAGTTAAAATCATAAGCACTTTTCAATTCAAACGCGGAAGGTGAATTTGTTGGGCGCAAAAAGTGTTTCGTTTTATCGATCGTGTCTTAAAAGAGTAAATACGGTACTTTCATTCAAGTGAATGTTAACTATTTGAAGAGGTTGGACGCGCATCATCGTTGAGAAGCCATTTGGTAAGGATACTGCGAGTTCTGCGAAACTCTCGAGCCACCTATCGTCTCTATTCCGTGAAGATCAACTCTACCGAATAGACCATTATTTGGGGAAAGAAATGGTTCAAAACCTCATGATATTGAGGTAAGTTTCATAAGTTCGATTGATGAAGAAGAGATTTTAAGTGCTGTATACATTTTCAGATTTGGAAATTCCATCTTTAATCCTCTTTGGAATCATCACAATATTGCCAGCGTGTTGATCTCGTTCAAAGAGCCTTTCGGTACGGAAGGACGTGGAGGTTACTTCGACGAGTTCGGCATTGTGAGAGATGTTATGCAGAACCATTTGCTTCAAATTTTGTGCTTGGTTGCGATGCAAAAGCCTTGCTCGACCAGAGCGGATGACATCAGAGATGAGAAGGTATTCCCTTCGAATATCCCGTGTTGGTAGTATACCGAGGAAAACTCCGCGTTCAGATTGAAAGAAGCATCAAGCATTGTTTCACTTACCGTTCATAACTAGTATTATATTCTTCGTATAAATCAAAATTGATGATATAAGTATTCCTTGGAAATATAGGATCGATAATTCTGCCCAACTCCTACTGAAGAAAAACTATTGCTCTGCTCCGAACATAATTCAACCGCAGTGGTCGGTTGATGAATACTCTCACCCACAGTAAGACCACAGGTTACTTCATGTGCTTCCTATGATCGGTTTAATGCCGATGAATTGCTCTTCTACGATGGCAAAGTTTTTTTAATTTATTTTTCAAGACAAGGATAGGAAAAGCTTACTCGATAGCGATTTTTTTTTAAAGTTGTTTCCGATACTGGAAGAATTTGGGAATGTTGAGCAGTTGAGCCTAAAGCCTGTAATTCTGAAGTGCTCGTTGAGGAAGTACTTGGGGTTGACGTTCGAAAATGGTGGGACGTGAAACAATTACAGGAAGTACAGGAGAATTTAATCTTTTCCTCACATAATTTTCTTCATGTCTTTCTTTTAGGTCAAGGTTTTGAAGAGCATAGAACCGCCGACACTGAACGACGTTGTTCTCGGACAGTACGTGGGTGATCCTTCTGGGAGTGGCGAAGCCAAGCTGGGTTACTTGGATGACCCTACAGTTCCCGCGGGCTCATCGACTCCGACATTCGCGTCCGCCGTAGTACACATTCGTAACGAGAAGTGGGAAGGTGTTCCGTTCATCCTGCGCTGCGGGAAGGCGTTGAATGAACGTAAAGCCGAGGTGCGGATCCAGTTCAAGGACGTTCCCGGGGATATTTTCGGTGGGATGGCCAAGAGGAACGAGCTCGTGGTCCGCGTTCAACCTAATGAGGCGGTGTACGTGAAAATGATGACCAAAACGCCGGGAATGAGTTTTGAGATGGAGGAAACGGAGCTTGATTTAACCTATCGAGCGAGATACAAGGTTGGTCCATCGCAAGTCCTTCATCCGGACTACTAGTTTAATAATTGCGCTCTTGATTTTGATGTATATTTTTTTGTCCTTCATTATCATTCTTTTTTGTGTTGCTGTAAAGTCACGTTGAATAATTTTGACCTTTCGTTGCTGGTATTGGATTAATAATCGGGTCATCTACAATAATGACGTACCCTCAGTGTGTCGAGTTCGGTTTTTTTTTTAAATTACTGAACAGTACATTGTGTCCTCGAATAACATACCCGTTTTATTGTCGATCCCAGCCGAATTTATCCTCTTGAAAAATTAAGTGCGAATTTATTTTTATTCATGGTAAATGTTGAAGTTTCGGGAGTTATAACTCGCCGTAATTGGATCCGGAGAACCAAGAAGTAATGTATATTATATAGTTACATTGTGCAGGTTATGCATGCAATTATTATAATTTATTAAAAAGAAATTTATTTAAAAAAAGAAATTTATTAGAAAGTGTTTCGTACTTATTTCATTTAGAATATTGCTTAGAATAAAATAATCACGAGGGTTGAAATCAACGGGAATTCTAATTCTATACTCACTGTGCTGTACGAGAATGATATACAGTACAGTACTGTGCATCCAGATCACCAGGAAATATTCGTTGTAGAGGAGTTCGTCGTAGATGAACCCAATGGGACGAGAAATAAATTCGTTTTACAGTGAAAATCGTTCTGAAGACAGTACGTACAGTATATCTGTAGTGGAATCACCCTTGTTTCTATAGGAAGAGAACTTAAAGCTGTACTGAGTGAGAGACCGACTGCGTTCCCTCAGACCCATGAGCAAAGTAGAACCAGAAAAATTCAAAATTAATTGCCTCTTTGATTTATGAACAGCGTCGAGAGTACTTGTTAGAAACCAGTGTAGTACTTGACCAGAGGGCCCTGTGAGCTACGTTGGATTGCTCTCGATGTCGAGACCTCCTGACTAGATCTTATCGCTCAGATGGTGCAAGGTTTAATAAATTTAATTCGAGGATGACAAAATATGAATTCATAATTTTTTTTTCAGGGTGTGAAGCTTCCCGATGCCTATGAACGGCTGATTGTGGACGTTTTCTGTGGCACTCAGATGCACTTCGTTCGCACGGATGAACTCGCTGAAGCTTGGAGGATTTTCACGCCCTTGCTTCATGAAATCGAGGGAAAGAAACCGACCCCGATTCCATACAAGTATGGCTAACTTTAATTGAATACAACTCTTCTTTATTGCATGAACTCATGTATATATCGTTTTGTTTCGTGAGTCAAACAATGCCGGTGTCAAAATTCACGTAAGCTAGATGAGAGGTTAGTGTTATAATGAGTAATAACGAAAAATCAGATTTCTCATCTGCCGATTCCCGAAGCTAAGTTAATTTCGCGCGAGTCCATAATCAACGAACTTGCCAAATTTAGGCCTAATTATTTTTTTATTGGTTCGAGCGACAATTTCCAGAGATTCTGTAATTCTCCATTTCTTACCCACGATCAGAATTACATTTTCTTGCATGGCTGTTCGTCGGGCTGGCGACTTTTAAATTAAGTCATGTGTACTGTGTATACAGTACAATGTATTTATTTAATTTGTGTTTTCTTCTTAGATTTGGATCACGAGGCCCAACAGAAGCGGATGATCTCTTGGCGAAGAACAATTTCAAGTACTACGGTACCTACAAGTGGACAGACCCTGGGAAGTAGTGGGTGGATATTTTACTGAAGGTATTTTCAAGAAACGGTGATCAAAGGGAATCAATATTTACCGTCTTGCCGCACAAAGAAAGCGGACGAAACGCGCATTGCATGTTCCAAATGTTTTCTTGTTACTTTTTTATGTTTGGCTTGGTGGGGGGAAATCCGAGTTTCCTTTGAGATCTCTTGAGCTTTTTATTCCGAGATTGCGAGAGTGGTTTATTTTTCAGAGGCGTGGTTGGGGATTATGAATGGAGATCACTGTGGAGCGAGATAGGATCGAGGTTGTGTGCTTGGGGTTTTATGGTTGCGCAATACTGTCCGTAAGAAGGTGTAAAGCAGCGAAAATGCTAGTAGATTACCCGGGTTATACGTGAGAGGGTTAAGAACGCGAGAAAGACTGTGATTCGGTACTGAAAAAAGGAATTTTCCGACGCGATGGCTTTGCTCACTTGTGCGTTGCTCGGTGATTACAGAGCTTTTCATGGGAAACCGAAGGATGGTGTATTACTTACTCTCTTGCGCCGTGCGTGCTCGCGGAGTTTCGTCGAGACTCCATTAGCAGAGATCGTTGCAATCCCCGTGTTGCACTAATTGGTATGCAGTTGTGGATGGCGGGAAGTTTCATTCCGGTTGTGCAATACCCCTTCGTGTTCCACGGAGGAGGGACGGACTGCGGAGCACTATATCGTCTTACTGCGCATAGCGTGGCGGAAATGCCTGTTCAGCCGACGAGTACAGTAGATGCTTACAATTATGTGGGATAATGATCGGGTGCGAATGCCCGGGGATTGGAGAATTACGGAAAACCGGATATTGAAAATGTTCATACATTACTGTATTTTAAGTAGGAAAAATTCAAATATGCTAGACGTAATGACCTCTAAAATTTCTTGGTTTTTGTTGCATAATAAGCCAATTATAGGCTACTGAGCATAAATTGCAAGGTGAACAGGCTGCAAGAGGTAATTTTGGGCGTGGTTAATGCGTGTCAGTTTATCGAAGTTAACTCATTTGCGATTGTCATTTTTCGATATTCTTCCCTTTTCGACATGAGCTCATTGCAGTGGACACATACTGTTGAATTCGGGAAAACAGTGTCCATCAGAAGTACAATATTCTTTACTAATGATGCATTCGTCTGGAACTAGGGTAGTTCATCGGCCTGAGTTGGAATTACAGAAATTCCCAATACCCTTGATTATGTAATAAACCTAGACGAGGTTCATAATAGAAAAGAATCTTTGAGCAAATTCAAACATCAATACCTTACGTTAGATTGCATCTTGGGCTCAGTTGATCGAAGCAAGTAACATTTAATGAATAAGTCGTATGTTGAGCAAATTAAATTTACTAAAGAATGACGGTGTCCTCGAATCAAACGAAAGACTTCGATTTCATGTAGATCGACTTATTAAAAAATTTGCTGATAGCTTTTCACGGAAACTTTCAAGAAACTCTGTCATGTGAAATCATAGATTTTCAGAAGTCAAATTTGCAAAACTAGTATGAAATCTTCCCTGGATTCTTCTCATCTTCAGATTTGTCGGAGGACGTGAAAATACTGTACTGTACGAGTACGTGGCATGTGAAATTCTTGATTGAGTGTGCTCCTAGAAAATATGTATTATCTTCCCGTTAAGATGAAGACTTACGTAATGGTACGACGTATAAGAATCAAATAAGAGCTCGAATAGGTAATCTAATAAAATTGATCATGATCTGTGCTTAATTACAGCTTATCTTCATTATGTATGTTTTGATCCCCGAAAAGTACTTCACGAAAAATCTGCTTCAGCATCATGAACAGACCAAGGCGGAAACTGCCCGCATCAGAAGCAAGAAAATCAAACGCGTATGTACTGGACAGAAAGAAAGCAGTGAAAGATTTACGGCTTACACAGAGAATATAGTTTCATCGTCACTGCATGTATATCCGGAGTGCTCCATTAAAAGGCGAGGCTTTCATGAGAGGCGGTCGGGAACGGATTGCTCGTGTCAACTTGCATCCCGCGTTCCTCTGCGGTGATCGTAAATCAACATGATGTGCAAGCTGGGCTGCCTGCTGCGATTTCGCAATAGGTTAGATGTAATTTATTCCATGACCCACACCCGCGCTGTGGGTATATACCGGGCGGCTGGACGATGAAAGGCAAGAAGAAGAAAAAGCATGCTCAAAAGAATGGAGTTATCTGATCATCTTATTAACGAGCTTGATCCATCCAGAAATAACGGAAATCCGGTTTTTGTAACGAATCCGTGGCTTTTAATCGGTCATAGACGCGGGCTCCAGCCCATTACAATTCATCATCGCGGTCATGTACTGTACTTGCCGTGCATCATATGTGTACAGATAAGAACGCACGAACTAACTACAGTACAGTAATATGGTTCTCATGCATGAGCAAAATCGGCACTTGCTGTCCCTGTGTTTTTTTTCGAGATTAACAGGCAGCTACTTGCTCATTTAGTCATTTGTAACAAGAGCACGCGAGGTTCTGTTCATAAAACAATGGGAAGCTATAACCTCAACGTATATATGATCACATACTATATGTAAACAAAATTTCGACTCAAAGGCTTCGCGCATTCTACACGGATAAAAATTGGACTCGACTTCCGAAACGTTTAATACTAGCTGCCGGCACAGAGAAACTTCGCGTCAACAAATCTAATAACAGTCGTGAGCGAGTGAATTGTACTGTATGTACGTTATTCAATATTACTGTACGCTCATACATGTCTTCGGTGTAGATGCTATACGTATACGGTGTACCCCCCGGCGGCGGATCCCTAATTTGTCAATAATCAGACAGACGTCAATATATAGCTGATTGCAAAATTTGATGGTTAGTGACATCTATGAGCCAATAAAATAAAGAGTCAGCAGCAGTGAAATCAAGCTGCAGTGAGCCGCTCTCCTGTCAAAGCTGTAGATTGCCGAAAATGCTCTGCCTGCATCTGAGGATGGTTTTCTTGAGAGAAAGCAGGATTGCGGAGTGGAGTGTGTGTGCACCTTCAGCAGTGGAATATGAGATGTTTAGCAGTACGCGAAATCGCTGAGTAGTTAAGTGTGAAGATCTGATTCTCCAGTTGTTCTCTGCGTTCTGAAATCTTTTGTCTCCGTGGAGAAACAATTTGACGCCCTCAAATTGCAGTAAGTCTGCACATTCTCAGTTCGCGAATTCTCGTTGAAATGTTTCGTCGAATACTTGGTTGACTGAATTGAGCGATTAAGTCTTCTTGGATGTATAAGTTGTATTTGTGTTCGTAGGCACCCCGAAGTTTATTTTAAATTAATCACCTGTGATAGCATTTAGTGCGATGAGTCTGGTTCTCAAATTTCGACGTCTCGGGAGCATTGTTCGAAAATCAACGAACGTGTTGTTCGGGAAGCACCTAATGGTCACAAACGTAGCTTTGTCTGTTGGACTTTCAACTTTTGGAGACGCAATTCAGCAACGTTATTCGAAAGGCATTGGTGGACATTGGGACGTCAGACAATCCGGTCATATGGGGGCTGCCGGAGCTTCAGTAGGCTGGTGTTGCCATCATTGGTACAATTATTTGGATAATGTCTTACCCGGGAGGTTCGTACTTAATCAGAATGAGGTCTCACTCGTTCACGTGAACTTCTGTTCACAGGTCATCGAGGATCCTTATCAAGAAAATCCTCGTGGATCAAGTGATTTTCTCTCCGATTATAATATTGGTTTTCTTCGTCACGGTCGGGGTGCTGGAGCGGGAAACATTCGCAAGCATAACTTCCGAATTCGTTGAAAAAGGCAAAAAGTTGTACACGGCCGAGTGGTTTATATGGCCCCCAGCTCAATTCGTGAATTTTTATTTTGTTCCAACGCGATTTCGAGTTTTATACGATAACACGATCTCGTTAGGTTTTGACATTTATACCTCATCGGTGAAGTATGGATCTACGTATCATTCAAGAAGTCCGACGGGGTTTGAGCTAGTTGCATTAGAAGGCAATGATGAAAAATGACAGTGGTGCATCTATATTTCTCACATGATCCTCTGGAGAAGTGCTAATCGACGATCTTTCTATGCTCAGAGTTCAGTTTTTGTGTCAACATACGCGTGCGTTGCATCGAAACCAATGTCTTCTGGTGCTTCAATGTTTTGTGTGGACTCGAGTTCTAAATTCTGGCTCTTCATCGCGTCGGAAATCGTCTTGAACTCCAGCAATCCCTGAAGTTGGAAATGAGGTGAGTTTTATGGCATCTGTTGAAGGTTGTGTTTGGAGGAAAACGTGCAGACGAAAAATAGCAACGAAAGTCTTTCGATGAACAAAATGTTTATGACGTTTAAAATCTTTCATCCTCTTCGTAAATATCTGATTTAAGAAATGTATTAATAAGGTTGTGTTTGGAGGAAAACGTGCAGACGAAAAATAGCAACGAAAGTCTTTCGATGAACAAAATGTTTATGACGTTTAAAATCTTTCATCCTCTTCGTAAATATCTGATTTAAGAAATGTATTAATTTTATTCTCAGCAAGACTGCTATCTCTAGATTTATGTGATGGGGTTGTGCAGTTTTCCGTCGTACCGTGTGTTTTAGAGGGATTTTTACTGGGTGCTAATACCGTATTAACCTGCGATTGATTTCCCATTCGTTACCTGGATTTTTTTTATGCCCTGAGAGCGTTGTAGGTAATCCTTACTTTAGTAAGATCCAGTTTCTTATGCATTACTGAGTTCTCCTTTTAATCTCGAAAAATATGTTTTGGGTATCCGGGATTTGTTGTTATCTTAAGTTATCTATCTTCACAGAGTAAATAATGAATAGAAAAGTTGAATAGTGTTCAGTTTAGTTTAAATTGGCTTCAACTTATGATTTGTTTCCCCGTGTGTGATGAAGATATGCGAATCTTCAGTCGAATGGTCGTTTTATGAAGTGGTGAACCTGAATTACCTCTGCGGCATTAGAAAACTGCTTCAGTAAATCCATCATCTCGTCGTTCAGTCGATCATTCAAAATCTCGTGGAGGTGTACCATGATTTTGCGTAGTTCCTTCATCGTGACGGAAGTGTACTCAATAGCCAGTGCTTGTTCTGCTAGGAAAATCTTCTCCGACACGGCCACAAGCAAGTCCTGATCAGTTGGGAATTCAGATTGCTTCTGCATGGTCATGACAAGAGCCTTCATGACTGTTTTAATGTATTGTGACCCTTCTGCAGTATTCGTGAGCTGGTTTGCGCCTTCTGCCAGTTGATGAATAACAGTGTTTGTCCATGAGCTGGATATCACGGCGTTGACCTGAAATTAACTTAGTTTATAATTGTTTCATGTTTTTAGTGAGTGAATTTATTGTTTAATTAGCACAATGCAGCGCTACCACTTTTTTCTGTGGTTCATAATAGTCACTGAATATTTGGATTTAGAAGAGACATTTTCTTGATGTCAAAAAGTTGATGAGCACTTAGTGAGTGAATTTATTGTTTAATTAGCACAATGCAGCGCTACCACTTTTTTCTGTGGTTCATAATAGTCACTGAATATTTGGATTTAGAAGAGACATTTTCTTGATGTCAAAAAGTTGATGAGCACTGTTGCCTGCGCCCTGCTTCATTTAGCACAATTCCCGTTCTTATTATTCGATCCAGGATGTCAACAGGAAGGATGATTTCAAGACATATTTAAAATTAGTTGTGAATTTCCTGTGGTATTTACTGTACTCATAAAATTTTTCGTTGATCAGTATCTGATGAACTAATGATGAAAAAAATTAAAACGAAAAATACACTGTATTTTTACTACCTGCGACATCTAATTGCTCCATATTTCTCCTGATTTATGACGTCTAGAATGAAGTGAAAAAAATTGATGAGTCGCCGATTAAGGAAAGACCCGCGCAAAAAAAAAATTCGCTATGCGAAAATTTGCACGGATAAAACGCAAGTCAACGAAATGTTCCACGCGACGAAATTTTTGGACGAAAAATAATCAAATTTAGCAAGTTTCGGGCATGGACTTCGAAAAAAAATTGAAAAGAACGGCATATGTTTGCCCTCAAATTCGTGACATTGAGAAATTAGGGTGCAAAAGCTTGCCAGGGTTACTTGAATTGAAATTGGAAATTTTACGATAAATTTTTCCAACAGGTTCAACATGGTCCTTTTGTGAGTGTCTGAATTAAAATTAGATTATCCGCAATGTAACCTTGATTGAAAACGCGTTTCGCATCACGAAAAATCGCATGCGGAAACGCATTCAGAAACGGATTAGTTTCGTTGTTCGGGGACACACTGCATAGTTACTCTGTGTGGTAATTTTCATATCATTCATTGCTTGAATTGATGCTTGCCTTGTCCATAGCCGTATGTATTGTTGGAATCATTTCCCTGAGAATTTGATTCAGAATGTCCAGTGGAGCAGCTGAAATCTGAGTGACCAAGATGGTCAATTCACCTCCGCGGAAATTCTTGTAGAGGTCCGACTTCTGCGGCAATTTCCCCAAGGCTTCTTTGATATCAAACTCCTGCTTCATGGCGTCGAGAAGTTCTTTCACGTATTGCGTGGTCGTCTCTTCATCCAGTTGTCTCGTGCTTTGCTTGTAATCCTCTAGAATCTCCGCAACTTTTTCGGATTCAAAGCGGTCAGCGAATGTGTCGCATTCGCGAAACGCGTTTTGAGCATCATTCGCGGTCACTCTTAATGCCCGAACGAATTTCGTGGGAATGGTTTCCAAGCGGTGAAATTTCAAAAGTGCTGAAGATACGAATTTCGTGTGCTCGTTCATCAAAGCTGTGAGATTTCGGAGGCAAGTGACGGCCTTCATCATTGAACTAACAGCATCGTGAGCTTCGTCGGACAATGAAGCTAGTTTTGTGTTAGTGCGAGCGTCTTTGAGTGTGTCCAGAGTGTTGGGAAGGGAAGTGCGTATCATTTTCGGATACTCCTTCATGAAAGTAGCCACAGGGTCCTTGAAAAAAAAAATGAAGTAGGAGCCAAAATTGCACTTGCCATTTTAAAAATGCGTAGGTTTTACCTCAGGTGGCTGGTATTCCTTGCCTTGTTTACTCGCGGCTTCCATTTTGGTCTCCATTTTTTTCTCGATCGCCTCGGCTTAAAAAATATCACATTGGACATGAAATTCTGGGTTTCTGAAAACATTTTTGGTGTTGGATTTCTCCCCGTTGAAGTCCCAAGGAACTTTTCTATCTTGAATTAGTTGCACCACTTCAATACTTATCCTAGTTAGAAAATTGATTATCACCTTTTGTGACGGTTACCGGAAATTTTAAGCATGAAAAATGAAGGATTAGTTGATGCTACAGTATTATCTAAATCTCCAGCCAACTTAAACTCGAAATTTCTGTTATTGTTCTTCTTTCTTTAAAAATATTCTTCACGCAGAAGAGCTGAAATTTTTTCGAGTGTGTCAAATTTATTCCATTTTTGCGGAACCCCCACTCTTTGATGACTGCTGAAGACGCTATCAAGATTTTGGCTGGACAAGGTTCATTACGAATTTTTGTAGTCGTGAATCGCGCTCTAGAACTATATCCTCACAACTTGTCCGATGTGAAAGCTATAATTGCTTTTTCGTAGCTTTTTTTCACTGTGTAAAAAGGAATTGCATTGATGATTTTAACCGCGACGCAGAGTTAATTCGTTATCGTAGGTGGAGCGTGATTTTCGATATGTCGAGCATAGTGCGAAGACTTCCTCATTTCCCGGAATACGTAGTTAGTTTTGGGGTACATATTACAGTGCATTATAATTATATAATGTACACTTTGATGTAAATAATATTATTATTGCATCATATTAAAATATTGTAAATCAAACTCACGGGGGCTGCATTTGCTTTCCGTCGAGGTGAAAATACCTGTGACTATTAAAATCAGGACAGGCAGTTTCATGTTAGGTAGGACTCGAGTACGTCGGGACAGCTTATGGAAAGGATAAGTGAACGGGTAAAAAAAAAACCTTGAGTCGCAGAGAATATTACGTACTTTTCTGCTTGCAGAATAATCTTGGTCGAAGTCACCTTCAGCGTTTTTTTTTTTTTTTTTCACGTGATTTCAGGTGATTACGTAGGAGAAGATCGTCAATTATGGGACTTCTCGCTCAAAAGGAGGTGATTCAATGGGGATCCGGACGCCTCATTGTTCAGGACTTTGTTGCCGAAGGAAGGTGAGCATTCTAATGAACTGTTTCTTTTTACACAGTTTACATCCCGTTGATGAGAACTCGTGGAAAATTCTGATAGATTTATTAAAACGCAGAGCTTCTTCTAAAAATCTTCGTCTTGATATTTCTTCACGTTGCAATTCTCAAGATTCGGAATCAACTTGTTTAGAACTTATCATAGAATCAGATATTTTTCGTTAAAAATATACATTATTTGAGATAATAATCGTTGCCGTCGCTAGTTCTTGGAATACTGTAACGAACTGATTTTGGTATCTAAATTGTCCATCACGAATTTTTTTTTTAACGGGAGAACTAGTTCCAAATGGCATTCGTCTTGACTGACTTTTCAGAATTGGGAGAGTTGTGACTGTTACAACCTTCAGTTGGGCTAGATGTGTCACATTTGGTTTATATTTAGCATTGTACATATTTTTCTTGCGCACTGATTGTCCAGAAAAGCGAGTTTAAAAAATTGTTAAAATTATGAACAGCTGAATGTTTATTGGTGTCGAACGTAAGAGGCAAAAAGGGAAAAGTTATGGCATTTCAAGTTTTTTTTAAGGTCAGGTTTCTAGTTTCTTTGATTAATTCTTTTTTAAGAATATACGCACATAGACGACGAAGAGTAATTCATTCCTTTGTTGTAGGTGTCGCCAGTGCATTGATTCTGCGTAAATATCCGAAAGAAAATTTGCCTCTGAAAAACGGACTTCAATAATTTATATTTTAGTGACGTACTCGATTGTTCTTTTGAAATTGATGTTGGTGATCCCGACGAGATATTTTCAATGGCTCTCGAAGATTATTTGATGCCTTAAAATTTTAGTTTTTATATTTTTGTAGCAAATTCCTGGGAATGAGAAATCACTTTTCGAATGCAGAGAAATGTATGCAGTAATTTTCATTTTAGAACCTGTGAAGTGTATTCATCGATTTCAAGTCTCAAAACTGGTCCGAAGCATGTTGCCGTGAAAGTGTTCAAACCGGGAGAAAACTGTGAAGGTGGGATGGTCAGAGAACTCGAGCTATTGAAACGGATGAGTGCGGGATCGCAATTTTTGGGTACAGTCCTGAAATCTGAACAGTTAGTGGGGAAATAACCTTGAATGAATGTGTTGTTTCTGAATGCAGTGCATTTGATGGGCGCAGTCGTTCACGACTCGAAGCATTGCCTCATTGAAGAGCTCCTGACGCCGTTGCCGCATGTGCTTGCCAATTATGAACGCGGGAAGATGAGTTTGTGGGAAACGAGGTCTTTGCTTCGCGATATTTGCCGGTGAGTCGCACATTCGAATCTGGATTTGAGTGTATATTTTTTCTGAGGCCCCCCCCCCAAATCCAGAAGAAATTTTTTTTTTTAGATAATTTTGTTTTACGGAATGAGAATCCGTATGGTGCCACACAAAAAATAGTTGTAGTAAGAGAGTCTACCTACACAGTATCCGTCCCGCGGGTTTGCAAGTGTGATAATCCTGCGTTTATGAAGCAGTCTTGACGTAAATATAAAAAAAAAATTTAAATCGATGCATTTTGGAAAAAGTTCTCTGATGTGAGGTCAAGGAGATTTTTCCCTTTTTACATCCGATGTGTCTTTGACACCGTGATTTTTTTTGACTGCTAAATGCATGAATGTCACCTTAATTGTGATACAATTTTTAGATTCATTACGCGGTAAAATATCGTTACGATTTACAACAAAGCCATTGGGAATATAGGGAGAAAAAAAAACTTAATTGAGAAAAGAAACTCTTCCCGTGGCTTTGCCGAAGAATTCCCTGGCGAAAGAATTTTTACAGATTTTTTTTTTCAAACCGTTGAAACACACTGTTCTCGGTGTCTATTGATCAACGTATTTATTTCAGCGGACTGGAAGAATTACACGCCGCCGGCTTTGTTCATGCGGATTTGAAGCCGTCTAACATCGGATGGTCCTGTCTGAGTGCAGGATTCAGACTGACCGATTTCGGAATAAGCTTTCATCTATCCGAAGGAAGTCACATACACGCGGTTCAGACGTGGGGTTATATTGCCCCGGAAACTGCAGCGTGGAATGCGCGTCTCGCTGCGAATCCCCGCTCGTCTCCGAGACGACGTGTTCGATGGTCGCAACCGGATGAGGCGGATTCCTGGGATAGTTCTGCTTCCTGTGGTTCTTGCCCACTCTCACCGAAAATTGACATGTGGAGTGTCGGTTGTGTGGCATATCAAGTGAGTGAGACGCCTGAATAAAAGAGAAGGGGATGTACAGTCGAACTTCAGGGGACCAGCGGGAAAAAAATCGAATTAGGAAGGGTTAGAGTTACGGAAACGAGCATTTTTGTTGGGTAAAGGATTTTTTAATTCGTGATAATCGGGCCTTGCATTTTTTCTAAAATGATTCTACAGGATGGTGAACTTGGAGATACAGTAACGGTTTATTTTCCTAATTAGTCTCACTTCCGTTCAAAACACGTCAAGTTCAATTTTTTTACCCTTCCTCTTTTGTGTTCCAATAAAATAATAACCAAGAGGCCTCCAGAAAATTTGAGTTATTGACGTTTAAATGGGAAAGCCTTCTATTTGAGGGTTTTTTTTTAATTGAAAAAAATATTTTTGAGGGAAGTTAGGAAGTAATTTAAGAAGAAATTCGACGTACGACGGTTTTGAACTTCGGGAGGTTCGAGTTATCGAGGTTCAAGTGTACTACGCCAACTACGGTACCAGCTTTTTGAAGGAAATTTGTATAATCCGAATCTCTATTGTCCGATTTTTTAACTTATGCCCAGTACAATATTTCAAATTGATTTAAGATAGTTTCAAACATCATTGCAGTCCTGTCTTTCATTTTTTTAAAAATTATTTTCTGCCCGCCGGATTTTTCCTAATGATGCTTATTTTTTTAACTTCAGTTATGCGTGCGTTATGTACAATCACCTCTATCGAATATTCAATTATGTCATTTTTGATGTTCGAACCTTTTTCGAATTGATAGGTTCTTGCGGCCAAAAAGTTCATACCCACGCCGAGAGGAAAAACGTTCGATTCTCAGAAGGAAATCGATGATTACTTTGATGAATTTGTAGATCTCAGCGACCTGGATCCGAAGTTTTGCGACTTCTTACGAAGGTGAGAGAGTGTGGTGTACTTCTTCAAAAAAAAAAACCTATGAAATATGTTGTCAATACCATCAGGTGCGTTGTGTGGGATCCCGCATTGCGTATGAGCCCAAGTGATGCTTTGGCGCACAATTTTCTTGAGGAAACCGTGTTGGACCGCCAGTTTGCTTCGATTTTACCGGCTCCGAAGGCATCCATTTGAATTTATAATTTGTTTTTCTTTGATGCTGCTTCAGTTCGGCATCTAATTATTTTTGTTTTTCCTCATGCCACAAATTTGTACGCATGTACTTTTTGGCTGCTTTAAAAGCTTTCAGAGAAAAATGCTGAAAGATAAGCCATAGAATGAGACAATCTTGACTTTTTAATAGTACATTACTGCAGGTACACCATTTTAAAACTGACGTGTCAAGTATTTATAGCGAAAAATGTATCACGGATTTCTGAATTTTCAAACTGCTTTTGTTTGACTGTTCAAAGTGGCTATCAGAAAACCTTAATCTGTATGCAGTCATTATTTTTATAGTACATTAGTTCCTTGTATTATTTACAGTACAGTATTCGGAAAGCGACAGGTTTCCTTTTGGCTCATATTTTCTGATGATGTTTGCGGTGAAACAACCTTCAGAATTCTGGATATTTTCTGTATAGCCTCAGAAATATGCTCAGTTCATCTGGTATGTCTCAAAATTCCTTCCTCGTAAGCGAGCCCTGGTATGTTGAAGATGTATAACTGAGGCAATTTTTTTGTTCAAAGTTTCAAGACTAATGATTCCGTTGGAAATGCATGAATATTGAGTTTTCATTAGGCTGGCATTGGAATTTTTAAATTTATTATAGCAATTTTTAAATTTATTCATTTTTCAAAATTCTGTAATTTGTAAATTTTATGGTTTTGATTTTCAACTGAAAATAGGGTGTAAACCTATCTTCAGGGAAACTCATTACAGTAATGATTTTGAATGCCTGTCGTATTTTTGGAAATATCATGGTGTGCAGACAGTCTTGCTAAACTTTTTCATGGATGCCGTGCTGAAGTTGCACCTTTTTTTTTTTTGAATCCACGACGTTTAATTTTCTTTCGATACGTTTTGAAGGGGAATTTCGGGAAGAAAAGTGGCTGTGGTTAATGTGTGTTTTTCGTCCTGTAAGCCTGCTCAGATCCAGAGGTTCTCAACCCATGCTCCGCGGAGCCGCAGAGGCGCCAACTGGAATTTTGAGGAGCTCCGCATCGTAACTTGAAAAATAGATAAATAAAATGGCAGATTGGAAGGAAAGGATAAGAAACGGATCGGGAAAACATTCTGACGTGTGTGCATAAAGTGGAATTTTACTAGCTCAGTAATTAATGCTGATGAAAAAATTTGATGCAAACTTTTTTTTTAAACTTTTTTCAAACCTTTTTTTCAAATTTTACTACGTTGTGTATTACCCCTGAATCCTCAGATTAAGATCGCGATAGTTCTAAATTACTTCAAAATTTTCCGCTCGAAATTCACTTCAATTCAAAATTATGCATACTGGGATAGACTAGAGGTTTTTCGTTTGTTTTCCTCCTAATATTTTTGAAATTCTCACTCTTCCCAATTTTTCTTGCGTAAATTCAACGCTCCTCGAAAATGCTGTCTTTTGTAAGAATATTTTGCTTATTTGTTCTTCAAGTAAAAATGGAGATACTTTACTGTATGTAGCAAATATTTGCCTGAGATGCTCCGCCATGGAAAGTGATAACATAGAAAGGCTCCGCTAGTCAGAAAGTTGAGAACCTTTGCTTTAGTTTCATCACCACAGATCAGAACTTTTGCTTTAGTCGAAATTTTTTTTTCTAAATCGTCATTTTCTTTTGAAAAAGGTGTACGAAGGGACGCTTCGGGGGTGCAGTTGGCGAGATCAGCGTGCCCGTGCGAGTGTCGTTGGTGGTGGTGGTGGTGCGTGTGTGAGTGAGTGAGTGTGTGCGACGGGGGCTCTTGGTGCCGTTACTTTGGTGGTTCGCGACGTTGGGCGTGTCCTTCCAGCATCGGGTCTAAAATGTCCGCACGCCGCGCCACGCACGCCGGCAGCTGGTACTCGAGCTCGTCCACGGAGCTCGATAGGCAATTGTCCACGTGGCTGGCGGACACCGACTCGTGGCACGGGCCAGCCAAGGCCATCATCGCGCCGCACGCTGGTTACCGCTACAGCGGCGCATGTGCCGCGCATGCCTACAAGTCAGTCCATTTCCCTCTCCTCCGCTTCCCTCTTCCTCCTCCTCCTCCTCTCTTGATCAGCGATCTTGTTGCTGTTTCGTTTTTTTGTGTCAGTGTCCTTCAACCCTTTTGCGCTATCGGCAGGGGGAGAAAAGATGGAAATACAGTACTGTACAGTGGGTCCCCGCATAACGAAATAATCCCTTCCTGGTTGTGGGATTCCTCGTGCGAAATTTTTGTTTTTTTGATGCGAAACCCGTTCTCCCTTGAATACATTGAAAGTTATTTAATTTGTTCCAGACACACATGAAAAGATTGTGAGAAACCTGTAAAATACTGTCTTTTTCCTAGTTTTCAGCTTAAAATTGTGACCTTGAAATTACAGTTGGACCTTTAATTTGAACCTCCTAAAGTCAAAACCTCCCTTACTCGAATTTTTTTTGCTGGTTCCTTGAAGTTCGACTTGAAGAGGTTCGATTGTAATTGGAATAATATTCAATTCAAGTTATCCTGGCAAGCTTGTGCGCTTAACTCTCAAGTTACATGGATTTTTAGAGACAAGAAGATGCGAATTTATACATTTATTTTAGCAATTTCCTTGATCTCTAAAAATTACAAAGCGTAAGCCCGAAAATTGCGAAAGTGTGGACGTTTTTTTGGCCCCAATATTTTGTCGCTGAACCATTTCGTTATACTTTCAGTTTTTCTCCCCTGCGAAATGTTTTACTTCGAATTTTATGCTGCGCGGGTCTTTCTTTATGCGGGTCTCACTGTACTGTGCCTAGAACGAATGCAAAAGTTTAAAACCAAAAGAAAAAAAAATGTGGTAAATTACGAACATCATTATTGAAAACTGTTGTTGGGTTTTTTTTTGTTCTCCCCCTCGCGCGGAAACAAAGGAATATCGTGAAATTGAAAGAGAAATGCTGTGCTTCACATACAAGACGATGGCCTAAATTGCATCGGCTCTAAGAAAGAAGGATTGTTGCATTCCTAGGATTCCATCCGTCTAGATTCTCTTCCCCCCGGCCAGACGTCTGGTGGTGGGTTATTTCCTTGATGTCTGTCTGTTCAGGATCACCCTTCGCGGTCGATGGGGTGGCAGTTTAAGTCAGCTATGCTTAGTAACTTTCATTCACGGGTTTCCCTGATGTTTCGGAAGCTAGGTTATTTATTTTTTATAAAATCCTTTTTTTATTATGAAAAGTAAATAATTTTAAATAATAATAATTAGTAAATAATAAGTATAATTTTATTTTTCTAAAAAGCCAATTGCTGTTTCAAACGGAACGAGTCAATCGAGGGATTTGAGTGTCACTCTTTGTTCATTCTTCATTCAAGAAAATGTACGATAGACTTTGTAATACGGATAATGTATTACTACTGTAATGAATAGAAGAGATATGAATTGAGAACGCATGAATGTCGAGAGATAAGCCGACAAAAACTTACGAAAATGTCATTAACCAAAATGCTTCAATTCGTGTGTTGTTCGCTTTCTGCGCACTTGACGCCAATTATTAGGGGATTTTCGTACGTTTATTTCTAGTGTAGCTGTGATAGAAAACCCCAAGAAACATTCTTACCCCTTCGTATCGAAGAAATCTTCGACATAAAATAGGTTTGGAAACCATGTTAAGCTTAGTTTTCGTCTCTGATTGCCTCGAAAAACCGTGATGTGATCCATTGATCGGGTATCTTCTGCGAGAAGACAGAGCTAAACTCACTCGGCAAGCAAGCGCTTCAAGACATTGACGAGGATTACTTTGGTCTAGAATATAGTTCTGTAGGACTTTTTCCGTGCTGCTTTTTCTGTATGGTCAAATGGAGTGCTGTCCAACTCAGACGTGGCCAAAGGCCACATTGATCCTCTTTTGTGGCGAAGGGCCACATTGCAGAGATCGAGAGTCCTTGTGGGAAACATTTTTTTAAAGGTTTAAAATGTTCTCCTCTCACTTGTATAGTAGATGAAAAGTTCCAAGTTAAATTCAATTCTATGCATTGAATCACAAGCATAGCCCTAAATTATTTTTAAGTACGGTACTTTTTTTATTCGAATTTATCCGGGCTATAGAATTTTTAAAGGCTGGAGCAACATTTCGAATTTTTAAATTCATCTTTAAGTAAATACAGTAAAATTTCGTTAAAACAAATACTGTTACCAACAATTTTTTAGTATAACAAACTTTTTTTCAAATTCCCAGCAGAACTCTTATAGGGTGCATGTTATAAAAATCTTGTTACAACAAACTTGCCAATTTCAATATAACTTTTTTGAGGAACATGTTGTGTTTTTTTTATGAAAAATCCCAAATGAAGGCAGGTTCCGTCTGGGATTTTCCATTCAAAATGTGACTGTTTGGTTCTTGGGACATACAGCATAAGTAAAGTGGAATCAATGTCAAAAAATGTTCAAAATTTACCTGAACATCCTCTCTTTCAACAATTGGGTTAGGAAAGATTTTGGGGGGATGAACCCAGAAAAACTCATGTGGAAAGGGGTTTGTATGCTTGAGAAACCCCACTGATGCTTGAAAATTCTAAGCTCTTTTGTAACTTCCACCCTTACAAATATGTGGAGGAATTGCTTAGAAAAATGTGAAGTTGGCAAAAAGTGCTGGTGTTTATCGGTTATGCAGAGTGAATGTTGCTGTTGACATTTAAATTTCTTTTTTTGAATACGGTACTGAAAAACAACTGGAAAGGCCAGAAAAGAAAGATGTTGAAAATATGCAAGTTTAATTTGTTAAACATCTTCTGATCAGTCAAACAATTTTGAAAATCTCGTTATAAAAAGTATTCATTTCAACAAACTTTGTCTGAAGTCCCCATACGTTTGCTGTAATGAGATTTTACGGTATTTTGAATGGTGGCGGTTACCATCTTGAAAATTATAGTGAAGTGACCTTGGGACAAATGAGAAGTCCTTGTGGGCCGTATGCTGGGCAACATTGGTCTAATGCTAGGCCATTCGAAGCATTGTTACCAACGTTTCCTTCCCCCCGGAGGATATCTGTATACAGTATTAAAGGATTGTTTTATGAATCACGCTTACAGGCAAGTGAATCCGAGGGCTGTAAGACGTGTGTTCATCCTGGGCCCGTCGCATCACGTGCGACTTTCGGGTTGCGCATTGTCACCAGTGGAAAAGTACCGAACTCCGCTGTATGACTTGCGGATCCACGGGCCAACGTATGAGGAATTATTACAAACCGGCCATTTTGAACATATGAGCCAGACGACGGATGAGGACGAGCATAGCATTGAAATGCATTTGCCTTATATTGCTAAAGTGAGTACTGTAGTCTACAGTAGAATTTTTGCTTAATGCCGGAGGATTTCGTTAAAACGAACCTCATAACAAATGGTCTATTACAAAGAATTCGTTTTTTAGACCCCTGTCCAATAACTAAATTATCCAATATCTATCGTTTTTTAAGTTTCTTCATAACGCATTTTTATTATATAATTGAGCTTTACTGGTTGCCATGGCTTCGTTGAAACGAGATTTTAAAGTATCATGGTTTTTTCTGGACGAACATCGGTGAACTCCAATTATCTGGATTACTGACCTGGTACCTGATCTCTGATAATTGAACATAAAGGAAATTGGTTCTCCTTTAAAAAATTCAGGAATGGCCCATTTTACAACATTTCACACTTCAGAAAATTTCAAATACAATATCATTAGCTTGGATTATAAATCAATCAATCCTGGATCAATTGAAGAGTTTTCAGTGAAATTTATATTGAGACGGGCTGAGACGAAGTGTAGCTTGCTTTTGTATTTCCCAAAAAATTAAATTATGAGGTTAACACAATTTTCATATCTTCGAATCACATTCGTAAAAAAGATGCATTGTTTCGGCATACGCGAAATGCGATAATTACGTTTATTCCATTACAATTTAAATTACTGTAGTCTTTCAGTCAATATTACGGTGTTTTAGAATATAAAGAAAATCTTTGCTGAGTACGGTACTTTCTCGCATTTTCACTTACAAGTTTAATTTGTTGCATTTATTACCCTATGCATGCTTGAAACTTCTGCGTATCTCTTGAAAGATCTTCGATACTTTGATGAGAAGTTGTACTAATAATTTGAATGGTCGCTAGTTTTGGACCATAGCCTAAGCTACGGTAGCATTGTGCATGCTAATTTAAGAACCCATGGATTCTGAAATCTGCCTGATCCCTTTTTCGTTGAAACCACGAAAAAAAAGCCTTCGTAACTCGCCGAAATATGGCAGATTGTCTAGACGCTGATATTTATTTGTTGGATTTTTCAAATTTGCTATATTTTTTATACAGTATATAATATTTTTCTAAATTTGTAGGTGATGGAAGAATTTGCGGAGGAATTTTGGATCGTACCGATCCTTGTGGGATCTCTGAATGCCGAACGTGAGGCGCTGTATGGACGTATCTTGGCGCCGTACCTGAACGCACCGGATACATTATTCGTGATATCGTCTGACTTTTGTCACTGGGGCCAGCGTTTTCGTTACACGTTCTACGACAGATCCTGGGGCCAGATTTACGAAAGCATCGAGAAGCTTGACCGAATGGGCATGAGCGTGATTGAGCAATTGTCTCTTTCAGGTAAGGTTTGCTGAATTTTCTTGGATGCGCGAGGGATGTATTTTTTGGGGGGGAGTTTGGCACGTTTATCTTCATGACTACCAACGAGGTATGCGATTATTCAGTGGAGAGCAAAACTCTGCCAGTGTGAATAATGAAAAAAATTTGTCAAACAGGGCTGATATTTTTTTGTGTGCCAAAGAATATGTTTTCCCTGAAGAAAAAAATTTTTTAAGCTCAACTGTAAGCCATTTTCATTGCTACTCCGAGAACTTTTGTTAGAACCCTCGTAATAATATTACAGTACATTAAATTTAGAACTCTGAGAAACAAAATGGTTGGAAGTTGGATACAATTTTCGAATTGATAAAATAAATGTCTCTCAACAACTTTTACCAACTGTGTCGCACACCTCACTTTATGCCCCAATTTTTTTGTGTGAAAAAACAGAGAAGTGCGTTTGGTACTCGAATAAGTACGGGTACTAATGATTATCCTTGTCGAAACTGTACCCCTCAAATCAGCGATATTCTTCTGTCGTATCTTCATGTGTGTGTTCATTTATTTTTTTGTGGACCAGGATTCACGGAGTATCTCAAGAAATATGGTAACACGATCTGTGGTAGACATCCCATCGGGCTTCTCTTGAACTGCATCGACAAGCTGGAAGCTCTCGATAATGCCCCGAAGATGAGCCTCAAGTTTCTCAAGTATGCGCAGTCTAATCATTGCATGTCCAACAGTGACTCGTCCGTCAGCTACGCTTCGGCCGCGCTGGTATTCTCGTAACGCCGTCTTTAATTCCGTCTCGAATCCCTCCACGCGTCTGTCAAGGCCTCACGTATTTTCTACAAGGTACATACTTGTGTAATTATCCCGTGGAATGGTATCTGTTGGGCCGATGGGCCTCAGTTTTTCGGTTTCCTGAACGCTACGGATGACGGGGTTCGTTTGCTTGCTACTCGAAGGAAATAGGAACGTTTGAAGGCGTCTGTATTGAATGCGAGGAATTCGCACCATTATACAACGAAGGAAATCAATGCGTCGTCGTTTGGATATTTTTCGCACAATCCTTTCAGGGTTACTGACTATTTACCTCAGAACAATGATCATGAAACTCATTATGCAATGACGATGCTGAAAAGGTGCGAGGAATTAACTTTGACTGAACCACGTTGTTTCTGTATTGGTACAGGCATAATATTAGCCTAGTAAAATATTTTGTCGAGGTAAATATCTTTAAAAAAAATTGTCCTTATGATTGATTTACGAAACGAACATAATTCGGGCCATACTTATGCAAAGTAAAGCTAAGATCGATTACTTTTTTGCGTTTTTGAATTTTTGAATCATTCAATTGGAAGATAAACTTTAAAAATATATTCGTCCTATGAATTGAAATTCAAGTGAATGCGACTCAGACTTGACAAAAGTTTAGAAAAATAATGCTGGCGAAACCTATTTAACGATGGAAGAGAACACGACATTGTGGTTTATTGAGCTTCGAAGTGTAAAAACAACCGTTGTTCGATATGTTAATGAATGTTTCTTTATGAACCGTTGATTTTTTCGATCGTGTAGATTGCAATTTTGTATCTATGATTGCTGCGAAAATTAAAAAAAAATTTGGAATACCGAATCCCCGTCATCGGTAACAGAGGTTTATTTGATATCGGGCGTGCAGTAGTGGAGAGGAGCAATGACGGCAACGAATTCACGGAATAACCTGTTACTTCATTCTTCCGACTGGTGTTTTGACATTTTTTCCGTTTCTTGAATGTATATTGAAGGATTTTGTGTGGAACTAATTGTTTGCATTGATTTTTTCTGGTGAGGGCCGGTGGAAATATGTATCTCGTGCTTCATTCCGTATTAGCTGTTCCCGCGAGAATTAGTGTTACTCGCAGAATTTTTGATGCGCATATTTTCATGTTTCAGAGTTTCTTCGCGTTGTGGAGAATTTTCCGAGGAATGGATGAGAATGACGCGTTTTGTGAACGGGTGATCAGCGATGTGATGAACGCTCTGGACCGACAAGAGGCAGTGTGAGTAATCCTTGCTAATTCGTCAGTTTCGAAGATTCAGTCGTTTTGTGTGTTTTTTTTTAATCAAAGCTATCTATTTTCTTTTCAGAGATGAATTTGATATCATACCCGCGATCAGCGTTGCGAATCGAAGTCCGGTGATCCTCCATGGTACTAAAATGGCTCTGGAAGCCTGGGCGGTGCCATACATCCATAAATACGCTTGTCGAATCATCACCAACAAGAAGGCGTATATGAAGAAAGGTACTGTGTGTTTCTTGTTTTTATTTTCATTTTTTTAAGGAGAAATACGAATAGAATTTGAATGTTGTCCAACAGCAGCTGTGTAAAAAAATGTAATTTGAAGAATCGATGTATTTTCTAGGAAAACTGTCTTACGATTATCAAATAGCAGCCGCGGTTCTTTTCATTTTCATCCGTAACGTCCCAGTTAGAATGTTTCCTCCCTGGAATCGAGTTTTTTTTTTTTAATGCGTAACCATTTCCAAGAAATTTTTGATCAGTTTACGACAGGTGAAACACGATTTAGTGATCAAGCCGTGAATTGTTGTTCACCGATGAAATAAAAAGAGTATTACGGTTCCTGTGGATCCTAGCATGACTAGGGTAATGAAAAATACGCGTTATGAAATTTTCAAACGAAGAAAAATTGAATCACATGACGGATTGTTTCGCATAAAGAAATTTTTGAGACAAAAATCGCTCGAATTCCAGCAATTATCGCTTTAAACTTTTAATACTTGAACTTTGAAAATAATTGGGTGTATCCTGGGGCACTATCTGTTGCGGAATTTTTCATATGACTATAAGAAAACGTACATGAACTGCCAAAATGGATTACGGATATTCATATAAAAGGAATACACTATATTACATACAATACAGCTGCAGTAATAAGGGAGAAAAACTATGCTGGGAAATTCCTTTTGAATTAATGTGATTACAGTGCAACGCAGTGTTTATAACTTGTCAAATTAAACATTCCTGTGGGTTTAGTGAAATTTTTTCTTTGTTTTGTGGAACGAATTATTTTTAGACGAAGCCTCTGGTCTAGGGATTTAGGATCCACATAAGGAAACTCCCGCAGTAGTTTCGCGATGCGGGACCCACTACAAATTTACTTAATTTTGTTGTGATCGATGTATATCTTAATACATATTTTAATTGATTTTAATTTTTTTCGTGAACCAAGATCCGGAGGCGTTGGTGAGAGCAACTACAGCTGCACTATTGGTCAACTCGGGTCAAACGACGATGTGGAATATCCGGAAGCAACTCATAATTGACGGTCATCTGAAGGAAAACCAGGAAATGTCATTCACCGCATTGGTTCTCACGCGGAAGCAGAAAACCGCACAGGCTTTTACTCAGCGACAGTTTTTATGGAAGCGATGGTTGGCTCGAGACGAACTCGGGTCCCAGCGACTAGACGCGGACTTGGCTGTAGCTGCTCAAGCGGCCGATCGTTACCCCAACAATTACCATGCCTGGAACCACCGGAACTGGGTTGTTCATCTCGTGATGAGCCTGGACACTGGTAGGTCCGCCTTCTTTTTTTCTCAAAAATGTATGAGTATAAGGCGACAGCCAGGCTGTATCGATAATTTGGACGATCGGCTGTAATGATGATTTCATGGACGTTAGATTGAGAGTTGCGAGTTTTCACTGGTCTTGTGAACGTTTTTTTTGTTGTTGATGTTGCGAATTGGTCCACTATATTTTTTTCGATTTTGCCTCCTGAAATTCACAACAGCTCTTGCAGTTGCTTTGCTTCTTGCCAGTTCAAACTGACAGAAAAAAAAGTGAGGTTATCATGTTCGCATTAATTTCATTAGAAATCGTTCGAATTTCAGCTGGAACAACTTTGATTTTTTTTACACAGTTGGAGAACGGTGTTCAATATTCAAATTTTCACTGGAATTAGAATGGAGTGTGCATAGATCACCTCATATTGTTTTTATTCGTGAGATACATTGAATTGTTTTGTCGTAGGTGAGGTTGGTTATCCTCTTTTCATGTGTGATCTACTTTCGAACGTATTGAAATTATTGTTCCGGAGGTCGTAAAGCGTTTATGTAGCTAATGCAAAATTTTTCTAGTCACTTTTTACTTCAGACTTCGTGATTTTCTAAGCCATGGAATAGATGTCGCTAAAATCTTTAATTTGTAAGTCCAGAATAGATTGGATTGCTTCGGTTGTGAAGAAAGATAATTTTTCACATATTTCATCGATATACAGTAAATAAATGAAAAAGTATTTGAGCCCTTAATCTCGAGTCTCTGCTCAGACTTACAATTAATTCTTCAAGATTGTTGTGACTTGTTTCGTTAGATAATGATGGAAACATATTTTTCTTCGAGCTTGAGAATAACGGACGGAGAGCTGTGCGTAGGACCAATTGAGAGTGTCTGTTCTATATTATACCTCTAGGAATGGCTTTTTTTTTAATTAATCAGTTAATATACGAAGTGCAATTTACCAGGGAAAAAATTCAATGCTGCAATTATTCGTTAATTCGTTTATCTTCATGGGAATTCTCTCACAGGAACATCGCCGACAGCTTTATTATGGAAGGAGTTGGAGTTCAGTTCTGGGTGGATCAAGTTGCACGTGGGGGATCACAGTGGGATGCAATACCGAGAGATGCTGCTAACGCGACTGGCGTCCCTGGATCCGAACAAACTACCTGAAATTGCCGAGAAAGACCTGCACTTGTGCGGGGAATTGATAGCATTTTATCCCGGACACGAGGCTTTGTGGAATTTTAGGAGGTTCCTGGTGAAACTCTGCACGCGTTTCATGTCCGAGGGAAGCGTCAGGGAAGGGGAAGAACACTTCTGTCGCACGGTTCTAGCAGAACAAAAATTGTACGTTGAACGGCATTCGGAATGGGTGAACAAGTATTTGATGACGTGAAAAGTGATACACTGTTTCAAAAACATTTTGCAGCCAAACATTGAAAAAATTGCTCATATGTATTCCTTCAAATGAAATATATTTTTATGATCATTTTTGTGCGAACCTGTAATTAACATATGCTGATTTTTTTTTTCCAGGAAAAAACCTTTCAGTGATAGTAATAGCGTTATGGTGAACGTATGTCAGTGTTACAAGAGCGCGTCTCCCGAGTTTTTAGTGCAGTGCAGTGCTGATTTGTTGAATGTTCCATTTTTGAAGCTTTTTTTTTTATCATCAATTTAAAAAAAAAGCGATTGACTTCAGTTCGTTGACGAATTGTAAACAAATAGAAGTGTGGAATATTTTTCTTGGCTGCTTGAATTCAAAAAATGTTGATGAGGATCTTCGTATTTTTTTGGAAGAAGTGTAAATTTTCTTCACCGAAAGGAACTGTTGACTGATGATATAGTGTAAAGCTTTAATTTTACCGAATCTTCACTGTTACGTCTTGCATTTGATCGAATTATAACTTATAAGTCTCCAGAATGATTTATAATTATCGGTTTATTCTTTTCGATCGAATTGTTCCATTGAAAAAATATTGAAAAGTTAAACTGTTCAATCGAAATGTGTTTTTGGAGGAATGAAAAGAAAAATGCGTTCAGAATTTTAATCTGAGAAAAGGCGAGATTCCAAAAAGCTGTAGATATATTTTAACCTGTATCTAAAAATCTCTAGGTCAGATATTCACCAAGCAAGCAAGAAAAAAAAAATACAGCTCATTTAGGAATTAATTATTTTGAAAAAATTCTACAGTTCATGTCGTCTCAGTTCACATTCCCTGAATCTTCTTTTTTTTCCCCGACAGGACGGTTCACGAACCGTCTTTTTTTCAAATCGAAAAATCTCCCGAACAGCATTTGTAATGACCTGTGATTTTGTGTGACATCGAAGCTAGTCATGTGGTCGACGGTGACCCCAGTGGTCATTGACGAGGCCTCGCCGCCGGTCACCCCGTCTGCCCGTTGCAAACATTCCGCTTGTTTCTTGGATGGGAAACTCTACCTTCTCGGAGGAAGAAACGGCAACATGCCGTTGAAAGACTTCTGGAAATATGATCTCGGTGAGTAAGCGAAACATGTACTCTTACTCTGGTGTCTTGGTTCATTGGCTTAATCCGTTAACGCTGGTGAGTCCGTGAGCCAAAAACCCTATCCACTGGGTATAGTGTGTCCCCGTAGTACGAAAGACCCGTATGAAGAATAAAGCGATGGAATTATTTATTGAGGACTATTCTCCAGAAGCTATCTTATTGGTAGAGTTGGAATGTAAACCAATGAAATGTTTTTTTTTTTTTTTTGGTTCACCCCATAGCACTTGAGACGCCCCCTGCTTTTTTCCCCAGTCGGATTGTCAAAAAATTACGCATAAAATTTCCGCGAATGCAATTATACTCTTGCCATAGTCGGTCAGCCTCTTGAAAAGCGATTTTATATTTTTTTTTTACCAATTCCTGGCAGCTAATTTTGCCACGAGTGACGGATTGTGGATTAGCAATCGGGATACGTGGGGCTGTGGAAGGTTCCCGTCAAAAATCGCACTCGTGATGCATGAGCAGGACAACCAATTTATTCGAGAAATAAATTGTGTAACTCGAAATGCGGAACATCAATCATGCGGGAAACACGCGTATGCAAATCATTTGTAAATCGAAACAACCGTTTTGCATTCTTGCATTAACCTCATCTCGTAAGGGAATAAATAATTACTTTAGTGTAATTGGCTGTCGACTCATGTCGTGGAATACAGCAGCCGCCCCTTTGTCTGGGTCGTGATTGCGTAACCGCCATTCCGTTGGCAAGCGTGCTCCGCCTGGATTATGTCAACAATATGGTCAGATTGATCGTCTTTGTTCAGCAAGTATTTTTTCAGTTTAAAATCTGCGACAGAAGTGTATTTTTGAATTTCCAATCGAAAACTTTTTTTCAGAGAAGGAAGGCTTATGTGTGCTAAATAAAACATTCAGATCACGAACAAAATAAGGTTTTCATTTCGGTAAAGAGTCGAACCTCTTCAAGTCGAACTTCAAGGGACCAGGAAAAAAAAATTCGAGTTTGGGAGGTTTCGTGTCAAGGTTTTGAAGCTTTATTTCTAAGGGAATTCTGACAGAAACTTGAAAAAAATTCGACCTAGTGAGGTTTGAGTTATCGAAGTTCAAATGTACTAGTTAGACCCCCAGATGCGGACATAATTGGTACATGTAGAGTGTCCCTAAGTTGAATTGTCCCTAAGTCGAGTCTTGTTTTCCCATAGACTTACATTATATAATTTTTAATTGGTGTTCTATGGAAGAAATATTCTTCAGAATTCCATGAAAAAAAGGTTTTGCCCCTTGAATTTGATTCAGGGAATATTTTTTCAACCTAATAAAAACATTTGGAGCATTGCATAGTATTCCACAGTACAGTTCATTGAATTGTTGGCATCTGTAAAAATGACATCCAAGTCACAAAAAGAGAAGGAAGTCCCTCTGTGCTTCAGGTAATTTTTTTAATTAGCTGAATTGATGGGAAAGTGATAGGAAAGTACCGAAGAATTTTTCTTACATTGATCTTTGGGTTGGAATTATCTGTTTCTTGCAATTAGGCTTAATAAAAGTCAATTTTCCTAAGATTGTAATTGGCAATTTTATCATGCCGTGTCCTCATGTCGAGTCAGTGTCCCTATGTCGGGCCATTTTAATGATTTTTCAATTGAAAAATAAATGTCCTTATGTCGAATCGTCCCCATGTCGAGGTGTCCGCATGTGGGGGTCTCACTGTATATTGTAATAATTAAATAGAGTGGAATGTCGTTTCAACGAATCGTAGCATTCAACAAATTTGTTTCTTTTTTTTACATCCCTATTCATAAACCGCATTATTTGAATTTCCTCGTGAGGTTTTTTTTCATTTTGAAGGAGCTTTTTTTGCCGGTTATAATGCGATTTTACTATATGCTAATTGAAGTTGCTTGTGTGAGCTTGTCGATGAAGATACCGATTGTCCAAAACGTTACTGTTCAGTGGGAAATGTGAGAACCGTACAGTATTCCGATCGTAGCATACAAATGACATGAACCTGGTATTTGCGGATAAAACTCAGAAGTAGACTGAACTCACCTTGACCCTGTGCTAAATTCGAATAAGATAATTCTGTAACTGTCGGTGACATCTAACAACAGAAAAGAGCATTATTGTAATTAAAAAAGCAGGGAAACGTTTCGTGAGGCAAATTTAATGACTGTACTACACCAAAATCTTTTTTGACTACAGTATCAGTATTTTTATGGTACTGTATCATTCAATCTTTACCTCGAAGGCAGTTGCGAATAGCAGTGAAATCAACCCACCCAGAGTCGATTTTTCGCAGGTAATTCATCACGTTAACCAATTTCTCTCTTCACAATGCCATCTTGGGAAACGATTGTGTTGAATTGTTTCGCCATTTGTTCTTAGTAGAGTGCGCCGGAACCTGTTATGAGCTCTTCCAAAATTTATTTTCCACTTTCAAGTCACAAATTCACATGAATTACACATTAAAAAAATAGACGAATTCGGGAAGCATTTTCTCGTACACTATTTTCTCGTTAGCAGTTGACCAGTTTCATGGAATAAATACTCTTTATTGACCAGAATGAGTAAAATATATGTATTGTTTTCGGGCTCAAATCAAACTGGCACATGAAAACGCGAAGCAGAAGCAAGTGCTGCACAACTTAATTCAAATTCACATAAAATTGGGTTGCGCATCTTAAATGGGGATAGATTTTTCTCTAACTGTTCGTCTCAAAAATTAATTTGACAGCACAGGAAATGCCCTCAATGCCCTAAAGCTATATGGAAATACTGTACTGTACCTTAAAGCTAATTTACCAAATAATATTTCGACGAAGGGACAATATTATTCGAGTTGGTTTTGTAGCGCCATGACTTGAACTTGACATTTTTTTAAATCATATTTTCGTATCAAACAAGAGATCAAAATCGGTGATGAATACGATATTCCTAATTTGTCCCTTCTTTCCCAGCTACTGAGGCTTGGGTGGAGCTGAAACCCAGCGGTCGAATCCCGCCCTCGCTGCAAGAGAGTACCATGGTCGCGTGGCAGAACCAGTTGTACGTGTTCGGCGGGGAAGTAAGCTTTTCCTGCGGAGATGAATGTCCGCTATGGATTTATGACATCAAAGTGAGTCACGCCTTTCCTGCCTCAATTTTGCGTCTGCATGTCGAGTCGTAATACGACTGTACTACGCCCCGCAAACAGTATCCGACGGATGTCTTGATTAATGAATGGAGAGCCGGAAGTTGCGTGACTGTGGCAGCTACTTATTTCACACGTTGTTACGAAGTAAAAAAAAAAAAATACGGTCATACCCTATGTGTAGTTTTCACGCCACTTATTTTTTTCCCCTCAGGATACATTATTAAAAAGAATAAATTAAGAGAAAAAATGTCTAGAATTAATCATGAATAAATTTAGAATCTCGAATCGTATCAGACAAATGTCTCTCGAGTAATTACCATGCCCCCTTGATGTTTCTTCTCGCCCGGAAATGTGGAATGAATTATTTTAAAGAAAAAATGCAATTTTCTAACAAATCAGTTGTTCCTTGGGTTTCTCAGTTCATGAAGAAAAATAAATAAATTTTTAGTCTTTATTCAAATGATGACTCCCAATGCTGTTGATCATTCGTGTCACCTCGAGTAAATATCCTCTTCGTGCTCAGTACTGTACCATCATGAGCACCCTGAATTTTCGATGAATTTACGGAGAGTAATACTTCATATTCTAAGCTAAGGGATTCAATTTTATGGCGAAGACCATTCCAAACATAAATTTTGTGCACAACTGCTTTTTTTTTAAGATTCTGTACGTTTTCTTTCCCTTAAGTTATTTTGCGCATCTATAAATGCACATGAATTACTCATTTAAAAAAAATTGACGAATTCAGGAAGCATTTTCTCGTACACTATTTTCTCGTTGTCACTGTCCAGTTTCGTGGACTAAATAGTCTTTATTGACCAGAATGAGTAAAATATATGCATTGTTTTCAGGCTCAAATCAAACTGGCAAGAGATTATGTATGTTTTCTTTCCCCTACGTTGATTTGTTATTCGCAGTATTCTAATTTTTAGAATTAAAACTGATGATTTATTTCTATGAGTCACATGTTGATAATGAGGGTTATTATTTTCTTTTTGAGGGACGTAAGTTTCACTTCGTTTGACTGACAGTCGCGAAAAATCATAGAAACAAGTGTTTCCTTTGTAATGTTTTATTGCCATTATCCGTTATAGGTTCTGAATTCTGGATCTTTTTGTAAGATTTGAGTGACACTATTTTGTGGATCAGCGTGTATTATCATACGCTAGATTGAATTTTTTATTATTTTTATTGTTAGGTGAGTGATTGAAGCGACACCTGCTGATTATTACGAAAAGCTGGGTTGCTCGTTATAATTAAATTATAAGACTCGCTCGATTTATTTTCTTGAGTCTTGATAGACGCGTGGAGGATTCAATAATTTGCGGTCAAATCGCGTGAAAAAAGTTTCTGCTGTTCTTTTTTGTGGATGTTTTCGAATGTACTTTTTTTTTAATTTTGTAGTGCAACGTGTGGCGGAAGTGGTCAGGTGCGAAAGGGGACAAAGTGCCGAAGGGCAGACGTGGGCACACCGCAGTGGTTTTCGAACGTAACATGTACGTTTACGGTGGCTACCAGGATTTGAAAGGATCTTCCGGGGAATTCTGGCGATTTTCCTTTGGTACTGCGGTTTTTTTGTGTGGTTGCTCGCCCTCGCGAAACGTTGTAGTGCTTATGTTTGTTGGAATTCGCAGAAAAAGAGAGATGGGAAGAGTTGGTGCCGACGAAAGGTTGTTTGGAAACCCCGCCGGCAGCTCGGCATAATCACTCGTCTGTGCTTCATGACCAAGCCATGTTTATTCTAGGTGGAATGACGAATTTATGCGAGAAAGACGACTTTTGGAAACTTGATCTTAGTAAGCATGTGCCAAAAGTTTTTCAGTATTTTTTTTTACGTTCTGCTTTCATTGCTGCTGCTTTTAATTTCACTCAGCGCTTTATTTCATCAATGAGCACCAAAGCACCTGGAACTTCCGAGTTCCCCGCAACTGCATTTATCTTTTTTTTTTCTCACAGAAACGTACAAGTGGAGCTTGTTGCGTATTAAAGGTGGTCCGGGAGCACTTCATGGTCACGCTGCGATTCGTGTGCAAAACTCAATGCTTGTTTTTGGGGGCGAAAGACAGGGAAATGTTTTGAATGAGCTTTGGTGCTTTCATTTTGGTGAGTTTTTCTTGCACTGCTTTTTTTTTAAATCAAGCTGAGATATATTTTATAAATTATCTTTCAAAGCTTTTTCTAAATTGTTTTCAACTGGAGAGACGGACTCCTCCGTGTTAATATTTTTCATAGTGCAAGTTTTCGTTGCACTGCTTTTTTTTTTTTTGGAATCCAGCTGAGGTATATTTTCTGAAATCTCTTTTGAAGAATGTTCCGAATTGTTTTTCAGGCTGAGAGACGGACTACTTCGTGTTAATATTTTGCCGAAAACGAGAATTGCGTGGGTCACGGAAGTTGTTTCTTCATGAATGCCGAGATTTTTCAAAAATAAATAATTCTTAAAAATTGACGATCATTCTTTGTCGTTTCTGCCGGCGTGACGTTAACTTCATTCAGTCGATGATCTTGTATTTGCAAGAAAATGCAGTAATTACCAGGAACTAAGAAGACTATATTCAATGAGTTTTTAGATTTTATCACCACATTTCTAATGCCGGTCTTTTTTCAAGCCGAAATCCTCTAAACACTTCGTCTGAAGTTCCTGCAAAAACGCGGCACTGTATGTTCGATTCGGCTTTCATGTAGTTTTTTTTATTATTACTATACGGAATATCTATCACTTTTTGCTGATTTTGCTGAATCACACACTGCTGAATTTCTGAAGTTTGCCTTTCTCGCCGCAAAGTATTATACGCTTTAGCGTGAATGATCTTAAATGCATGTGCAAAGCAGCGGTTTTGGGCTGAAGCAATTAAAAATTAATTTTTCTCCAACACACAACGTCCGATCTTTTCCTTTTACGTTTTTCCAAAATCTCTTAAAATATTCTGAGATGGGTAACATCATGTTAGCTCGGGAGTCTTCACCCAAATCAAATTACGTGAGAGGAATGAATTTTTGTTAGATTTTATAATTCAAACGGAACGTTACTGTCATTGTAAGCTTGAGTGTTCAAGAGAACTGAACCAAAATGTTCATGAATCGCGTCAAAATGTTTTTAAAATGATTTTATTTTTCCTGAAGCAACGGAAACATGGGAGAATTTGCAGCTGATGGGTGTTAAGCCCGCGCCGAGATCTCAAGCGGTTCTCTTGTGTCCCACGTCGGTCTGGTCAGCCGAAGAAGTCCGTCACCACACGACTTTCGACCCCGACCTTCTGAACGTAACTGCCATTTTTGATACGTACAGCAAGAATCTACAATCTCTGGACGACTTTGTTCCGACTTTTTGCAAACACCGTGAAGCGAGACAAAAGTTCCTCATGCAACAGCGGTCGTTGCAGTTGCAGGAGACGAAACTTGACGTGGGTTTCATCCCTTCAAATGGCAGCATCTCTGCATTCGATTTCGTGTAGTACCGTATGCATATGTTCTTGTCTCATCTTAGGATGAAGAAGACGAAGAGGAGAAATGGTATCAGGAGTTTCGCAAGCGGCGTGGAGTGGCTCCTGACGCGGGTTCTCGTCGTTTGCATCGAGTGGAGAGCTTTTCCTCAGGCAGTCAAAATCTTAGATTTTTTAAGGATTTCTCACGGATTTCCCAAATGAGTCTATCTCGGTTATCAAAGTACAACTCGTACTCTGCGTTGAGCGACGACGACGACTGCAGCGCGTCTGAAGACTGCACCAGCCAAGACTTCTCGAGGTCATCCATGTCGAGTCTGGTGAAATCTGCCAGCATCAACTACTTTCCGCGATCCGGGCGTAGCAGTGAGTTTTTACGATTTTTAAGTTCATCGACCGTTATTCAGGATTTGTATCAGATCGTGCGAAAAATTGTTTTTCAATTTTGAACGATTGCGCTTAGTTTGCTGTAATAATGGGGGTTTTTTGTTCGTGGGAACGAACGTGTGAACGAAATTCGTTGCAGTGAGAATGTCGCTGTAAATAACCTCTATTACTTGAGAAAAAACGCCAAGGGACCAAAAATGAAGTCGTTATGCTGAGAAAACCGTTGTAGGGAGAAGCCACATGTATACTGTATAATTTTTATGGCGTAGAGTAGGTCGAAGGGGATTCGTACTGAACATTGGATGTTTAGATTAGAAGATTCTACCAAAAAAGTGAAGTTTGGAAAGGAAAAAAAAAAAACAATTAAGCAGTAGGTTAAGAAACTCCAAACTGACTGACTCACCCTAAAATTAACAGGACCGAAGCGGATCTGAACTAAGGAATCCACGTTGTTCGACGTAAGCGAGCGTTAGCTAACCTAAAGTAACATATTTTGACCAAGTAAGATTTTTCAGGCGACATCTATGTAATCGCAAAGAAAATCACAGAACTTTGGACGTTGGGCTTTGAAAAGCAACGAAGGAATGACGATAAATGTCTCGGCCGACGGAAGAGACGAGAGCTGGTATTGGCGTCGGAGATCATTCGTAGATTGACTCTTGGGTTCCAACGCTTACATTTTATTGCGACTTGAAATCATTCCTGTCCCCCGGATTTTTCCTCAGAGTTTTCCGATAAACCTATCTTTTTTGTTTTTCGTGATGCAAGCGTGACATTTTCGGTTGCTTTCCCCAGACGGGTATTGCGCTGCTTGCTGTCGGAATGCTCGGTGTCGAATGAGCGCCAGGGCAGTGCTCCAGTCCGGAATGAACGACAACGAATCCATTTCCGAGTACAACGATGGGGAAGTGGCGTCGATGAACACGGTGCGAACGGGCAACAGCGAGACGAAAGTGAGGAAGAGCGGCAGTGTGGCGTCCAGCAGTCGGCGTCGCCCGAGATCGTGTGGCGGAGAGTCTGGTGTCAGCGCGGACTATCCTTTGTCTCCGACAGAAAGCTTCAACTCGCATCAACACTTGCCGTACGCAGCATCGCAAATGTTGCGAGCTGCTGGAATTGAGGTTTCATCCACAGTGGCGTCTTTTGATCAGAACGTGAGTGAATCAGATTTAAATTTGTCACAAAAAGGAAAGGAACAGGAAAAATCTTGAAATCCGACGGTATCATGAATCGCATTCATCTTCGCGAGGAAGAGATGTGCTATTTTACTAAAAAAAACGGTCAAATAAAACGCTCTTCTCATTTAAAGCTTTAACATTCTGTCGAAGCTGGCAAGTTTTTTTTTAGGCACGTTTCGCCTGTCAATTTGTTGGCATACTCCTGGCAATCGCAAATGAATAATACTTTACAGTATTGGAAAAAGCTCGCAGTGTTGGAAAATCTGTCTTTGCACTTGTTTACGCGCTTGAATGCTTTGGTTTTTTTTTTGTCAAGATAATTAAAATTTCATGCTCCTATTTTCTTCTGAACCTCGCTTTTTATCCCGTTAACAATTTTCTAAAAACTCCATTAATAAAATGTCTGTTATGAATGTCGCCTTGAAACTTTTTCGAGAACTACATTGCTAATTTTCCTCGTGATTTCCGACAGACTAAACTAACAAAGGTGAAGGCAACGAACGGACGGAATCTGCTGATAGACTTGGACAATTTCCCGGGCAGCATCGAAGAACAAACATCGGACTACGCCAGTGTGGAAACGGACTCGAACTACAACGACAAAAACGGGAGCTTCGGGTATGACAACCCAAATTATGACCGGTGCGTTTGTACCCTCCCCTCTTCCTCGCATGCTTAACCACACCCCGTACCCGCGTTTCTTCCCGGTTATTTTCACTTCGACGCCAGACGTTTCCAGCCTTTGGCTTTATTTGCTGATCTGTAGATGTCGTTTGAATCGCCTCATTTTTTAAAGTCAAGTTGAGGCTAGTTAGTTTTAAATTTCTTCAGGTAATTTTATTCAGTACATATATTGAGTGAATGCGTAATCGATATTTATATATAATTCGCGCTATTTTTTTTTTTATTTCTTGAGAACTTGATCGCTAGGTAGATGACAAATCACGTTCTTTACTTGAACTCGCTAAGGTCACACTTTGTTTTTTTTTTATCATTACGTAGGTGTCGCCTGCGTGTAGATTACGTTAGTTTCTATTCGGACCATTTCAGTCCAGTCGGGTTATTACGTTCATGTTTTATGCGAAATTTCCTACATAGCTTATCTCGGGCTACGAAAAAAACATATACTGTACAGTAATTTTTTAGGGTTACAGGTTGAAGTCCGCGTCTCCGTATCCCTGTTTGTTTTTGTGGTTTGATGGTTGTGCAGAATTCGCTAGGATCTTTTGGTTTACTTTATTTTGGGTTGCTTTAAAAAAATTGTGCTTAATCTGGATATTTCATTTCATGTTCGGTTAGATTACGTGAACTGAAATTTCTGATTCAGACGACACCTGCATGACGTTACAAGAACATTTAATTTTAAAAGCTGTCTCTCTGCAAAGCAAGGTCGGGCGTCGGCGTGAAATGAATGTGCGTTTCCACCCATTTTGCCCCCAGGCCAGTGGATGCTGACTCCGACTGTCGTTTAAGGTCTCGGAAGAAGATGTCACAGAACACATACACTGCTCCGGGAAGATTCACCGAGACGAGTGTGGAGATCCATCGTAGCTTCGCCAAGACCCTGAACAGTCCGTTGGGAAGCATCGATGAGAAACCCGTTTCCCGCGGAACCCGGGCCCCGAAGGCTTATTGCGAGGAATTCACTTCCCACCAGAACGTCAACATGGACTTCGAGTCTCACCACGAAGAAGACTTGACGTCGCATAACTACTCGATTGAAATGCAGGACATGCAGTCCATGACGAGCACGGATATTGACAGGGAGTTGCAGCGATTGTACTTTGCCGGACGTGAAGGACATCGGTCATTCATGGAAGACGAAGATGACAGAGCACTGGCGTCGTCGCTAGGTGTTTCCGGTGACGTTAGTGGGAAAAATGGTGGGGCAGGGGTGAAGTCCATGACGAGTTCCAAGGTGACACCGATCCCGCAGCAAGGCGTGGAAGAGATGTTTGTTTACCTTGTCGGGGGTCGGGAAGTGGGTCAAATCGTAGCTTTTAGGAGGCCGATCTCCGTGTGGAAATTGGACCTAAACAAGTGCATCGGTTAGTGGCTCGTGCATGTTTCACTTGTTGTGCTCAAGATGTTGACGTCCGTTGAAGCTTTCAATTACACAGTATTATCGTAGAGTATATTTATTTTAAATAAAATATGAATAATATTCATTTATTTTTTAAAGTTATTTGATGAGATTTCCTGTGTGCAGGTTTATAGCAATAATCGTTACATTTTTGACGTAAGCCTGGTTGCCCCGTGAGGCCGTAGACTTCATCATTTGTTTCATTTCTTCCATTAAGTGCAGTATTACGTTGAAGTTTTCATGTACCTTGTTTATACAAATTAAATTATTTTTCTTATAGAAACATATTTCGTGCATTTTTCTATCGATTTTAGAGTAGCCACTCGATGGCATAGTACAGTGCGATGTATTTATTTTCGTCAATGGATCATATTCAGGCAATCGTACTGGAAAAGTGAGACCTAATTTCCAAACGCTCAAGTTGACGTATTTTTTTCGGTTCCAAGGGTTGGTACTTGATTATTATGACATCACCGTAATCTTCCTCACTGGATTTGTTTGGATTGGTTGATCCGATTTTGTAATTTATTCACGCAGCGCTTGCTGTTGAAGATTTTATTTCAGATTCTCTAGTTCCGAGTGTTTAAATTTGATTTTCTTGCTTGATCAGCAGCTTTTTTAATGCTTCCTCTGATTTATTTAGATCTACGGATGAAAATTTTTTTTTTTTTCAATTAAAACAACAGAAAAAAATCCTCATCGCTTTTATTTAATATTTTCTTTTGTTTGTTCTGTTCCATTTTTTCAAATGTATATGTAACCATTCGACCTCGTGAGGAAATTCTTCATTGTGTTTTTTGTCATGACGTTTATATTGTTCAGATTCATATCAAGAAACCTTCATTTTCTCGAAAGTAGCTTCAACTGGTGCGTGAACAATTTGAGCATGTCAAGTGAAATTGACCCGCTTACGAGTGGACTCGGCGAAAGAAAATCAAACTTATGAGACATGTTTCTAAACCTTTGCTCGTTGAATACCTTTGAGTTGAGTTTGGAAATACTTTAGCCCATTTTGTTGAAACGTTCTGCTTGGTCAGCGTTTTTTGACGAGATCTACTTGAGGTGAAGGAAGCTCACCTGTGAACCATGTTTCTCGATTGTTGACGCTTCGCGCTTTCCTGGAATGTGCGTCAGTGAGATTTCTCGGTCTGTTCCATTTCTAGAGGTCGCTTAGATTCAATTCTATTAGATCGTCTTTCGTAGATTTTTCTTCTTTTAAGATTCCTCAAGAAGGGTATTGAGCATACCATGAATTTTCGAACAATTTTTAGATGTTGTTTCGATTCTGCGCTTTTTCTAGCCGCGAAATGGTTTAGGCAGGCGAATTTTGCCATCCCGGAACCCGAGATCGGAACAAGTCGTAATGTCGGCCATATGAGTCTTAGTGAATCTAGATGTGAAGAAGAAACAAATATGTGTTCGGTTGGGCTAGAAATTGAGTGAGGTGTAGTGTTGTGAGGGTATGGCATATTTATTAGCTGCTAGTATTATTTGAATGATTAGACTCGCGAGTTGACAGAACATGAGGGTATATTTGGTTGGTTGTGGAAGAAGAGCTCGGTTTTCTGCTTCCTTTTTGTGTCCAAAGATCATCCAAAAAAAGTTCCGAAAGCTGCCAGTTTTTCTTGCTCCCTTTTTATTGATCTCTTGACGTTTGTGAAGATTTTGAACCTTAATTCTTGGTGCATTCCAGAGGTCCCGCCTGTTATTTGCCTGTGATTGAATGGAAAACACCGGAGTAACAATTATTGTCTTGTGTTTCTCCTTCGATGACTTTCTTCAATTGTAAGAATGATTCAGATTTTCAACTTATCCTCAATATTTTTCAGGAAAAATTGTGCGTTCAATGCATATGCTTTGTTGATTGAAATAAACTCTCGTGAAAGCATTGAAATGGGTGCTCAACATCGAAGAAAAAAGCCGCGTGAAAACTGGAGAGCAAGACGATTGTCCACGTTTTCTTCCACCTCTGACGACGAATGGATTTTTGGGACCGGGGAGCAATCTTTATTTCATCTGTGGAATATCCCAGAAGACCGAGTCTCACCGTCAATTGCGAGGTGTTTTGAATTACTTCAGTACAGTATTTGAAATCGATTTGTTTGCTTTTTTTTGCACCAGCGCTTAGCATCTTATTTCAATGTATGCCTACCTGAGACCTAATTGTCCTGGTTGAGATTTGATAAATTTGGATTCTGGAGGCATACCAACGCAGTTCGTAAAGAGAGGAAACTGCTTTTGGTTTCTCGAAGGTCCACATCAACTCATTCCGTTTCTGTTCTCCTTTGAAACCCTAGGTTCTGGGTGTGCAATACTACTGGTCCGCCGATGTCCGAAGGAAGACACCACTTTTCCGATTGACAGTCTGCAAAGGAGTACATCTACGTGCAATTATTGTTCCCGAACATCATTTATCATCCGTTGAAACAATGCTGGCTCGATTCCAGGTGAGTTTTCTTTATTTCATTTTTGCTAGGAATATCGGGGGAACTTTTTGAAATCCTTGATCTCAATCGAGTGTTCGGAATTTCAAGCTGACGTAAAAGGTCGTCTACGTGCGAATGTGTGTCACAATCCAGTTATTCATCCTTGCGTTCAAATTTTAAGACTTGTTCTTTTCTTCTTTTATCTTTTCGGTTCAACGCGGAGCTTGTTGAATTTTTCAAAACGATTTTTTTTTTCTCTTTTAGTTGCGAGGTTTTGAATCTATTGAACGAAGAATTGATGAATACTTCACACAGAGAATGAATTTACTGTGTTCTAATTATTCTCGTTCATTGTTCTTCGATGAACGGGTTTTTTTTTCGTTGTAACGTGAACTAAAGCACTGACAGACAGAACCACATATTTCAACTAGTGCTTGAATACCTATTACGATATTTCAAATGAAGTACAGTATTTTCTTCTCTTCTATGTTCATATACAGTAGTATGATTCCACTTTGAGGCATGATTGTGCTTCATCGTGTTTTGTCGAACTGCATCATTGCATATTTAAGAAAATGTCTGAACTGTTCTAGTCAACGTTGGCTTGAAGCTATTCTTGATATTGTTGATCAGCATTTATTGACGTACTATATTTTCTGGATATGTTTTTCGTGTTGGTTTTTCTCATGTTTCCATAGAAATGTATTCAAGTATGTACCATGGTGCGATCAGAACCCGATAAAAAAAAACCCTGAGGGTTTTTGAGAAATAGTCTGATATTATAATTGGAGGATTTTCGAATTCTTGTTCTCTTCACGCTTTTATTCCCGATTTTTATATTAAATCGTAATTCTGAGGTGAAATTACGTAGGGTGGTTTTCTCTTGAAAGTTTACAGACACGAGAAGGAAAAAGTTACGACGTGAAAACATTCTGCGTAGCGAAGTGAGGGATCAATTCGTGCGTGAACTAGAGGGGAACTCCAAGACGTCATGTCGAGCAAATGCGCATTTGGAGAAAAGGAGAAAAAAACTCTGTATTCTCAACTCCCCACGTCCTTCGGATTTTTAACGGTAATTGTAAAATACGTTTCATGGTGTGCCGAGAAAGACAATGCTCAGGGAACTGAAAATTCACGTGTTGTACCCCCCCCCCCCCTCCCCTTGGCAAGAAAAAATTAGGTTGAGGGATTTTGACGGGAGGGGGTGGGGGTAGTTGTTCGTCGCTTTCTTTATTTTTCTTTTTTTTCTGCGCTCTCGGTGTCGCGTTTTTTACGACGGCAACGCTTTATAAAACGCGGGCTGCTTGCTCCTTGTCGTCACAGTCGTCTTTCAAATTTCTTGGCAACTCGATCGTGAGAGTTTGATTTTCGGGTAGACTTCGTGTTTATTTCATGATGAGAATTGCGTTTCTTTTCGTCGTGGGTCTCGTGACCTTCGTGATTGGCGAAGTTGTCGATGGTAAGATTATGCCTGATTTGCTGAAGGTTTTAATTTTTGCAGAAGAGCTCTTTCGATTATATTCGATACTGAAGGATCCAAAAATAATTCCCTAGCGGATAATATCATTGTAGTGAGCTGCTTCTACAGCAGTTTTTCCCGAAACTTTCTGTAACGTTCATTTTTGTTCCCTTAAAATAATTTTGTAATTAATTCAATCTAAAATATATCCTCTCTTAGCGGAGTATTTCTTTGAACGTAGAAAATACTGTAATCTCAAAAAGGATTTGCCTCACAGGGAATACCGCTAAAGTAGCTGTTCTTACTTCTATACAAGGAGCTCCTCGGCGTCGATAATCTCTTTTGAGCAAATTATATTTTGATCTCCTAAAAAATAAAAATAAATTATTTATGAGAAAGAACTGCTGACAAGTTGTCTCAATCACATATATTTTATATATTTAATCATCTATTTCGTGGTCCCGGAGGTGATATTCAATTCGTTATGTAGAAAATATTATTGTAGAGGATCTGCATTTGTGACAGGGTAAGAAAATCGTATTCAGCAATATTTTCTTTATGATAAGATTTATTTGTCTACTGAATAACATTGTCGACATGTGCAATAAAGGGAATAGAGTTTTGCTATAGGGATCCTTCTAACAATTATTTATCGATTATAAGTCCGGTGGAACCAGAAAATGATTCGTTCAAAAAATATCGTTGTAGCAAAAAAATGCTGCCGTCGTTTTCAGTAGTTCGTGAATTTTTGCGTATTTTTTCTCTATTTTGAATTTTAGTTCAGAAATCTGCTGGGCAAAGTGGCGTAGCAAAGTATTACGCTTGTGGAAGCTCGTCGAGGAGTGCTATGATGGCACGTCAAGGGAGGATCGTGAAGGGCAATGAAGCAGGAGAGAACGACAATCCGTTCATGGCGTCGATAAGATACCGGGGGACTCACATGTGTAACGCCTTCATCATCCATAGGCAGTTGGTCATCACTGCTGCCCAATGTTTCCTGGGAAATATTGACGGGACAACGTGAGTTACCTTTCAAAACTTGCTGTCTCGACTAGTTTATTTTTTTATTTTTGGAGAGAATTCATCAGATCGAATTTTGAATCAAGCGCAAGATTTTATCTCGCAAGCGACGTTCATGAAATATGCATTTTTAAAATTTTATTTAACAACGTAACACAGGTTCACGTCTACAGCGACTGGAGATTATGGAATCGTCACGGGATCTCGAGATTTGAGTGCTGGTTCAACAAGCAATGTACAAATGGTGATCGCTTTCCCTGTGTCTCAGCTACAAAGCCGTGAGTATTCGAAAAATTTTAATCCGGAACATGAGGAAAATTTCAAAATTTTGCTTTTCTACGCAGTGTTACCCACGATCGGTAATCCGATCGGCGACTTCGCAATGTTCCGGTCGACAACTGATTTCCCGAACTACGGCACAAAAGAATTACCCATTTGCTTGGGCAGGGGCATCAACATGGATGACCGCACCGCATACTTCAGCGGCTGGGGAACAAGCACGAAATCAGGCAATTAACTTATGATTTTAGACTTAATTTTCAATCCGCTCGTTTTTTCAGAAAGCTTGAATTATAATGATTAATTTTGGGAAGCTCTTTCGTGGACTGAAACGGCAATAAATAATATAGCGCTGTCCTTCAAAATAATCTTCAACCGATATTTTCTGTCCTGTTCTGTTAGGCCTCCAGTTTTTAAGCATCGATAGATGTCGCTCTATTTCAATGTGATTTCTGAATTCCTTTTGGGACGTTCCCAAACATGATTAAATAGTTCGACCTCCTCCATTTTCTGCCAGTGGCTTAGCAGAGCACAGGAAAACTTGAATAACTATTGGCACGGTACAAAGAAGTTTTTAATTCTGCGATGAACGTATGATCTATAATGTTCGGCCTGTATTATCCATACACGCGATCCGTGCAAGTAACGTCGTAAGCTCGTATATGTTTCTTCCATTTACTGAACTCTGTACCTGCGAGCGGAGTTGTACATTATTTCAGTACTCTAATACCATTATTTCAGTACTCAAATACCATTATTTCAGTACTCAAATACCATTATTTCAGTACGAAGCTGTTGTTGCGAATTTTTACCTCGATATGCGTTATTGTAAGATTTTTTTCCATTTGAAGGTTCTTCCAGGGCGATGGAGAATCGCATGAGGACTGTGCAGATGAAAATTCAGTCCAAGGGCTCTTGCAACTTCAAATACTATTTCAACATGAAGTTGACATTTAGCAAAAGGAAGGTCCTCAATCCGTTGATGAAATGCGCGAGGACGAACACGTTCTTGGGACTTGTTGTTGAAGGTCCTTGCGAGGTAAGTCTCTAAATTTGTAAATTTGCGCTCGTGTTTTTGTGTGGTACGTTGGAAGATGTTGGAAAGCAAAACTTCTGCTGTTCAAACTTCAGATTTTCTGATTAGATTACATCATCCTGTGCCTCAAAAATTCTGCCAAAGTAACAAATTAATTTTTTAGACGTAATTTTAAAGGTTTGGACTTTTTGTCATAAGTGTTGATTTTCACTGAGTTCACGTTGGGAGGAAATGAATCCCGTGAGTGTGGAGGTTTGCATAAGTGTTTACCTTTCATTGTTAGGGCGATTACGGCGGACCCTTGTACGTTTCGGAAAGCAGTCAGCAGACAGCGTTGGCCCTATTCTCCAACATTGGAAACAACAACCAGAAATGTGGACAGTACCTTTCTCCGGGAATTTTCACGAACGTTGAGTACTTCATCGACCTGGCTGTTGCTATTGTTACAGCGATAGAAACCGGAGACAGTGTTGAGAATGCTGCGAAAAATGCGATTACAACTTTGATCACAACTCTGACCGGAGTTGTTGCCAGTGCCACTGGATAACATTTTTCTACCTTGAATACGTTTCCTTCGTGGACACATGGTCTTCCGCCGAAACTTGTAATTTGTCGTGCATCGTTTGAAAATTCGGCGTGTATTTATTGGTTATTGTGAGACCAGAAAATAAAGACATGAGCTTGCTCCTCTGATTCTGTGATGGTATCTCAGGACTTGAGTTTGCTGCGCAACTGAATCAATCGAAATTATGCGTTTGTTCTCCTCACGTATCTCCGGAAAACAAAATGCCTGAGAAGATATGCTTGAATAAAGTCGTTTTGCGAGAAGTAAAGCGTGAGAGCGGTTTGATCGAGCGTCTCATTCGCACCGACATTTCACCGTATTGTCTAAAGAAAATGCCTCTAAGTTTGTATTTGCCTTCGTTGACGAGGTGATGAAATCTAGTGTGTGCGCGTGATGCCTTCATGAAAAGTATGGGCGATGCAGGAGTGACGTTGACTGTTCGCGTGATCAGATCCTTCCAGCACCGGAATGTCCGACCAATTGTTCTGAAAAACGTCGACCTCAACTCGTGCGTCGAAGATTTCTTGGCACTCGTCAAAGATTCTATCGGCGAGAACGCGTCGCTTCCGCCCCCAGTCAAGAAATACGACTACGATTCTTTGAAGGTAAGCTTAATCCGTCTGACTGATGATCCAAAAGTTTCTTGCTTCGAAACATTTTGGTTCTCTTTTTCTCCTTTTGTGTTATTTCCGACGGAGAAAAGGCTTACGATGAAATCACCTCTTGCCGCTTGCTTTAACCTTTGTAATTGCCAGTGCTGAATCTACATCGTCGCAGAGTAAATGATGAATTAATCAAATTGTGTAATGCATGATTTTTGCAAAAGGTTGAAATAAATTGGGATTCTACTTCGTCGAATTTGTAAATATAGTCCAGTTTTGATGCTAGAAAAGGTCACATGGTCATGCGTCTGGAGGAGAAAATCCTCCCTCATTAAATATTTGGCCCCATCAATTTAAGACACACCTTAATTTTTTCAGACAGTCGAACAAAATAAATGTTTCCCTGCAACTACAAAACGTTTTCTGGCATTTTCCGAAAATCAGCAAATCGATTCAATTTCCTTTCAAGATATAATAACTTTCCTTTTAGTAATGATAAACACGAGCGTGTTTTTGAAAAAAATATTCCAGAAGAAAGTCCTGATGCTACTTCGTATCGTCTGTTTTCTGTACGTAGTTATAAACTTATTCAATCATAACAATAATCACATTTCTAGTTATCATATTCGTATACCTTCCCCTAAAGTGGCGGAAATTTTATTATTGAGTTGATACGGTGTTGGTCTTTCGATTAAATTCAAGATTTTGAGCCGTTCAGAATTAATTCTTCGTGAAAATGTGAAATGCAGTAAATTTCATGACACTCCCGGATTTTTATGGGGGTCTGAACCTGAAAAAGTACTTATAAATCCTCGTGAATATGGTATTCTTATACTCTCAAGTACTTGTTGAAACTGTTGTTCGCTGTGAAGGTAATTGTGATCCTGAAGTTTTTTTTTTTTAATTCGTAGATCGAGCATAAGGCGCACGGGGCGAAAACGAGTGATCCGTTGATCAACACATTTGACGACGACAAACTCTTGTTGAAGCCAGGCAAAACTCTGAGGCAGTCCGGGGTTGAAAACGAGTGTGAAGTGTCGCTGTTCAAGTGGACGGATTACGTGGCCTACGTCAGGTCCAAGACAGAAGTCTGAAGCGATGAGTCGTCGCCGAGGGTTTTGCGGTTGCTGCACCGCGTTGCGCCCGCATTACAAACGCCTCGTTGACGACATTTTCCCGCCGAGCGCAGACGTGAGTCGTCATGTTTTATGGGTGAACAATTTCCTCGGGGAAGGGAGGGGGGGGGGGTTGGTGTAATTTTTTTGCCAACCGAAAGAGGGATTGAGCTAAACGTTAATGTTTTCCCGCTTGTGGCGATGCGGAAGTTTTTTCCATGCGTTTGTCTTCCAGAATTTTATCAGCGAATATGTACTGTAATGTGAATATGAACGTCCCGGGTAAACGAACGAACGAACGAGCAAATGGTTGACAAAATGGCTCCATGAGAAAATCCCGTAGGCCCGAAAATTTTGCGATACAAAAATGCCACGACCTGAATTTATGCGTCAAAAAAGCTTCTTGAGGTAACTAAAATAGTCGATCGTGTGTAGACAAATTTTGAAAGATTAAAAACGTTTAAATAAGGTTTTGAAGTAAAATTTCATTCACCAGATTTGTATGCTGGAAGCCTTGAAATAATTTTAAGGTAAAATTTGTTGAAGTTTTATGTTTTCAGGAATTCTGGTCTAGATCGATTGATTTCTACCGTGTTTTTATCATTTTTACAGTACAGGATTTGGCAATTGCCAAAAAATGCCTAAAAGAAAATCCGCGGAATTTTCTCCTGCTGAGGATAATAAGGATAGAAAACGGCTGCAAAGGTTTCCGTCGCTAATTAAAATGGGACGATTTCTAATCGTCGACCTTCTGAAGGAACCGAATCCGAATTTCGATTTGCATCAATTGAGAGAGTTATCGATGTTACTTCATTATTATTCAGTAGCTCCTCGCATCCTTTCTTAAAATACAGTATATACGATACTGGTTTCTGCGTATCTTCAGGGAATGAAAAAAATGCAATCCATCAAAATTTTTGAAATATATGAGAATTTCCGCGAGGGTTTCCTAGGTTAAACTACTCTTGATGCTTTCAATTTTGTCAGCTTTTAAAAATATATATGAATCCTTACTGAATGTTGATTGCTTCAATCCGAATCATTCCTGATGTCAATGAGCAAATGTTTACGTTCCTTCATTCAATGCCATGGAAAATACTTTCATTTAAGGTTTCGTCGAAGAGAAGATGACATATTTATTGTTTCCACTTTGAAGTCGTTTTTTTTTAAATTTTCACTTCGTTTTCCGATTCGCTATTTTGATTTTAGATGGGACTACAGAAGAACAACATGGAAAAGCTAACTTTTTACGCATTGTCATCCCCCGAGAAGTTGGACCGCATCGGAGAGTATATCGCTCTTCGGTTGATGCGGGATCTCGGCAGACGCCGCCCAGGCTTCGTTGAGATCGCCATGGATGCCATGGACCAACTTTTAGTCGCCTGCCACGCCCAGTCTCTGAACCTTTTCGTGGAAAGCTTCCTCAAGACAGTGCAGAAACTTCTGGAAAGCCCGGATCCGCGGATGCAAATCCGCGCTAGTCAGTCTTTCGTCAAGTTCGCCAACATCAAAGAAGACACGCCGTCGTATCACTTGCGTTATGATTTTCTGGTCAGCAAGTTCTCGGCCATGTGTCACGATGGTAACCTGGACAACGAAGTGCGGATGAACATCCGGATGGCCGGACTACGGGGACTCCAGGGTGTCGTCCGGAAAACCGTGGGCGATGACCTCTTGGAGTCCATCTGGGAGCCGAATCACATGAACAAGATCGTGCCTTCCTTAGTCTACAACATGCAAACCGGTGTGTCTTACGGTCGGTCCGGTGAATCCGCATCTGGACAGTCTGCTATACAGATGGATTCGCGAATGGACCGAGATGCGAAATCTTCGGAAGAGCTGGAAGGTGAAACGCCGGAGTCGCTTGCTGAGGTTTGCTTGCGCGAGTTGGCTGGAAGAGCTCCGTATGGGAAACTAGAGACGGTCCTTTCTGCGGTGCTCACTCATATGGATAACCATCGTCTGTGGGATCCGAATGAGTTCGCTGTACAGGTCTTCCGCGTCGTCATGTTCTCGATTCAGTCCAAGTATTCGCAGTCGGTTATCCAGGTAAATCGCTACATTGAACCGTCATTTCTGCATATTAACTTTTTTTTTGCGGACCTTCCAAGGAATTAAACGCATTAAGAATCATGTTGGCAACTCGCAATCAAAGTTATGCAGTTGGGTTTATTTTTGGTAATTTACGCCACTTTTTTTATACCGGAAAAGTGCTCCTGAAAAACTAACTGCGCGGTCTATTCGCCATGTCTACGATTGAATTTACCGTAGGTTTTGGTTTCAACAAGTATGAATCAAGTCCGGATTTTCCCGGAAATAAATACGGAGTTTCAAGATCAGAGAATCTTTTGCAGGCTTTGATTGCGCATTTGGACAAGCAGACCAAGTCTGGTCCACGCTTGAGAACCGCGATTGCGGACGTGATCGCCAAGGTCATAGCGATTGCCGCCGGAGAAAGCGTGGGTCTGTCACCTTTGGAGATCATCAGCTCGCTTTTAACCCAGTTGAAGCGAGCTGTTTTGGCTGTGGAGCGAACGAAGGAGATGAGTCCGTTTGGTGAAGGAAACGAAGATGACGAGGAGACAGATGCTGACGTTACGAACTTGCGAGGCTCCTTCCATAACAAGGTTTCCGAAAATTTGTTTTTAGGCTACATCTTCATCACGTGACTCGTAGATATGCAGAATTAAACGCGAAAGAAGGCAATGTTTCGTTCCTGTCCGTTACAATTTACAATTACTTCTGAGGTTTTTCGATAATTTTTCGCGACCCATAAAAAAAATCCCTCAACGTGGAGTTACATCGAATGAATAATCCGTTCCAGATCCCTCTTACGTTTCCCTCCTAAATTCCTGAATAAATTACTTATAAATTCAATATAAAAAATATAGTATAACAGCAAAAGCGTCCAACAGCGAGTAAAACGTTGCTCAACGCAATGAAGAATATCAGGAAATCGTTCATCGAATTTTTAAAATGTCAAAAATTTCTTGCAAAGGAATTAAACTGAGGGTTTCAATTTTCAGAAAATATTCCCACAATTAAGCTCCTAATTTTTAAAATTTTTTCAGGGTCATTTACATTTGCAAGAAGAACGTTACCAAGCGACACTCATCAATGCATTGGGAGAGTACGCGAATCATTTGCCCGACTACCAAAAGATCGAGGTGATGAAATTTGTGATTGGGAAAATCCCGGAACGGCTCCCGAATTCTCGCGACTTGGCTGACGAAACTGCAATGAAGGACGAAGATGCCAACCTCCTGCTTCGGAAAATACTCCTGAAATCCATGCTAAAAGTTGGCACGAAATACATCACGTTGCAGTTTTCGCAGACCTTCCAAATGAACTTGTTGGAACCCTTGTTACGGATGGCCGTTAGTCCCCACGCGGAAATTCGGCTGCTGATTCAGCACATCATGCATACCCTGATTGACCGACACGACAATTTAACCAAGCTTCAGCAACTCACTATTAACCCCGGGAATTTGCAGTTGCGAGTGGAACAGTGCTCCAGTTCTGATCTGCAATTTTTCAAGAAACGGGGTCCAGATATGTTCTTATGTCTCTATGGTGCCTTGGATCAAACGAACAATACTGAGGAGAATATCAGGTTAGTTTAATGTTGAGGGGGCCTCTTAATTATCATTCGCGTGTTAAAATCCAGAGTCCTGAATTCAAGATGGTCAGAATTTCAAAAATCACAAGACAACCAAAAATTTGTGTGAGGTTTGGTTCAGAAGTTTTTCTTCTACTGTAATCTGACTCAAGGGATCTTCTGGATTGTTAGGGAATCTTTCACTCATATTTACTCATCAATTGACTTCACCGGAGTTTTTCAATTTGCTCCACCAATTTACTCACTTTCATCCTGTAAAATCGACGACAAAATAATCCCTAAAATTGAGTTTCGTAGGAAATCTATTTGTGTTCCCCGCTACCGAGTCAGAATCCTTCAACCACGATGAGATTAATCTCGAGACTTGAGGGAAGTTCCTTCTTCCCCTGATAACGGTTTTCTGAAAGTGTCGCCTTGATTTGCTGATTCTTTATTTTTATGGAAACCCTCACATTCAAAATCTTCAAAATACGAAGATCCCCAACAACATGCGTACATTTTTTTTATGCTCACGTAATTGTTGGATCTTGGGAATCGTCACCAAAGGATATTTTCGTTTGATTGCAGACTTGCTCATCAGTAAGCCTAAACTTTGGACTCCGAAGTTACACTTTCTTCACTCCTTTTCAACTTGCGTTTCTAAAAATAAAAATTGTGGTTCAATATAAATCTAGCAAACCTCAATCAATTTCGGGCGATTGTGTCCATTGTAAAGATCGACGGAAGTTTCGAGCCAAGCCTTGTAAAAATGAATACTGTGCTTGATAACGCTTTGGAAACGAGTCTCTATCTTCTTGAAATGTGATACGAGTCTATTCGGAGTACACAATACTTCAGGACCAGGAATAATTTCAGTCGTTACCTTTTTCCTTCATATTTTTGATATTTCCAGAGCCGTCCACACAACAGTGGCCCTTATCTGCATCGAAATGAAAGGTCCAGAGTCGCAAATAGAAGCATTGCGGTTCTTGTTCGGGGTTCAGGACGTGGCTGAAGAAAAGGAGCACGAGGTTAAAGACGGCAGACCTCGTTTGTCCGCTCTAGACAAACTCAATCTACACGCGTTTGTGGCGAGCTCCATGAACCTCTTGTCCCACATGTCCGGGATCGAGGAATTCGTCGACTATACGCAACACGTTACGCAGCGTCGTCTGGATCATTCCCCACTCATGTTACCGCCTTTACGAAGCAGCACGTTATTGACCAAAGACCGGGAAATGTCCGGGGATTTATTGTTCGACCGTTCGGAAGTCATTGGGATTCTGCAGCGAGCCGAAGTTGACTCGAGCAAATTGGAGCAACCGTATCCAACGAAGGCCCCAAGTCAGCATTCCTGGTTGGACAAGGGTCGCAGCATGTCCCGCAAAGGAAGTCAGAAGAGGACCAGCGACGATGCCGTTTCCGGATCCGGTTCTGAAGACTTCAACGAAGGCGACAGCTTTGAATCGTCTTCCCTGGGACGCAGCAAAAAGGTTTTCCATCTCCCGGGACACAAGTCGCAAGAGGTTTCGTTTGAAGCGTTTAAGCGGCTCGTGAACGAGCCTTCGGATGTTCACAAGGAGGCCGAGCTGGCCCGCGGACGGGAGATTGCGAAAATGTTTCAGAATATGACGTTCAACGAGTTGTTGTCGCGTCAGCCGTCGGTTGACGATTTGCAGTGTCGCCTGGCGGATATTTTTCAGAGAATCAATGGGTCTTCGGCGTCCCACGAGAACTTGTTGGGTGTGGGTGGGTCCCCAAGGCGGGAAGTGAATTCTGAAATTGAGGTTCCGTTCCTGGCTGGAGAACTAGAATTTCCGGAACTCTACGTGTACTAACCTCATCTTTTCTTTCCTTCTTCTTCGTGGGAAATCGAAGTTCGCGTGAGTTTACGAGGAGTTTCTGATTCCCGCGCACAGTATTAAAAAAAAATCAAGAAAATTACCACCAGTAGTTTAAATTTTTCCGTTTTCGTTTGATTCTTCTTTACACGTTGCTTCAAGTATTGTCATATTAATACCAATTCATCTGCTCTCTTAATCCGATAATCCAAGCATTCCAAGGACGTCTTTCTTCTTGTAGCTTGAATCTCTGGACCTTGAATAGCACTTGGAAATCATTGAAATTTTGGGAGCATCAGTGGAGAAGGTTTAGTTGATTTTTTGTGACATTTGGTTGCTCTGAAACCTATCGTGTAATAACAAAAGATCTTCTACTATGAAATCATTCACTGATGCAAGAGGTAAGAATAAATAAACAAAATGAAAAACGCGTGGAAAACAGATAAATTATTCAGATAATCCTAGTATTCCCTTTTCTACACACTGTATCAATAATCCTTGGAAGCATTCGCCCATTTACGAGGTTGAGTCACGAATGAAGTTGTGAAGGGTGCGGGCATATTTCTTAAAATATCTATGCAGTATTTGAATTACGTTTTACGGTTAGGTACTGTATTTTTATATTTAGAAGATTTGACAATGCAAAATCAAAAAGAATGTGTATCAATTATTGTATGTCAAACATCTGACGAGTGTTCGAATCAATTTTGTAATCCTTACTTCTCCGTTACATTCTCCATTTGACCCGTTTTCTCGCATGCTTGGATTCATTTAGGTCCTCTTTGATCCAAAAGGTTAGTTCATGTTAAGAATATCGTGCAATCATTTCTGGTTATCTATAGATACCCCCTGAAACAAAGATACTGTATTTATCTCGCTGATACACTGTATCATCTATCTCGTCTGAACCAGCCTGAGGTATGAGCCGCAGCTGCGCTAGAACTGTGCTGATCGAGCAGAAGATAACTTCTGCTATCCGTGATAGATCGACTCCATATTTTGTTATTGTTTTCGAATAAGTAAGCATTCATAACGCGTATGTGTCAAGAAATTTGTTTTTTTTCGGTAGTGAGGAAAACCGGTGTTAAAAGGTTCCGTATGGAGGCAATTCGCCCAAAACTTGGGTGCTTTTTCATCGAAAATAGGGCTTCAAAATGATTTAATTGTTGGAATGCAAAGCTTGAAATTGTTATGGACTATTCGCCATTAAAAAAATTTTAAAGTTGTTCGTCTGAAGGAAAAGCCGCTTCGAGGAAAATGTTACTTATTGCTGTATGCGGGGTTTTCAAAATTGTACCATGCCATGGAAAAGATTTGTTTGAAACTTTTGATTTTCAAAAACATTCACGTACGATGTTGCAGTTTAATCTAAAAAAAAAAGATGGGAATCTTCGCTAGAGATTTTAATCTGGTTTTATGGTCTTGAGTTTCATAGAAAGCAAGGAAAATGAAATTTCTTCTCTGCAGAGTAATCTTTTGTGGACTCCCTAATGTACAAGTGTAAGCTGCTTTTGGGCTTTTATTTCCCGCGACGCAGCACTGCATTTTTTGCATTGACGGCCTCCAAACCAGTGTCTAATCGCAGTACACTTTTTATGCTTATCATATCGGGCTTATTCAACTGTTATGAGCCGAGGTGCAATGTTGCCTGTTGGCGGATTTTTTTCATGAACGATGGGCTTTGATTTTATTGAATTTCTTGAATTCAATTGGTTTTTGAATTTTTTGCGCGGGAGAAGAGGGCGCGTTTATCAATTGAATTTTCGTTCGGTCAAAATTTTGAGAAAAAGGTTCCGTAATTGTTTTCATTTTATGTATTCGTTTGCTCCAAATTGCGTTGGAATGGATTTGAGGGTTTTGTGGGCGATGTGCTGTATTCAATTTTGTCGATGATCGGTTGCACTCATTTTCCTGCCTTTCTTGGGTTACCAGTTTGTTGAAAGGGAAAACGTCAACCTGGGTTTTCGGTATCGAGTTCATGATTACGGTTTCATTTTGTGCGTGAGTGTTTACTAATTTTTCTTAATCCTTTTTTCAGAATCTTTACGCGATTTTGAGAGTCATATTTTTCTTTTTTAAAATGGGTTAGTCATTTACGAAGGAATATCTTGAAAGTCACTGGAAGAAAATGTCACACACGGATTTTCCTGCTCCGTTTGAAGATAAATCTGCGATGTAAATCATCGAATGATGGGGAACTACAAATCCCGACCTACTTCCACGTGCGCTGAAAAGCTCAAGAATAAGATTTCTGAGAGTTATGCGGTCGTCAGGTCCAAACTTAAAGAGGAGTCTCAAGAAAGTAACTTCTGGGTTTCTCTCGTCGAGGCTTGCTCGTAAGTTCCGCACGATGAATGTAGCGGAAATCTAGGATATTAATTTTTTTATCCCTTCAGGAAAGCTGACGAAGATGTCCAAGGAATACTGGGCGAAACAAACAAGCGGCTTTTCTCTGCTGTTCACATAGCAAGCTATAAAGTGAGCATCAGTTGCGCTAGTTCAAATCGATTTCAGGAAATCACTGGTTTAATTCAAGCTGCTTTGTACTGATTTTCTGAAGAAACAAATTCTTTATTGTGCGTGCTGCAGAATTTCCTGCAATTAAAAAATACCAAATTTATTGAACTTCTGTCAGCTGAAATGTTGTTAGTACCGTATTCACGCAAGTACCACGCGTGCCTTTTTTTATTTATTTTAATCAAGGAAAAACAGAGCGTGTACATCATAGGAGACCCAATTTTGAAATTTTTTGGGGAACTCTGTGCAAGTTTCACATCAGAGATCCTTTGCCAAATTTTATGTAGACTGGTGTGGAAGAAGGAAAGCCATCTGAGATGGCACATCTGAGTCTGACGTATGAATTTGGGGGCAACTGTATGCCTGACATGATGGGGATAATTGTGTTGAAAGTTCAGGTGCGCGTCATACGTGCTACTGTAAGGAAATGTTGACCACTTTTTTATAAACAAAACGCAGTCTAAGAAAGGTGCAAAATTTATAATATTACAACCTGTCTCCAAATCGTCAAAATGTAACTTCTGATTTACAGTATTTTATTTCCAAAGTATGCAACCTTTGTTTCACTAAAATAGGGTGCGCGTCTCACAAGAGGATAGGTTCTTATCAAAATGTTAAGTGTAAAAAAATCAGGAGCGCGTTGTACAGTACTTGAATAAATTCGGCATTCATTGATGAAATATTTCCCTCTTCCTCAATATTCCGTCGAAATGTCCTGAACATTTTTTTAATCTCAGAAGTTAAGGGTAAAAATGAATTATTGTTCATGTAAATACGTTATGCGATGGAAGGAAAGCGTTGAGAAAAATTTTAACGCGAATATCTGTCTTACCCCACTTTTTTTAAAGTCTAGTATGTGGTTCAAATTTGTTGTTCAAATTTGCTGCACTAACTTGCAATCGATTATCTTTTCTATGTGTCTCATTTCGTTCGTTATCGTCTTTTTTAATTAATGATAAACTTTTCTAATCGCAGGGGGATACTGGAGTTTTGGACAAACTTATAAAGAACAGTGCCGACGTGCACCAGAAGGGCTATCTGGGAACTTCTCCACTCCACATAGCTGCAATGTGCGGCCATGCCGACATTGTGTCTGCCTTAGTCGCCGCTGGATCGGACGTGGAAGGCAGGGATGATATTCAGTTCACTGCTCTTCACTTGGCTTGCTACTTCGGCCACGAACAGGTGAATGCTTCATTTTCATTCTATCTAATGAAAATTTGCTTCTTCTAAATTTAGCCCCGTCTCCGTTTTGGGTAAGAGGTGCAGCTGGCTGAATTTTTTTTCATCTTTGTCATTCAGCCAATTTTTTTTGCACCTCCAATCCGCATGTTGTCCCAGAATCAGAAGTTGAAGATGTTTTCAAAGATGTGCAGTATTTTGTGAACTACTCTAGCTTCAATACCATGTTGAGAAATTATTTTATATTATTTAAATACAGTACAGTATATTAAATACTGTAATTATATTTATTGGGAAATTATTTTTATGCGGAATTATTTAGGATTGATGAGTAAATTGTTTGATTGGACGGCAACATTTGATATTTTACAACGGATGACCGGACCGAAATGTCGAATCTTGCATTATTGAAAAAAGTGACCCTAAGAATGAATCGAATGCGATCGAATGATCTAAAAGACCACATTTTATCCTAACTTCAAGTTTCTGCAAAAATGATTATTTTTTGCAAAAAAAAGAAGGGACCGAAAGAAATGCTTGAACCCCCCCCCCCCCCCCCTTAATTTCCCAGTTTTTCGTTCTGGCGCCTTTTTTAATGGAGCTTTTTCGTAAAAGTTTCTTCACCTTTGTGAAATTTCAAGTTTTCCGCAATCTCTGGTTATTGGAATCTTATTCGTTTAGTTTATGTTTTGTTAGAACTCGTCTGTAAAATGTAAAATACCGTATAGGTGTTCGCTCTTATTCATTGCGTAGATGTCGATGGTGCATGAATCCTGTGTGGCTCATAATGCGAACTAGACCGTATTTTTCATGGATAAATATTGAAGAAAAGAAATGAATGATTTATCCAACTGCTTTTTTTTTTAAATGTATGTTTATTAATGTGCATTGTGGTAATACAGGTTGTCGAGTGTTTATTGCGGTTGAACGTAGACGTTAACGCTTGTGGAGCAGTGAATGACACCCCGTTGCATTTGGCATGCGGAAAGGGATTCTTGCGGATAATTCAATACCTTGTGGAGAAGTTTGCCGACGTGAACGTGAAGGACAACGAGGAGCACCGACCGATTCATTTCGCGTGCAGAGGTGGTCATGTGCTTGCTTTGAACTACCTTCTGCAGCCTCAGTTTGAAGTTGATGCATGCTGTTCTAACATATATGGTGACACTCCGTTGCACATGTGAGTTTGAATGGCCATTTTAGTTTTGATCATTGCTTGTTGCATGCGAAGGTACAGTTCCTGTATTTGATTCATTTTTTTCGTAGCTAGCGTATTCTTCTTTGCGCAACAGTCATTATCAAACGTTTTTAATCGTTTCCTCCAGCGCTAACGAATTAATAGTTCTGCTTCCTTGGAAATTTTGATCTAGAGAATCGCGGGTTGATCAGTGTTACTCTTACTTCATTTATCGTAACCGAAAAATTTGCAGTATTCGATCATTTTCGAAATAGTCATGGATATTCAGTACATATTCAGTTATTCAAATTAAATTTTCAAGTTATACTGTATCTGGCGATTTTTCCCTTTTAACAAATTAAAATTTGGCCGCTGTCGATTAAATACTTCATCAGGATAATGAAATTTATATAATTAAGTCTGTCCTTTTGGCATCGGTTGATAAAACAAGTCCAAAAGACGAAAAGCGAGCTCAAAGTCTAAGCAAATGAAGTACAGTACTGCTTTCCCGTACACAGTTGATGAATAAACGATTAAAAAATAGAAGCACAAAAGTACGTTGCTTTTATAAAATTATAGGGTGAATTCAAAATAAGTTTTACTCTGACTGTGATCTGTTCTCTACAATTGTGTCAGATTCAGCTGTTTTCAACAACTGATGGATTGTTTCTGAAAAATTATGAAAGTTTTCAATTCCATGGTCCAGAGGACACAAGAAATCATGTTTCAACTGTGCCAGTTATTTCATGAATGTTGTATGTTTTGATAGGTTGAATTTAAATGTGTTGGGGTTGATGCCCATTTTTGAAAGATTGACATGAAGTGCCATGCATTTTGAGTACTCTGGGTTGATAAAAAATATCCAATGTGGCTTTCAGTAAGTTCAAAGAATTGAGCTAAAATATTTCAAGCATTCAAGGGTCCAGTGAATGTCACATTTCAAATGTTTTAACAAGGCAGTAATTTAAATTTTTGGTACAGCTGCTTTTATAATTTTGTGGTTGCCCACGTGCAGTACAGTATTTCGTGGATTCTGAGTTGAGCACCACAATTCCAGATATTGTGGCATTCAGTATTTTTATGGAAACCTGTCAGTAATATTGTCTTCAAGTTGGGCCCCACTGTGCTCTTCAGTAAAATTTTTATAATACAGTACAAGTCCAGTTCCGTTTTTACTTCACCTGTGCTGGCATGCTAAACTCGCTATGCCAAAGCATCCTGGTGTGGCTATGACTGAGGGAAAGTGGGGAGCGCTTGCCGTTCAGTTCACCCACCCTTTGTGAGGCGTTGCATCACATCGTGTCCTCCCCAGCGGCCAGGAAAATGGCTAGGCTTTATGTAAGCATAGCAAAAAAAGGTGCGCGCGTTTAGTCAAGGTGAACTAGATAGGACAAATGCTGCCGAATGCAGTTGAAGATTACACAATGTTTGTGAATGATCCAGCCTCTTGGTTTGGTTGATGTAAAATTATTGCATGTCATTCAATAAGTACGTTATGCCTCATTAGTTGTGATCGTCGTTTTTAATCCTCTTGTTCAGGGCATCATATTGCGGAAAATATGAAGTGGCGAAAACGTTGCTCTCGGTGCCTGGACTTGCGGCAGTGTGTTTGCGAAAAGAAAACTTATGGAGTGAAACACCATTGCATGCCGCTGCCACTTTTGGAAAATCCGTGGAATGTATCGCATTATATTTGGACCAACCAGTTGAAATTTCGCCGAACATTAATTACCAAGGCTGTGATGGACACACGGGTGCGTTTACTTCGCGAATGAATTCAACACGTGTGCTTATCGAAACTTGGTTTATGTAGCTTTGCATTCTGCTTGTTGGCATGGGCACATTGGTGTTGTTCAACTTCTGTTGGATCGGGGAGCCGATATGAACCTGGTGGCGTGTTCTGATCCTTCAGGAAACCGAAAGGTAAGATTATTCACCGTATTGATGGATCGGAGTTCCGAAAAATCTCGATTTATGTGAAGCGTGATGATGATCCGTCCGACCTCAATGTTAGATACGATTTTCGTTGTTCCTACTTTGTCTTTTACCTTTAGGAAGAACAAACATGCTTGATGTGGGCATATGAAAGAGGCCATGATGCGATAGTTACTTTGCTGAAGCATCACAAAACAAGACCACAAGACGAGTCTGCCAGAGGGGATTATACCCAACAAGATGGATCTTATGTCTCCGTGCCTTCGCCTCTTGGTAAAATTCGGTCGATCACGAAGGAAAAGATCGATGTTTTGAAGCTGAGAAGTTCATTGCCGTCTCATTTCCATTTGCAATTGAGTGACATGGAATGCCTCGAAAGTATCGGTTCGGGAAGCTTTGGCAAAGTCGTGAAGGTACGTTTTTTTGTTCGTGTCTGCTGTGAATGAACTGTGTATGCTGTTGGTGCACGTGCTCACCGTCGTAATTCCATCTTCAGTCCAGGAGTATCTCGTCTGTTGCGGAATTTAAATTTCGTTTTTATTATCATAGGGAAAATACAAAGGACGTACAGTTGCGATCAAACGTTACAAGGCCTCATCATTCTGTGCCAAATCTGACGTGGACATGTTCTGTCGAGAGGTGTCAATTTTGGGAGCCTTGAACTCCCCGTACGTTATAAAATTTGTTGGAGCCTGTTTGGATGACCCCAGCGTATGTGTTCATTTTTGTCTTCTCTTCGTTATGATTGTTAAATCGAGTGCGTTTCTTCAGCAATTTGCTATCGTGACGGAGTACGTTTCTGGCGGTTCGTTGTTTGGTGTTCTTCATGAGCAAAAGAGAGCTCTGGATATTATGACGAAGTTGGACGTAGCTCTTGATGTGGCGAGAGGAATGAATTATTTGCATAATCTTCCGCAACCCATTATTCATCGTGATCTGAATTCTCATAATATTTTGTTACATGAAAACGTGAGTAATCGGTGTTCCATTAGCTTCGGTCTAGTTCACGATATGTTGCTTTTAGGGCAGAGCCGTTGTTGCGGATTTTGGTGAAAGTCGGTTTCTTAGGACGCTTTGGGAAGATAACATGACAAAGCAACCGGGGAATCTCCGATGGATGGCTCCAGAAGTATTTTCCCAATGTACCAAGTAAGAGTGCTTTTCGCTAGTGAAAATAATTTTTTGATTAATTCTCGAAATGTTTTCCGCAGGTATAGTGTGAAAGCAGACATGTTTAGTTATGCCCTTTGTCTCTGGGAACTTTTGAGTGGGGAATTGCCTTTCGCGCACTTGAAACCAGCAGCAGCTGCTGCTGATATGGCGTATCGGAATAATCGGCCTCCTCTGGCTGTTACGTATCCGGAAGGTATTTTTATTCCCCCCAGCTGATCTTGAATATTTTACAAAAATTTGTTTTCCTCCGTCTCAAGTTTGAGTATCTTTAATTTTTAAAATGCTGTCCGATTTTCGAGATGGTATGGTAGGATGAATTTTAGTTTTATCCTTTCGTCTGCACTTGTGCATTTAGTTCAACGGGGCCACTGCGTCATCTGACTTTTTAATCGTTTACTGGTTGTTACGATCATTCTACATTGGGAATTGGACATATTTTCTTGGCCCACACTGTGCATGCATTCGAAGACCCGCCGCTTGTGAATTGGATGCCCAAATATTTTTCAGAAGTCTTGCAGTGATTTGTGATCACAATTTCAATTCTTTTCTGTCAATTTTTCTTTTTCTCTTTATAGAGAAAAATCAAACTTGATGCAGAAATATTCAAAATTTAGCGGAGCTGTGAGCTGATTTAAATCTGTAAATCCGGGACTTCCCTAAGTATGAAGAAATCTATCGATAGTTGAATTTATTGTGACGAGAGAAATTTCCCATTTCGGATGATCGAAAAGTAACAATTATATTTTCTATTCATACAGAAATAACCAGCTTGCTTCAGGAAGCTTGGCATCGAAATCCTGAGGAAAGGCCTATTTTTATTGAAGTAATCAAGAGGCTAGAAGCAGCGAAACTCAGTCCCCGGGTGCAGAATCTGACAATTCCCGCATCCGATGGGAAAGTTGTCCTTGGCTCGGGTGCCACAGTTTCAGACATCATAACATGCTTCTCTCATCCGCACGTTTTTGGGCTGTCCACTACGTTCAACTCCGTCTTGAGCGGAGAACAGTGTGTATCTTCGAGTTCACCTCCGATGACGGGACACGTTATGGCTTTGAGAACTCATTGGGAACAAGAAGCATTCAAATTGAATGCTAACGGCAACGCGAGTCGCTCTTCGCTGGAGGAACTCCGGCATCATTTAGACAAGAATGGATATGTTTCCGATGCCATTAGCATTTACCAGTCGATTCTGGAGCATCACTCTTCACCTCACGCAAGTCCTACGAATGGTGCAGTTGAATCGTCCACGGAAGCAGATTGACTATTCGCTACGATTCAGGATTCATTTTAGTCCGCGGAGAGAAAAAATTGCAGTCGTTGATTAATCGGCTGTACTGGTGAATGCTCGCTATTTTTTCTGAGAATGTTATTGCCATGGACCGTGCTTCCCGAAAACTGTGTTCGGTGCGAACTGATCAAAAAAGTTCTTGTAACGTGAAAATATTTTTGAATGAGCTTTTTGCAACATGAAAAAAACACCCCTGACGAAACGCGTCGATCGCCCTACGAAGGAAAGTTCGGTTTTGTGTAACCTTGTCTTACCAGTTCCGTTGGTGCTCGTAGTGTAATGTCGATGACTTTCTGTTCCAGAGTTCAAAAAATTATTGTTCTGAGAATTAGTAAATGTGACAAGGATGGCTGACGCGAGTGATTTCAAGCTTCCAGATTCAATCGTCAGTCGGATACTCAAGGTAATTCTTCACTCTTGTCATTGCTGGAAGGTTATTTATATGCGGTCTTTTTTTCCTTATTTTTTCACAGAGAAGCATGCCTGAGTCCGGTAATGTGAGCAAACTTGCTCGCACTGCGATCTCGCACGCTGCCGCTATTTTCGTTTTGTACACCACCACGCAAGCGTGCCAGGTTTCCAGCAAGCATCGAAGGAAACTGGTGACTGGTGATGATGTCTTGCAAGCCATGAAGGACATGGATTTCAGTGAATTTGTGCCGGATTTGGAAGACACCTTGGAGCAATACCGGCAATCGCAGGCAGCGAAAATCAGAAGTGAGTTGGGAGTTCTCTACCGATCCGTTCAAACTTACGACTTGGTCCATTAATTTATAGCCGTAAATAATCTCAAATGGTGTGAAGATTCTGAACTCTCGTAGAAAATCATAGCGAGGTTGTTTTCCTCTCAACTGAGTACAGTAGTTAATTCTGAAACCCTTGTGGGTCTGGAATGCCGTCGCACTGTTCATGGAGCTATTCCTTTATTATGCGGAGTAATCTTCGTACATTACTTCTTGTGTTCATTTTCGAGTTTATTTCTATTTTGAAATCAACGAACTGCATCGCGTTTTTTTTTTCCTGACGAGAATAATTGTTCTGATCTCCCTAAACAGGTAAGGAAGTGAAAGCTGATGAAGATTCGGTGCCCATAGAACATGAATTTGAGGACCATGACGAAGACGATGACGAAATGCCCGTTGATACGGAGGGTGATTCAGAAGCCGTCCTCGACACAGAAGAGGGGATTGAACCGTCGATATGATACTGTAATTTGGCATTGAAATTTTCGAATGTTACTTTTTCTACGATTTTTGTACCTGTTCAGAATCCTCAGTAAAATCTGAGCTTTCAGGTTGTGTCTAGAACTGTTTGTCCAGAAGGTCGCGGAACGCCATCTTGATTCGTTTCAACGTTCTTTTTTTTTTCAGATGAAATCTTGTTTCAATTTTCTATCAACGCGCTCGCGGCGATCGAGAAGTTTTTCGGCGTTAATTCAGAGAATTTGCTGTGAACATGAGTCGAGGATAGGAGCGCCAGAATTTCTTGGTGAAATGCTTGCAGTGAAGCAGACTTTTCTTTGTATTATTTGGAGATGAGCTTATCCGTTATTCTTTCGCCATTCTTCAGTGTGTTAATTTTTTTTATCGTACGCCTCTTTTTAAAATTTTTATTTTCAATTCGTCGAGATTTTTCTACTTTCTCATGCTATTTTTATATGAAAGACTGGAAAAATTCTCACATCACCTGGACTAGCTAGCGAAGTGTATTTAGCATTTGACTTATAATTACATTTTTTCGTGCATGAAAGAGATCAATTTCCATAGTGACATTTTGATTCGTATTTTAGTGGCAAAAGTGGTGGGGCAAATTTCGGTCTCCATTTATCCTTCCTCTTACTCGCGTTAGTCCTCGAATTTTCGACGAGAAAGATCATGGATTCGCTATTGAGGACTGAATATTTGAGTCAAATGCATTTTCCTTGAAACCCTCAGGACTTAGATGAAATAGTGTGACATGAAATCGAATTTTGATGTGTTGCGGTGACGAGTTGCGAAGGACAACATGCCCAATAATGACTGGGATCGATTTCTCGGGATTGTCTTGCGAGTCCCATCACTGTTCGTTCTCGATGAACTATTCCGGGCTGCATTCGGAGTCGCGGCCTATTATTCGCACTGGGAAAACGAAGAAACTTTGGGCGACTCGCCTGGCCTGTCGGCGGGCAACGAGACACTTTCGGAGGCGAAAAATTTGACCAGAGAAGAAGTTAGAGACGGGGTTCCTTTTCTGAGCATCGCTTTCCCGTTCATCTTGAGCTTGTTGCTGCACGCTGTGGCTGGAATAGCGGCATGCGTTGTATTCCTGCTGCGCATTCAGAAGCTGAAGACGTTGTACCTGTTCGTTGCCTGCTGCGTGAGCACGTTTATCTCATATCAACTGAATCTTCGACTCATCACCCGCGTATTGGCGAGTGATCAACAAGCATCCGTGTTCAGGTCGCTGTTGTGCTTGCAAGTGTCTGACTTCTTGAACCCCGCGTCCATCAACAACGTCATACTCACAACATTCTGGCTCCAAGTGGTCCATCAGCAAATATTCATTCGTACTTACAAAATGCCCTGTTCGTGCAATTTCGGGAACTTGGAAAAGTTGGCTGGGTTTTCGCTGCTTTTACCGCCATTTCTAGTGGCGATATTGCCGCCTAACCATAGCATCATCTCGCAACTGCCGATTGTGTGTGCGTGGACGGCGTTCTGTTTGCTGAATTATTCGCTGATCGTTGGCATTGCCGGGATTTACCGGACCACGCTGCGACCTGGTTACCAATGCATCAGACGTTCCTTACGCAACAATACTTTGGCCGGTGTTCTTCAGATTGAATTCATCCGTCTGCAGGTATATCAGTTCCGTTATTTGCATTACAGAGGGAAGCTTTTAAATTTCGTATGTGCTTTGAAGCCTTCATATTTGTTTTCCTACTGATGAAAAATGTACTGTTGAAGGTATGTTCCCTGCGCTCTTCCCCTTCAATACTCCGGATGCAGAAATTGTGATACTGCAGGTCCCCGCATTATGAGACTAATCCGTTCCAGGGTTTGATTTTTTATGTGGATCACATTATCCCTTCAGTAGACCGCGCATAATGAAAATTGTAATTCATTCTGAAGATTTTGAATTCATTTAGGGAAAGTTTTCAAGTTCTTCAAAATATGAATAAGAGTTGACAAAGGTGCGCTTGTAAGTTAACACTTATTCTCTTCGTAGAAGTCGGATGATTCACAATTTTTTTCCCCGTTTTCTTGAGAATCCAACGTGGGGTTGATCTTCACGTCTCCAATGAACAGATGTCGCCACTTATCCAGAAAATGTTGTTTAATTTGATTTTTGAGTTGACTAAGAGGTGTAAGAGCTGAAAATCACTCGAAGAAACATCAACGAGAAAAGACTGTGGTACAGGGTGAGCTTGAAAGTTAAATTCCAAGTGCCCCGCATTACAAAAATAATTTTATATTTTGGGACTTTTTCAAACTAGAGTTTTTGTTGTTGCCATTTTGTGTTCCGTAGGTACCGGATGTTCTGCAGTTGTTCTGGATTATGCGAGCCATAGCTTATACCATATCATATGGAATCGAGAAGATGGAATCTGGATCAATTTTTGCCGAAGGCTGGAGTGTCTCCTTCGCGGAAGTAGAAGAATATCTGAAAGCCGTGATGGCGCATGGTTGTGACACCATTATCGCAGTTCTGAGCATGTCCTCAATGGTTCACACAGTCTGTTACGCCATCGGCCTGTGGTTCCACTCGTTCCTCCAAATCAACGACGACGAACAAAAGAGCATTGGGATCGTGTTATCCGTTCTGTTCTTCATCCTAGCCATGCAAACGGGTCTCACCGGGCTGTCCATTGAGAAACGCGTCGTTCGTCTCTGTCGTAATTTCTGCCTCGTTTTCACCGCGTTGCTACACTTCGTGCATAGAATGGTGAATCCAATTTTGCAGTCGCTCAGTGCTTCGCGGACGTCTGTTTCCAAACACGTGCGGCCTCTTGCGGTAGCTAGTTTTCTCCTCGTCGTGCCAATTTTGATGCTGACTTGGTTGTGGACGAATTTCAAGCTCTCCACCTGGCTTCTCGCAGTCTCCGCATTCAGTTTGGAAGTAGTGGTGAAAATTCTCGGCACACTTACTATTTACGCGTTGTTCCTGATCGACGCTCATCAAAACACCTACTGGGAAAATTTGGACGATTACGTTTACTACATCAAGGCCCTTGGAAGCGCGATTGAGTTTATGTTCGGTGTGTTTTTATTCTTGAATGGAACGTGGATATTGTTGTTTGAGTCTGGGGGTGCGATCAGGACTTGTATGATGTGCATCCACGCGTATTTCAATATTTGGTTGGAAGCTAGGAATGGATGGGACGCGTTCAATAAGCGAAGAACAGCGTTGGGGAAGATCAACAGTCTTCCGGATGCGACGCCTAACCAACTGAGTGTAGTGAATGATGTGTGCGCCATTTGCTATCAGAATATGGACCATGCCAAGGTTACCCAATGCGGACATTTCTTCCATGGCAACTGTTTGAGGAAGTGGTTGTACATGCAAGACAAGTGTCCGATGTGTCACGAAGTTTTGTATGGGACTGGTGGCAGAGAAGAGAAGGAAAGACCCGATAATGAAGTAGTTCAGGAAAACCCGGAACAAGTTCAATGAGAAAAACTCGCGGACGGTGTAATTGGGTAGTCATTCTTGGACATTATCAAAACAACGGATTCGCGAATTGGGTTGAGTGTGAGAAACTCCTTGGGTTTCAAATATCAATGTTTTTAGGAGAATTTTACGGAGGCTGTGCCATAGCCTTTTTGTTTTTGGTCGAACGGAGAAGATGCTTTGGAAGGAAAGATGAAGTTTCCATGATTTGGAAGAAGAAGATGAAGAAAAAACCCTGTAATGAATGATAACCCCGACTTGGTTGAGTCCTCTTGCTCATTTTTGATTGTACAGAATGGGAGGGAAAATGCAAACCGTGTGCTCTGCGTGGTATGTTGCATAAATCAAGGTGATGTTTTTGTGACACCATGTAGCGATTTCATTTAATCCAATCGCTTAATTTTCGATCCTGTTACCTTGAAGCGACTGGCGTTGGAACAGTTGATGTGGTTCAAGTATGCGTTTCTATCTGCCCATACGGTTTGTTTCTGCTGGCGCGGTGAAGCAATACCATACTGGAATTTGCAGTGATAATTTCGTATTTTTATTGGCATGGTTTAAATTTGTAGTTCGCCGATAAACTCGTCTTCACTTCAATAAGTGGGTTATTTCCGAGTTTTCGATAACTTGTATCTGTACAGTAAATTGAATATCATCTTTGGTGCGGCGCGTTGTTGATGAAAAACTTTAGCGTGACTTTATCCGAATTCCTCGCTAGCTTTTATACCAGCTAAATTAAACACTAAATCGATTCTTATTGGAATCCTTGCTTGGGATTGTTTCCGACTTTCCGCTAGACTTCATGTTCCTCAGATCTCACTAACGAAATTATTTAAACGTCGGAGAAATCGAATCGTAAAGGAAAACAAGATCAACCACCACCACAAGAAACAGACCAAAACAGCGAGCCAGCCACCCCCTCACAGGATATGCACAGCAAGCACCTTCCTCCGAAGTACATCCCCTCAACACTATCACGCACACCCACACCACGCCACACAACATCGCATAAGATGCGCATTCACGCTCTCACCGGAATACTTTAGCTTGCTTGGGTGTGCAATTGTAGTCATCATTATTAGCCATGAAATTGCAAGCCAAACTCATCATTATTAGCCATGAAATTGAAAAGCAAAAAACACATTCAGGTCCACGCTAGATCTACAATATACAGTACCAATGGCAAACGCACTCAAAAACATTCAGATGTTTTTTCCCTCACAAGTTTCATCTCGGTCCTTTTTGGTCACACTTTCTTCAGCCTTGTGTGAAGAGTTGAGTTCAGCTAATCATTACTTAGATTAGACAAAAATGTAGGGTTCTTGCCTGCCTTTTTGCCAACTAAAAAGAACAGTTAATTTTTTTAATGACTGTGTCATAAGCTGATTCTTTAATCTGAAGTACTGCACGCTGTGTAACCTTCTTGTATTTACTGTATTTTCCTCAAGCAGTGTATGTGAAATACTGCATGTATGGCACTCAACAATGCTTTCAAGTTTAAACTGTTGTATTTGCAGGTTTGAGAAGGTGGAAGCCCACAGATTTAACAATCAATTGCATGATTCATGAGCCAACCCATCCCATTTGGTCCAAAATAATGGTCTACACATAAATCCCATTTTGTCAGAGATCCACAAAAAGCTGCCAAAATAAAAATAAAACCGCAACCAACAGGAAGGGCACCACCCCTTATGGGTTCTGCTCTGTCAGTGCCTCAGCATGGTACTTATGATGGCGACAGAGGAGGTGAACCCTTCCTTTGTCTCTTCCTTACAATTGCTTCCTCCGTTGGCCTTACACTTCTTAGATTAAATTGAAGTTGGGCCCAGAGCCTAAGCAGCCGACATCCTCTCAGTCTCCCCTCTGTTTAAGTATGCACAATGAAGAATAAGAAGAAGCGGAACGACGTCCAACAGCCGGAAACTTTTTGGTCGTCCCTTCCCTCCTTTCCACCATAGGTGCAAAAAAAAAGAAACCCAATACCTATACCACCGCATAGCGCAGATAATTGCCGAACCGCTGCGGGAACCACACAACGGTATAATCCCCACAACCAGAACCGGGATTCCGCAAGGTGCCAGCGTGAAATCACCGCCGCCATCATCATAACCATGAACAAGCTACAATAATAAGGCAAGTTGACACATGACTTTCCGAAACATCAGCACCAGCATGCAAGGATTCACGCGACAGTGAATGCACATCTGGCCAGCAGAGGTGTCATTGCTGGGTTAGAAATACTGTAGTGTGGCGAAGACCCACCATATATAATTGTTTCATCGTGACCATATTATATTGGGTCTGACATGGTGCCATTACACTGACACGCGTACAGGGCGACTTTCGCTCCTCAAACATATAGCCACCACCATATGAATCAATGGCAGCTGATTTTCAACAGATGTGCTGAGCTAACGCCCATCGAGAGAGCTTAAAAATTATGTATAGTATAGTACAGTAGTCATAATGAGTCATGCTGCAGCAGACACCAAAGTTGAGGACATGGAAGTTTTATTCTGTGTGGAAAATACAATGAGACCCCCACATGCTAACACCTTGATATGCAGACAATTTGACATAGAGGCATTTATTTTTCACTTAAAAAAGGCTTGACATATACGTGGTCATTGCATAATAAAATTGTCAACAAGTTTCAGGAAAATTGACTTCAATTTGGCTTTATCGAAAGAAACAGATATTTTCAACCTTGAGATCTATGCAAGAACAATTCTTTGGTATTTGTCCCACAATTTTCCCACTCATTCAGCTAATTTAAAAAATTATCCATAGTACAATAAAGGGCCTTCCTTCTCTCTTTGCAACTTATGGATGTTATTTTTATAGATGCCAGCATTTCTATGTACTGTACATGCAAAGGTACACCATTCAATGCTCCAAATGTTCTTATTGAGTTGAAAAAATATCCATTGAATCAAATTCTAGTGGAAAACAAGTTTTTTCATGGAATTCTGAAGAATCTTTCTTCTGTAAAAAACCAATTGAAATTATATAATGTAAGCCAATGGGAAAACAAGACTCAGCTTAGGGACATTTTGACTTTGAGCCACTCTTGATGCACCAATTATGTACACATCTGGGGGTCTCACTGTACTGTACTATACCATGGTGTCTTTGACTAGATTGTCCCCAGTCAAAGCCTTGGATGGTGTACAGAATAGTGCATGCAGCATAATACTATAATAAAAACAAGGTAGTGATGGTTAGAGAATGAAGACCAATGAGGGAGATGGTGGAAGGAAAAGTGTACAGTAGTTGGCACCTAACTTGGGTACCAAGTACTGTGTTCTTGTACTGTTTTTTATATTAAGCTATGTACCTATTACTGTACATGTACGCAAAAGGTTGGGGAGATGACTCATCTTCAACGCGCCGCACTTTTTGTATATACTGTATATAGTACTTACTGTGATGAATTTTTGCCATTTCATATGTTCAGGCAAAGGGGTGGTGACAAATCAGTGTCCCTCTCAAGAGATAGCTGCGGTTTGTGCTTAAGACAATCTTGACTTGTGTATAGCATATACTGTGACAATTATATACTGTACAACAAGAATTCCATATGCGACTGTCGCAGACGGATGCTGGCTGTGCACTGTGTCACAGCGGCATTCAAGCGTGATTGTATGACTTGAAAAAAGGGATGCTGTTGAGAAGGAACAATACCCAACTTCAATAAATACAGTCAGGTATCATTGTTGCTTTCCCCAGCAATTCTGTGAGCCTAGTTTAAAATAACACTGCATACTAGAAAAATCGACACATCAATTGCAGAATTTTTCAGGAGTTTTAAAAGTTGGACATTAATTTTTAGACAGTGACAAGGCCAAACTTTTAAAATGTGGAATGGTTGATAGAAATAACGATTCACAGTTTTTCTATGGGGGCCTTTATTGTTTTAGATAACAAGGTCTTGTAGAAAAATGGAATTTTTTGCCAAATCCAACAATTCCTGATTTAAAAGTCTGACAGCCAAGAAGCTTTTGTAGCATTTGAATTGATAATTCCATTTCGCCACTAAATGTGAATGTGGAACCTTCTCAAAGACAATTTTTCATCATTCACATGAGTTTTATTCGGAATTTTGGTAGGAAAAAGGTCAACAATCAAAAAGTACGGTATGCTGTTGTACAGTATCATGAAATTTCTGGAATATTGCAAATAAGGATCACAAGATGCAACGTTCTCCTTTTTTTGAAAGTCATGCATAAGAGAATCCTTGGGAAAATGTTTGAGAGTGGAGCATGACTCCTACACCATTTCCTACCTAAAGCAAAGCAGCTTCTTCTTGAAGTCTCTCATGCAGAGCCAGGATAGAGGGACTGCTGCTGTACTGGGAGTGCGGGAGGGGGAAGAGGGATTGCTGCTGCCATGGAAGTGGAGGGGGAGGCGATAGAGGGACTGCTGCTGCAGTGGGAGTGGAGGATTGGGGAAAAGGGACTGCTGCTTTACTGGGAGTGGGGGAGGCGGGAGTTCGGTGAAGCAGCCCTCAGCTATCACCAGATGTGCATTCACCCTGCTTGCTTGATGCGTGGATGTGGGCCTAGCTGAAGGCTGGTGTGTACCGCCGATTAAGGGTCGGTGTATGGCGTCGAATGCTGGTATCGTTGCCAAAGACTAGTGATGCTATAGGTAATGCACTGATGCTAACTCACCGGAGGATTTTGTTACAGTGTTGCCTGGATGTTTCCATTTATAACAGAAACAGCGATGACAAATTCGGAGTGTTCAATCTTAACCGTGCAACCACCCACGGCGGAGATACAGTGACTAGTGGAGACAGTGATCTCACAGTTTCCTGACTTGTGTGTTTGGTCATACGTTGTTGTGTGTCAGAAGTTGTCCAAGTCTGGGCTGCAAATGAAACGGGTGTGTGATAAATATGGGGAGGGATTTTCCTCATTTATCCCTCTGTTTCATATAGGGAGATCAATTGTCGAATATGTTCTGACATGGGAAAATTTGATTTGCAGTCTGGAAAAAATGTCGTTGATCAGCAATGAAATGAGGCTTATTAGCGACGAGATATGTTCGATGAATGCGACGAAGAACCCTATAGGTGTGTGGTTCAAATACTGTACAGTCTTCTGAAACAACTCGCAGTGGGCACTAACATCCTCGTCTTACTCTGCTCTTATAAATTTGACAGCAGGAAACCTCCATCTACAGTATGTTGTACAGTATATCTTATCCCAAACTGCTGTTTCATTTACTGTATATGCATTTCACTGGCACTTGTTGCCCCTCCTGTGGTCGTGAAAATATTACTTCCCGAAACCCTGGTGCTTCACTTGAGAAGCCCGTACAGACAGACGGTCAGAAGGAGGGGTTCAAGGAAAACATGCATA